TAGTCCGAGTAACTTGGACCCAACTTACCGCCTTTTTAACATTCGGACATGGTCTGGCGATACTGGGGTCCAAGCTAGAAGTTATATGCCGAGTAACACAATTCTGTCATTGACCCAAAAACCCAACATTGCCCAACAAAAACATCAGATTCCACCCTCAAAACAGCCTCCAAATTACTAAATACGCCACCTGAGGTACAAGTAGACATCGTTAATTAAGATGGTTGTACTGAAGTTTACTTACGATCCCGATGAAAAGTGAAATTTCCCGTTCAATTCCGAGAGCTCCCCTCGCGATCGTGAACACGTTAAATTTCCGACTCGTGTTAATGTTTGAACAACGCAATTTGGTCTTCATGCCCAGTGTACATTCGATGGTTCCCATATCCCGATCAGTGCGATTCCGTTACCGAGCGCGCGTGATGCATCGATTATGATAATGAGTAGACTTGATCACGTTTGTAAACACAAGTGCATTTCGAAAGGTAAAAGGGAATCGGGAACCAGCTTTAACTGGTATCCGTCCATAAAAGCTGCCCTAGTTCCCGACTCGTTCGAAATGGCTCATTAAGAAAAAAATCCTGGTTCAAATGATAGACTTCTCACAAATTTAATTTAGTCTCAAAAAAAAAATCTTCCAACAAACAAACAAAACAATTTCTATCCTTTAGCGCAAAAAAAAACCCTAGTTTTCCAGAAAAACTTCAAGGCAAAAAAATCTCAATCAGGATCAACAACGAAATAAAACACTCAAAAGAATTTGCCACGAATAAAAAATAAACAGTTGGATAGAATTTTGGGATGATTAAAAAAAATTAAGTTAAAAGAATAAAAACCAGTCACAATAAACACTAGTTCTAAGATACAAAGGAAGTGGGAGACACTTATCCCCAAAGTGAAGGATTAGCACATCATAAAACTACCCTACTGGCTACAAACTCTAGACACAGGCCAGTGAACCTTAAGCCGTGTCTGCACTGGACTTTTTTTTGGGAAGGTTTTACCGAGACGATGGTAAAATGAGAAATGGTCAAATGTGACCACTGTCCGCACTTGGACTTTCGACACGGGAAAATTTACCCAGACCGCGTGGGAGAAGTAACCGAGCTGTCACAGTGTCAGTATAATGACTCACCGTACACAGAAAACAAATTGCCAATCACATTTTCAGCCGCCGATACGCACAGTAATATTACACACGCCATTTGCATGCACAACATAATCGTTTACACAATATTATTTCATCTTGACACGCTAAATCTTGACGAAAAGGCCTATAATTCTGACACATTTGTGATGCACGTCGTCGAAGCCATGCCGCTGTACGATGTTCCGTGCGGCAGCAGTGCCATCAGTATTCGTTGGTTCCCATCGCATGCTTAGAGAATCGAAGCTATGATGTGGGCCAGGAACTACGGCTACGTACGGTACCGGACCATGATGTTCTGTGCATGACTACAGTAGCGTATCAGGACGAATTTGGATCGTAGAAAATAACATACATCGGTGGAGAAAGAGAGTTTCCGCAAATTAATTCTCAGAACGTGATCTCTCTTCTCTGTGTATGTATTTGTCCGTTGAAATATATATTTTAACAAGATTTTACCGCTCGGACTTGATGATACACCGCAGCGTGTTTCTACAAAATGTTCGGCCACTGCACGTGCAGGTTCGTGCGGTCTCTGTATGCATAACAGGGCGCTCGGGCCGGATGTACGCTTTCCTGAGCCGCTTTTACCGACTCGCACTGTCCGCACTGGACTTATCGTATCGGGAAAAGTGACCTGGTCAGTTTTCCTGGGCGCGTGGGAAGTTTTCCTGGGCAGCAGTTGGCCAGTAAAAGTAACCGCTGGACCCAGGAAAAGTAACCGAGAGGAAAACGTCCTAAGCCGTGTCCGCACTGGACTTTTTTTTTGGAAGGTTTTACCGAGACGATGGTAAAGTGAGAAATGGTCAAATGTGACCACTGTCCGCACTTGGACTTTCGACACGGGAAAATTTACCCAGACCGCGTGGGAGAAGTAACCGAGCTGTCACAGTGTCAGTATAATATCTCACCGTACACAGAAAACAAATTGCCGTTCACATTTTCAGCCGCCAATACGCACAGTAATATTACACACGCCATTTGCATGCACAACATAATCGTTTACACGATATTAGTTCATCTTGACACGCTAAATCTTGACGAAAAGGCGTATAATTCTGACGCATTTGTGATGCACGTCGTCGAAGCCATGCCGCTGTACGATGTTCCGTGCGGCAGCAGTGCCATCAGTATTCGTTGGTTCCCATCGCATGCTTACAGAATCGAAGCTATGATGTGGGCCAGGAACCAGTGACTACGGCCTACGTACGGTACCGGACCATGATGTTGCGTGCATGACTAAACTAGCGTATCAGGACGAATTTGGATCGTAGAAAATAACATACATCGGTGGAGAAAGAGAATTTCCGCAAATTAATTCTCAGAACGTGATCTCTCTTCTCTGTGTATGTAATTGTCCGTTTAAATATATATTTCAACGAGATTTTACCGCTCGGACTTGATGATACACCGCAGCGTGTTTCTACAAAATGTTCGGCCACTGCACGTGCAAGTTCGTGCGGTCTCTGTATGCATAACGGGGCGCTCGGGCCGGATGTACGCTTTCCTGAGCCGCTTTTACCGACTCGCACTGTCCGCACTGGACTTATCGTCTCGGGAAAAGTGACCTGGTCAGTTTTCCTGGGCGCGTGGGAAGTTTTCCTGGGCAGCAGTTGGCCAGTAAAAGTAACCGCTGGACTCAGGAGAAGTAACCGAGAGGAAAACGTCCTAGGCTGTCCGCACTGGACTTAAAATGGGAAAAGTACCCATAGTCTCGGTTAGTTTGACCAAAAAAAGTCCAGTGCGGACAGGGCTCTAGGCTGTCCGCACTGGACTTAAAATGGGAAAAGTACCCATACTCTCGGTTAGTTTGACCAAAAAAAGTCCAGTGCGGACAGGGCTTTAAGAACAAAGAAAATGCTATGTAAACATGGTAAAAGTAAAACACATGGTCCAGAATTATACATGTAATAAAGTATCATACATGTATGCTACGGCCTACGTACGGTACCGGACGTACCATGATGTTCCGTGCATGACTACAGTAGCGTATCGGGACGAATTTGGATCGTAGAAAATAACATACATCGGTGGAGAAAGAGAATTTCCGCAAATTAATTCTCAGAACGTGATCTCTCTTCTCTGTGTATGTATTTTTGTCCGTTGAAATATATATTTTAACGAGATTTTACCGCTTGCAGCGTGTTTCTACAAAACGTTCGGCCACCGCACGTGCAGGTTCGTGCGGTCTCTGTATGCATAACAGGGCGCTCGGGCCGGATGTACGCTTTCCTGAGCCGCTTTTACCGACTCACACTGTCCGCACTGGACTTATCGTCTCGGGAAAAGTGACCTGGTCAGTTTTCCTGGGCGCGTGGGAAGTTTTCCTGGGCAGCATTTGGCCAGTAAAAGTAACCGCTGGACTGAGGAAAAGTAACCGAGAGGAAAACGTCCTAGGCTGTCCGCACTGGACTTAAAATGGGAAAAGTACCCATAGTCTCGGTTTGTTTGACCAAAAAAAGTCCAGTGCGGACAGTGTGAGTCAGTAAAAGCGGCTCAGTAAAGCGTACATCCGGCCCAAGCGCCCTGTTATGCATACAGAGACCGCACGAACCTGCTCGTGCAGTGGCCGAACATTTTTGTAGAAACACGCTGCGGTTTATCATCAAGTCCGAGCGGTAAAATCTCGTTAAAAAATATATTTCAACGGACAAATACATACACAGACAAGAGAGATCACTTTCTGAGAATTAATTTGCGGAAATTCTCTTTCTCCACCGATGTATGTTATTTTCTACGATCCAAATTCGTCCCGATACGCTACTTTAGTCATGCACGGAACATCATGGTCCGGTACCGTACGTAGGCCGTAGTCACTGGTTCCTGGCCCACATCATGGCTTCGATTCTGTAAGCATGCGATGGGAACCAGTGAATACTGATGGCACTGCTTCCGCACGAAACATCGTACAGCGGCATGGCTTCGACGACGTGCATCACAAATGCGTCAGAAATATAGGCCTTTTCGTCAAGATTTAGCATGTCAAGATGAAATAATATCGTGTAAACGATTATGTTGTGCATGCAAATGGCATGTGTATATTACTGTGCGTATCGGCGGCTGAAAATGTGATTGGCAATTTGTTTTCTGTGTACGGTGAGATATTATACTGACACTGTGACAGCTCGGTTACTTCTCCCACGCGGTCTGGGTAAATTTTCCCGTGTCGAAAGTCCAAGTGCGGACAGTGGTCACATTTGACCATTTCTCATTTTACCATCGTCTCGGTAAAACCTTCCCAAAAAAAAGTCCAGTGCGGACACGGCTTAAAGCTACAGTCCATCATTTGTAATTTGTGCATTTTGTTCGTTTGAAGCAACAAAAGAGTTCAAAATCTAATGAAGGATACTGAGCAACTAACCTGATGAAGTTTCAGCTAAGCTTAAGCTGTACATTCTGAGAAAAACAGCATTCTAAGATCTCAATTTCAAATCAAAAGTTACTGAATCATGTTTTGAATTGTTTTGAATTGCAGCTATACGCGACGTAGCGCACTGATCCGACGAATTATAACAACCGCGCGCGCGTGTGCGTCATTCCAATACTTGTGCGCGTTGCGCTGAATAACAAAACGAACTACTAATTTAAATTTTCCTACGGTGCTTCTTAAGAATCACCGTTGGAAATGCCTTCTTTCGTTAATTACTTCAAAATGACAGCTTCCCAGAAAGAATAATTTCACAGGGAGTTTAGTTCCCTTACTATCTTTCAACCAAGTTTGTTTTTCAACAATAATTACGCCAGTTACTTTTCGGATGGCTGCAAATGATGGACTATAGCTTTAAGGGGAGCTACTCCTATTTAATACACAATAAAAACACACAAGTAAAACTTGGCCCTGCCACATACATACCCTTTTTGCCACTAGATTGACCAGCCCAGCTTGAATACAGTCCAACGATGACGACAAAGTAAAGAATTCCAGGTCCCATCTTGTTATCTTTGGGCAAACAATAAAATGACAACCTTAAATTACCAATTATTCAACCATGACCTAATTTTTGTCTGTCCCTTTGTTTGATCAGCCAAAACAGTCAAACATTTCTTCCATTTCCCTCGCCATGCATTTGTTCACATGGCTAGTAAACACAGTCAAATCACATTCAGGTAAACACTGTGACTAGTCAAATTCCATTAAGAAAAACAGTGGAACATTTTAGACAAGTAAAAAGACAAATTTTCAAAATGAGGAGGATGAGGGCCTTTTTATTTTTTATTTTTTCCAAGATGGCTGCCAAGTATTTATATTCGAAATGGCCGCCAACTTGGTTCAAAATGACCGCCAGCTTTTAATTAGCTTTCTTAGGCCAAAACAAAAAATAAGTCGGTCTCTGGTCAGCGCGCGCGTCGATTTTTATCATGCGCGTCAATCTTTTTTTTTCCAAAATGTTCCGCGGTAGCTCCAACAGCGCCCTCTATTTCCGCACCTCCTCAATTTTTTTACCAAAGAGCACCAAGGAATGGGAAATTGCACCAAGGCAAATGATCGAAAGCACCAAGGCAATTATGGAGGACACCAATGTACATGAGGACACCAAAAAAGCAAAATAGTACCCCACCTTGTCTGTACAATCCAAGCTTGAAAAAAAAAAAAAAAAAGCCGCTGGCCGCGTCAATTCCGGAACTTTGGTCTGACCAGAGACCGAATATTTTTTTTGTGGCCTTATTATAGTAAGTAGAGTAAAAATATGTTTTATGTATTTTATTAAAGTGATATACAAGAAAAAGTTACTTTTTGAGTTGAAGAACGCGGTTTGAAAAAAAGATGCGGGCGGGGACGATCAACTGGTTTGTTTGTTTGTTTTACTTGGACTTACAAGAACTTTGAGTTTAAAAATAGCTGCTTAATCATTCCACTACTCAGTGGTACAATTTTGGGGGAATGTGAAGTTTAGGACCCTGTTCGTATTTTACGAGAACGAAAATCGACTTTGAACTTTTTGGACTCACCAAAGTACATACATGTAGGCCTACATGACAATTACACCAAATCTGCAGGATTACAGTTTTGAGGGAAATTATGGGGTAAAAACGACGGCGCCGATACAAATGCACACATTAAAAACAAATTGGCAACAATTTGCCAAAGCTGGTTTGGGGCCCCTCCCCCCCCCCCCCCTCCAAACCGTCCCTGGTTGGTTGATGAAACATTTCATTTAGAACTTAACCAGGATGACATGGGGATGGGGTGTTGATTCGGTGTGCACTACTGTTTACTGTAGTGCTACTGATAAATCTGCACCGATTTCATGAAACTCCTCGTAACTTACGATGCATCACAGCTGCGACGCGTCGTATCTCTGCAACACGTCGAAATGCAACGCATCGTAGGTGTATTTATAGCACAACTCGGTGACTGTTTTATGTATACTATTTAGTCAGCATACAGTACATAGTCGTCTGATATTCAACAAAGAATTGATAGGGCTGGGCGCATAATTTTGGAGAGACAAAATCTTTATATTAAGAATTAGAAAACTGAGGTGTCTTTTAAACTTTACAATCCCCCAAACTGGCAGTGACTTACTCCTAGAACTATGAGGCTCCACGTGGAGCCTCATACTAGGAGTAGCAATGACTGGCATAGGTCCTATTAAATGAAGCTACCGTTCAATGGAAGTGTAGTGAAAGTTTGGTATTTCAAAGTCAAACTCAAGGTGGTGTCCGGAAATTGGACACAAAATTGAGAAGCGTGTTAAAATCTTAGGCTTTTGCTTAAGTTGAGCTTGCCTTAGCCACACTAGTGGGGCTAAGCTTGCCTGGCAAAAAAATTACTTAAATCTCAGAAATTACAGCTTATAATTGCTCTTATCCTGTGAAATTTAGATTAAAAGTGTTGCTCAGACAAGAGGACAAAATATCTAAGAACTTAAGAAGGGACTCACCAATCAACTATGATTCAAGCCGAGAGCAAAACAAACCGTGACGCTGACCGTCAGTGACCGCTAGCCAACACGATTTAAATCACAAAATCAGCACGTGCCGCGCCACATCAAATTCGATAGGGACTAGGGTGACCGTATGGAAATGGCACAATTCTGCTAGGTGCACTTAAAAAATCTGCTAGATTTAACCAAAATCTGCTAATCAGCCAGAATTACACAAAACACCTGATAAACACCGATACAGACATACAGATGTCCTTAAAAAAATGATATCATACAATTTCCTTAAAAAAAATTAAGAAATTCTCCGCTGTTCAAGGGTTTGATGTTCAAGTGATTGAAGCTTGTTCAAAACAAATATGCTACATTTTTTTCTGCTAGGATCATCGATTTTACAGATTTTCTGCTGGAAATCTGCTAAAATATTCATTCTGCTAGATTTTCTTTCAGATTCCTTTTTATCCAAAAAATTCTGTCAGATCTAGCCGAAAATCGGCTAAAACGGTCACCCTGATGGAGACTTCGGACGCTGCTCATGGGGCTGGGAAGGGCGCCACCACAATCCTGGGGAAAAAAAGCAGATTTGCTCCAGTCTCTCAATCAACGCGATTACATAGGGGTACACACCGGTAAATCGATCCGCCAAGCTCATGAATAAAAGTTATACCTCAAAATATTCTATATTAGAGAGTTCTGAGCGCCGTAAAATTGGGGAATTGAAGAGATATGGTAGTGAACCTCTGGCCCGGACTTGGGGCTTCCAATTCTGAGCATTTTGGATGGTATTGGGCTCGAAAGTGGCGCTATTTTGCCATGTTGTGGAGGGATCGTTTTTCAAGATGGCTACTTTTCCGCTTTGGGGAAAATAGGGGTCGTCTTCTTTGCGTGAAAATATCTCGAAAAGTCAATGGTCAACCCACCATAAATTGAAAAGAAAATGAAAGATGACACATTGATCATCATTTTTCTGTGCAGCTTGAATACCTGTGAGAGTTTTGAGTATTTTTAAAAGAATTTTGAAGTACGGGCATTTAGCACTAGTGTCTATGGGAGTTTATTTGCAGGTATGCACCCATAGTGTGCATGCAAAGCCACGGAACATGTTTTGTTCTGGACTTACGTAGATCGTAGGAGGATGGGAGGGCATAAGGTGGGGAGGGCATAAGGGGGCGGGCGGGGAGGGGGGGGAGGGGCTATGGCCTAACACCATGGGACAATAGGTGGTGGACAAACTAACGTTTGCGCCACGTACGTTAAAAAAGTGCCCTTTTGACAAGCGCCCTTTTTCATGTTTTTTTTTCACCAGCGCCCTTTTTTTAGGAGTGCCCCGCCATGTTTTCATGAGTCTTTTTTTTTCACAAGGGCAACCTGTGAAAATAGGCCATCTGTGAAAAAAAGGCCACCCGTGACAAAATACTACTCCATTGTGTAAAGAAAATGCAATATACCAAATTGACACATTTTCACCATTTTATTGTCAATGTTATTTACACGTTAGTATTTATGGGTTTAAAACACTACACCGAACGTACCGCTCTTCCATGTTGCAATCGAGCTGAACCAAATTTTAAAGTAGTTTTGGCTTAAATCAGTAAAAGGCTCAAATTTAAAATTCCCCGATTGGGCGATCTGGATGCAAAGAATGAAAAGTTTAAGAAAATTTGGAGTTCTGTCTGTTAAGATTTTGTTCATCCACAATCCTTTGCAGGTTTCGTACAGCGTTTTTATCAACGTGTAGGTGCCTCCAGTTTTAGTTAAGGGTGCCAGGCCATAGGTGAAATGGCTTTGAAGATACAGTGCAGTATATATAAGCAGATTTTATTGCTGCAAATCTTTAAACTAAAACCTTGTGATGTAAAACAGGAGGTGTAGCAAGGCTTGTCATTTTGGTGGCTATTTAATCTTTAAACTGACAAGAAGTAAGGTTTTCCATATTTTTTAGGTTTTTTTTTTTAACTCCTTGTCTATCTGCAGGAAAATTTTGGTAGATTAAAAAAAATGACCTAGATTTAATAAAAAACGATTCAATAAGATTGATTTTAAATTCAGTCAAGAATTAAAACCTAGATTTTGATTTTGGCTAATTGAGGCATAAATATCATGAGTCTCCAATCAGCTGTGTCTCTGTCGGTAAACTCCGCACTGGCTCTGTTCTTGATTCCCCGAGATTAAAGAGATTAAAGATGACCGGTATCCTTGCTAGGTGGGGATTATCCTCCTGCAGGTTCTTAATCCAGGATTGCAGTGTTTCCTGACTGTTACTGTTGGTCATGCACATGGCGAATACTGGACCCTCGGCGTGCGTCTGCGGTACATCTGCAGAAAAACCAAGCAACAAAAAGTTTAAAGTTGGTGGTTAATTAATTGGTTGAAAATTATTTGACTTCTGTCATGTCACGGAATGATTAAATAAAAGAATATTGAGTATTAACTCAAATTAAGTGTTAAACCTGTTGTAAATACACAAAATGATATTCCATTTTGGGTATATGTTACAATTTATGGATGAGACTGTCAATTTAAAAAAAAAAAGCTGAACTTTCTACACTTATCGGTACATGTCTTTCTCTCAGATTCAAAAAGTCAGATTACACACCAACTTCTGAATAGGATAGGGAGGGCTAAACCTCATTCGTCAACAGGGGGCGCCCTTTTTACAGAGTACCCTATTGTGGGACCTACCAAGAACAGGGAGCCATTCCCCCAGTGGAAAAAGTGGGGGGGGGGGACCAATGCCCCCCCCCCCAGGTTCTGCCTCCAGTGATGCATTTGTAATGAGGACATCATTATAATGAAAATTGATAACTTAGAAGTTTTTTCAACAACCAATTTATGTCACATAATGGAATCAATAGATAACTCCGCCTTCATCAAAACGTACAAATTGTACATAAAAACAGAACAAACCTTGATCTGATGCCCCTTCGTCGCCCAAAGCAAACGGGTCACCTCTGAGTACAAAATAGGTCAGTTTGGAACTGCGTAGCCAGAGATGGAAAGCGCCCTCTACATAGAGCGGTCTGACAGGGGGATGCTCAGCCAGTAGCTCGCGTTGCTCGGGACTCTGGGCGTTAGCGATGAACTCGGCATTCTCTGACTCAGCCGTGGTTCCGTTTAACTGAAAGAGATTCAAGGCAACTCCTTTAAGGGTCGGTAGATTTTTCTGGAGAATTTTGCATCTGCCAACATCCTCATCATCTTTTCGACCACAATCTGTTTATCCCGTAACTATAAGGATTCTGTGCTTACAGGGTTAGCACAGAATTTTTCGCTAGTGCAGTTAGCACAAAATGTGATCGTAAGCACATAATTCTGTGGTTAGCAGAGCCATGAAGTCCGGCCCAGATGCGTAAGCCTACTTGTGATTTACTAGCAGCCAGACTCCTTATGGCCTACCATTACAGCCCTGACACTCTTAAAATTGTTTTACAAAAATTCTTCAAACAAGAATCTTTGGAACCAAAGTGGGTTGACGCTTTAGCCTTGGTATCCCCCCAAACCACCCTGCCTGTTTCTCCTCACACCATCCCAAACTGCCCAAGCACTCCAGGGTTTTCTTGATTCACGGAAATACAAAGTAATTCAATTTAATTCATGTGCTAAAAGGTTAACATACCCAAAGCTGTACAGGTCAAACAACACCTCTACTTACATAGTACACTTTCAACTCAGCTTCATACTCTGCTATTCGCTTCAGACCAATCTCAGACAACTTTGTGGGTTCTGTGGGGAGCTCCTTGGGCAGTGGGAAGGGGTTGATGTTGCGGAACTTGGGGAACCAGTACATCAGGCGCTGGTACTTCTTGACTGGGTGGGCCCGCTTGCCGAAGACTGAGATGAGGATATCTTTGGTTTCATTGTTGGGCAGCACAGCTGAAGGATTACAAAAAAAGAAGTGGACAAACTGAGTAATATTGCAACACAGAAGGAAATAATATTTAAGTTCTTTGAGACATCAAAAGATCCATTCTTGAAGTTCTTAGTAAGCTACCAATTCCTAGCCGAGTGCCTATGGACTCCAAGAATTGTGAAGTAAAAAGTAGCAACTTTCATTATATTGGAACCACTAATTATTGACAACTAAATAGTTCTCAAAATAAATTTGGGAGCTAATTGTCCTTACTTTGCAGCAGAAGTAATTGCAAAGGAAGCAGCCTACAACATGATCATCGGCCCAATTTCACGGCGCAGCTAAGCACAAAAATTTGCTGGCTTATAGAAGCAGGTTATCAGCCAAAAAGTCCATGTTATTTTCATGCTAAGCAAACAACAGCTGAATACTAATCACTAGCAATATACATCACGTGGAGTTTTGGCTGGTAACCTACTTTTACAAGCCAGACTTTTTTTGTGCTTGGCAAATTTTTGTGCTTAGCAGCACCGTGAAATTGGCCCCATGGTCGAGACGGAGGCATGTAAAGGTGCCTTAGACAGCCACCATATGACCCATTACATGTCTGACCACGGAGCAGTCAGATCGAAAGTGTTGATTTTTGCGGGGGGAGGACAACCAGAGAACCACAAAAAAAAACTTCCTGGCACAGGAGAGAAGCAACGAACAACTCTACTCACATACGACTTGAGCAGGGAATGGGTCCCAGGCCACAGCTGTAAGAGGCGAGTGCTTTTACTCACTGCACTACCCATGCCACCCTGATTTTGAAAAACTGCATCACATAAAGTTGCCAGGAGAATGAGTTCAAGTATGCAACCACTTACTATTATCTTCCATCATCTGTAGCACCTTGATTGCACATATCTGCTGCTCAGGGAAGTGATTGTATATGGACTGGATCACATTCTCTGGGACGTACTTCCCCTTGGGAAAGACGTCCAGCAAGGCATTGTAGGCATCGACGTCTTTCTCCACTCGGAAGTCTTTCATGTAGCGCAGGGCTGTCTCAATGAACTGGATGTGCCCACGGCGACGCTTGTCGTACTCTGTAAATGTCTTGACAACCTAGGACATAGACCATGCCACACAACGATCGGATGTTGTAATCACGGAATGCTTAATTTCAGGAAACTGTTTTATTTTGAACAACATGTATTTCATTTGAAAGATGAGTAATTAAAAAGAAGTTGCTTGTTTTTGAGATGTCTAGGTCTATAACAAGTTTGTTTGGCATCATCACAAGTCAATTTTGAGTCATTCATTCGTAACTCCGTGACATGATTAAATAAACCATGATTGACTTGACTTGTGGCTGACTTGCAATGGACTTAATATAACTCCATCGTTTGGTTTTTCAAACTCTGCATGTTAAAATTTTAAGAATTTGGAGACACTAAATCAATTTTCCATAAAATTTCACTTGGTTTTGTGTGTTTTTCAGGTTGAATTTAGACCAAGATACACAAGTTACACAACATGAAATGAAAAATATAAAAAAACCAGTTAGCGGGCCTCACATTTTGATCCGAACAGGACTTTTATCATTGGCAAAACTTAACATGAAATTTTTTTTTTTTTCGAAACACAAGTTCATCTCACCTTCCTGAAAGTTTCTTTGTTGACTTCTGCAAGGGTGGCCTCTTCAAAGAGAGTTTTGGAGATGGCGAGTGAACTCTTCTCCAGTTTGCTGGGATGGATGTTCCCTCGGCCTATTTCAGCACGTCTCTGCTGGCATGTGTGTATCTGTGCACTGTGACAGGCTGGGCCCTTTGTGAAAGAAATTTAAAAAAAACTAACTTGCAGTAACAGCCAACTACTGAATGGTCAATCTTCTCAAAAGTAGGACATACCAGTCTAGTCTTAGGCTTCAAATTGAAATCACTTGGCTTCAATCTCAGGTGCACAATGTTGAAAAAAAGCCTCCTTTAAATACTGAATTCAGACCTCAAACTTGGCTGGTGAAATACTGAGGACCTTGTCTTTGCCTCATGAAAATTATGGATTGGAAAATTTTGATGGCTAAAAAGTTGGCATGGTTTAGTTTTGCAAGTTTTTCTGCACTCAAGGCCCCAGTCTGGGATGATGACATAGTTGGGGTATACTATAACATCGCCATCATAAGTTTGAAAAGCTTGTCATGTGACTTCAGACTGGATGACTTGTGACGGACTTGTTGTGTCGACTGGATTCACGGAATGCAACATTAACAATTCCATCAAGTACTCTTCACACTGATGAAGCAATGTTCTGAGGGTGTAATGTTCACAGTATGGACCTTTTGACTTATTTTCATTCATACCACGATGATTTTAGTCTGGAGTGCCGACTGTTGTAGAACCGTCCTCGTGGCAGGCAATCTGCTGGCTGACAGATGATAGATGGCACTGCGCAGAAACTTGATGGTTGCCATGATGTCATGGACTGCAAGAATAGAGAAAAATGAAAAATGAATGAATTTGATATATTATTAGCAAAGAAATTTGCATTTTTTCTACCGAGATCCACTTGTTCCAATGGGATCTTCAAACATTTCAATTTTAAAATTTTACCACTTCTAATTAACACAGCCCAACACAAATTTGCAATGTCACAATGTCAGAAATTAATATTGTTAAACACAAAATTTGTGGTTCTTTTAAAAGAAAACAAGGAATTAACACAACAGCAAGAACGCCTATTTGTTGCCCCTTTTTTCAGCCGATTTGAACATGTAAATTTCAATCTTTACTTCATATGATATGGATATGCTGAAGAAAACACACTAAATTTTCATCGATCGTGTAGTGAAGGGCCCCTGTTATGTTTCAATCACATTAAATCAACATTTTTTTTTTTATTAGATAGTGGATATTTTGCCGGAGGTAATGACGTCAAACTAACGTTTACTAAAGGTTTGCCGGCGGCAATCCATATCAACAGAGGGCGCTGTACTCTTTAAGATAGGGCTGAATTATAAGATGTATTAAATTCCCCCCAAAAGTTGTTTGCATGTTTGGTGTAGTGGTTAAGCAAAGGCTCTAGTGAGTGGGATGACTCGGGTTGGATCCCGATTCCCGCCACATTTTTAAGTTTTTTTTCCCATCCCCAAATAAATAAGAATATTCTTCTTTTATTATTGTAACATGTCTCAAACATTTTATTGCAGAGTATTACATTTTCTTTTTCAGATTTGTGGCTCTGGAGGATTTTTTTTAAAAGGGAAATAAAGTCCGAAATTATAAAATGGTCTGAATCCCATCTTGTGAATACGAGGTTACAACGATAATATTGGCATGGAGCCAGACTAAAATTTGTCACCGGAAAATGTTTAAGTACAAAAAAACAGTAACTGCGCATGTTCAGGGCATATCCGGCAAACTAACGTTTACTAAAGGTTTGCCGTCTCCGGCAAAATATCCACTGCCTTTTATTAAAAGTGGATTTTGTTCCCTTATACTTAAACCTACTAGATAGAACCAGGCATGTACCTGATCGCCAAAGTTTCAGTAGGCATCATAGGCCTAATCCGTAATCGTCGATCGTATCCTCATCATAATTGACATAACAAAAAAATCCTCACAAAATTCAAAGAACATGAACTTAAGCGCAAGCAGCAAGAGCTAATACACATCAACCTGCCAGTTGACTAGTCCGAGTAACTTGGACCCAACTTATCGCCTTTTTTAACATTTGGACATGGTCTGGCGATATCGCCAGACATGTCAAAATGTTAAAATTGGCGATAAGTTGGGTCCAAGTTACTCGGACTACCAGTTGACTCGGTACGAGTTCAACCATGGTTCAATTTAGCCCGAGTTAAGCTTGGTACGAGTTGACACTGGTACGAGTTGACTTGGGAACGAGATGATTGGGTGCGAGTTAGCAACATACGATACGGCATAACAAACGATACGGTACATCGTCCATTTCCGACACCACATCATATTTCACTGACAAAGTCCCTCTGAACAAAAGTAATCTTTATATCTCTGTCTTACAAGGTTTGCAATAAATAAAACATTATCTACCTATGTTATTTTAAAACTTATCATTACCAAGGAGACCAAAAAATTACGATGAAATTCACTCAAGCCCACACGATAAATTTCAGAACCATGGAAGCCGCCATCTTGTCTCAGATTATCAAAGGTCAAAGGTTATCGGGTTTTCCTGTATGCAAATTTTGCAATGGTTGCTAAGAAGTACTTCGACTGTAGCATGTAATATCTCAAAATTTTGGATGATTTTAACTAATAACAGGTTAAAAACGTACTTTAAGGTCTTATTGCCAAACCACAAATCCAAATTTGTAAATGATATTGGTAATATTTCGGTCTTCGGGGCAAAAATATATTTCTGAGTTGCGGAAGAATATTTACAAGTGATGTCACCGTTGCTAACGGAATTCCCTGGCCCTAGTGCCTTGTGTGTACATGTGTTTAGTGCAGAGATTCTGTGGGGCGCTATGTGTCATTGCGATACACACGAAAGTTACGATCATGAGGAATAAACAGCGGTGAAAATACTTTCGTGTTTCCCTTTTCAGTTTTAGTAAAAATTACAGAGTCCAGTTGATGAAATGGCCGGGTCCGTAAGTCTTCTGGAGCTGGTGGATCTGTCGCTGGGGACCCCGGAAATCGTGAATTACAAGGGTTTGCGGACACTTTTGGTAGCGATCGTAGAAAACTTGAAGCTCGGTGATGTGCGGGCCGAACTCAAAGAGTCCGACCGGGCAGAGCTGCTGGCTTCGGCGGCGGCAGCAGCGGCCCCCGCCGCCCGACCCGGAAGTTCGGACATCGGTAAAGGAGGCGTAGAAAAGAGCAAAAGCGACTTGAGTCGAGTGCACAGCGCTGCATCTTCCACGAACAAGGAAGTTCAGGACTTGGAACACAAAGTGTCGAGGTTGGAATCGCAGATTGAGGCGCTGAATTCACTGCCGTCCAACGAGAATTTGATGCAGCGGGCCCGATCGACGGAAGGAATGAAACCCATGTCGGAGATGTGGCAGTTGATGCAGCTACAGAAGAAGGCATCGGCAAACGAGGATGGTGTATCAAAGGTGAAGAATACTTTGCTTCTTTCTCAAAACTTTCAAGAAGAAAAGATAGCAAGTATTTAAAACTGAATTATAACTTTCTCACTCTTATTAATATAAATAATTTCTTTCAAAAACATGAATTATAACTTTCTCACTCTTATTAAAATAAATAATTTCTTTCAAAAACATTTAAATAAATTAATGTGACATTTAAAATCTAGCCTACCTCTCGTCTAACCCTAACAGTCCTGAATCCTCCAATTTTAATACGATTTTGCATACCCCCTAGGGAGGTACGGTTTTAAACCCATGATTAAACAAAGTGAAATGAGTTAATTAATTTATATCGGATATCTCTGCAAAAAACTGCTTCTAGAATTAGAAGGTACCTCTCTTTTTATTTCATTTGAATTTTCATTTCAATTATTTCATTTTTCAGAATACCTTTGTTACAACAAACAATAACATTAAATACAAAGAAATACACATTAACATTTTCGACAAAACATACCATATTCAACTGGCTTCCGCTGGATTACCCAAAAGAAACATGGTTTCTGTCGAAGGGCTCTCCAACTGATTAAATATGACATACTAAAAAACCCCAATATAAAATACATCTCATTTTACCTTTGTTTTTCTCATTAAACATTTCACTTGGATGATTAAATCTTAAAGATGTGATTAAGAAATTAGGCTACTACTAGTAGTACTAGTTACAATGTACATTTACCGTAACGTTAGGAAATTCAAATTGAAAAATTTAAAAAAATTGAAACAAGTACGTACAGTGGTCCAGTCAAATGTTCCAAGGTGCTTCCAATTTGGCTGAGTTTCTTTTTGAGACTATGTACAATTTAAAGCTTAATTTGCAAAGTGAAAGAGAATGAGGTTTCTTGAGTGCAAAATCTAGTCTTCTGCCAAAACAGGCAATAATAAGAACAGGCAATATTACAGTTGCAGATCTGGGGGATGCATAGGGAGCGCTGCACCCCCCCCCCCCCCCCTGCTGTGACAGTGTTCTCAAATGAGGCAATTTTCTTTTACTTTTAAAGCCCTAGAAGCCTCCTCCCCCCCCCCCCCCCCCCGAAGTAACCTCTCTTGATCCTTTTCCCCTGTAAGCTTAGTTCTTTGTCTTCCCCCCTAAAAAAAAGTGCAGTTCTACAGGAACATGTAGGCTACACAGCGATAGTTGAAAACACAAAATGACTTTATAGGGCAACTGTAGTATTGACTTGTAATGAATTATTTATTAAGAATGAGCTGAACTGTCGACCAGTGCGTTATTGTGTGGGTTTCTTGCCGCAAGTCACACAATATAGAACCTGCTGGGGCTGCTGGTGAAGTGCTGTATTGTTGAATAAGGGTGTTTGTTTTCATCCGAGCTGAATGGGTGTATAGATTTGGCAGTGAGAGAATCAATGCATTAAACATTGCATTGAAAGACTGAGATCAATTGTAGGAAACATTTTATGTTAGCAACGCAGATAAAGGAAACACGGGTCGTTCGTACTTTGTGTGCGCAACTTGGAAGAAATAGAGAAAATTGGTGATTAATTTTGTGGTTAATGTGCAATATCCATTAATGTGCCTTAAGGAGACATTTTTTTCGTCATTAGTTATACCTTAGAGAGACACCGGACATTAAGGAGACATTTCAATGTCTACCAAATGTCACAACTCCTATTTAGAGGCAAAATGTTATTGTCACAAGTAGGCTAGATGGATTTGCTCGTGGTTCAAAACATGTACCAAAATTCATCAATCATCATGCCAGGGTAGGTTATAAGGAAACTTGGGATTGCGGGAGTCATTAGTAGTTTGGAAAATGTTGAGCACAACCCTATGGAAATAAAATTTAAAATTTCCACTAATAATGATAGTTAGTAGCATAAAAGAGTGGTTTCATATCAGATTTGAAATTCAAAAAAAAATGGAGTTTTTAGAGGAAGATGTGCTAATTTATAATTATTATTCAAACTCGAAACTACAATGTAAATCTTAAAGAGCTGTCTTTTTTTTGCCATTGTGAAACAGCAACTTTGTATAATTCTGTATTAAAGTGGCTTAAAAACTGGAAGGGTATGTCTTTCATACTTTGCAAAAGGTTGCAGTGCCTATTATTACAATTTACATGCCAAAATTGCAGTAAACAGAACAGGCTTACACTACAGGCATAAAAAAACCACCAGTGTCAGTTGACCTGTTTCTGCGTTTCCATGGCAGGGAATCCATTTGTGTGTAAATTCCCAAACGTCTATTTGACCGTCAGTCAGAGTGTTTACAGCTAGGTCTCTCTGCTTGGCTTAATGGAAATGTCACACCCAGTCATTTGCCAGAGCATTGAAGTATTGCGAGTGCAATCTTGTTTTCTGTTCGGATAGAGGTCTATTCTTAATAATGACAGCATTGCCACTCTAGTTTAATGGGTTTAGTGCTAATCCAGCTTACAGCTCTACACAAGTGATGTAATTTTTTTCTGGCATACAAATGTGGAGGAGTATGAAACTGGATTAATCATCCAGGTAATCTTTTAAAGCCACAAAATGGACCCACAAAGTAGTCACTGTGGATTAGGACTCACGTTCTTAAAAGTTACGAAACTGACAATGAGCAATTTTATAAAATAGTAATATAGATTAAAGTCCAAACACACTCAATTTCTTTGTTTTCCAATGAATTAGGCCTATGTTGTCATATTCTGCGACTGCAAACTGACAAGTCATAATTTCTTATTTCAGTTTTTCCAATTAATTTATGTAAATAAAAAAATCTAAACCCTAGATTCACCTGAAACTTAGATTCAGATTATTATTATTTTTTTTTGTTAAACCCAGATGATTTATTCAGATGTCCATGTATAATAAAACAATTTATTTTTCTTATCAGAAAAACTAAATTTTGTATGAAAAAGTAAATTTTTTATTGATTGGCCCCCAGAAATAAGACAATAACAGTACACAGTGCTACAATATTAAGATATTACGTTTTAAAAACTATCAATATTTAATGTATCAATAGTGAATACATAGGCCCATGTCTCTTAGCCCTGTCTAAGATTTTTGTGAATAAACGCCTGCTTTTAAACCCCTTGCATTCAGCCACCTGCAATCAAATTCAATTAATTACAGGGATCTGAACACAAGGTTCAGTAGTAGAACTGTAGTACCACAGGTTTTCCCAGCTTGAATTTTCTTCATTTCCTTGATGCCGACTGGATATTGCCTTTACCAGATGAACCTTTAGATGACCCTGACATTTACAGTTAATACTGAGGATTATTTCTTATGGCATAGGGGAAGATTGTAATACAAGCTTGTAAAATCCCACTAATGTAAAAAAACCTTCCATTTTAGACCTTCATATAGCCTATACATGTATTTTGTTAACAAATTGTCCATACCGTACATGTATGTCGCAGAGGACATAGCAGTTATTTATCTTCAGGTATTTTTATTTAAAAAAAAATATTTAAGGGAATTCTTAATCTTATTTATTACTTATTAAAAAAACTTCTCTGCATAGGTACCGGTAAATACATATATAGTACATGTATCAATATCAACATTTTTAGTATTTAATAGAGGTTACAATTAGATTAATTTTAAATGCCTTTAATTTCCTTACATCTTTAAAGCCCGAGTCCATCATTTGCAGCTATCCAAAAAAGTACCCGGCGTAATTATTGTTGAGAAACATACTGGTTGAAAGATAGTAAGGGGACTAAACTCCCTGTGAAATTATCCTTTCTGGCAAGCTCTCATTTTGAAGAAATCAACGAAAGAAGGCATTTCCAACGGTGCTTCTTAAGAAGCACCGTAGGAAAATTTAAATTAGTTTTTCGTTTTGTTATTCGGCGCAGCGCGCACAAGCATTGGAACGATGCACAGGCGCGCGGTTGCTATAATTCGTTGGATCAGTGCGCACCATCGCGTAAAGCTGCAATTCAAAACAATTCGAAACATGATTTAGCAACTTTTGATTTTAAATTGAGATTGTAGAATGCTGTTTTTCTCGGAATATGAAGCTGAAACTGAGCTGAAACTTCATCAAGTAAGTTGTTCAGTATCCTTCATTAGATTTTGAACACTTTTGTTGCTTCAAACGAACAAAATGCACTAATTACAAATGATGGACTATAGCTTTAATCATATTAATCTTCAAGCTGTTCAGAAGAAAAAAAATAGAAATAATTTTTTCAGGATTTTTTTTCCGGAGGAGCCCCGTCATCCCTGTGAAATTGACAGTGGGGTGGCATGTTGAAAAACTGATGAATTTGCCTTTTAGCAGGGATGAGCGTTGATGCAGCGTAAATAATTCCCGCCCAGAATCCTGAAGTGTGAGAATGTATTCAGGATGAATAAATGAAATAAAGTTGTTTTTGTAATTAAATTATAAAAAGACACATTATGCCAGAGATTTTGAGACTCTTTTTCAATTACACGTATGCCTAAGTCGTTTAAAAAACAATTAAAAAAAAATTTTTTGTTACATTTTACCTGTGAAATGATAAAGCAAATTACTGTTTGTTTCTTTTGAATTAATCATAACAGTTGAAGTTATCAATCATTTGAAGTTGAGAAGCACCTGTTTGGAAAATTAGTGATTAGTGTTTTGTTGTCTGCACTCCGAGTGTTGCCATGGCAAACAGGGGTTGATGCTCAAATGATTTATCTGCACAAGTACTTGTTGGTTATTTATAGCTTAGGATGAAACTGAAACAGTTCCATTCTTTACTATTAAATCGGCAATCGCATAAAGTTTACTTCAGTGTTTATTCAAGAATTGTTTCTGTTACAGATTCTTTTCCCAGTGATTTTTTTGAACTTGGGTCTTCTAACTTACTTTGATGCAGTGTTACATATTTGGTTGCTTATGTTCTGTCATATTAATTTTTTTTTTAAAGAAACGATTTGTACATATTTACATCTGGGGACACATGTAAACACATACAGGTTTTGTAGTATCAGTTTAGACTTGTGATAAAAAAAATACCAACAAACCAATCTAACAATCCACCGAATGAATCGTGAGGTTTTCAGTTCCATTTATATACAATATTCCTCAATTTTAAGCTAGTAAGAATTTTGATTCGAATTTTGTATGTTCAAATTTAAACTGATGATCATTTTGTAAATTTGGCATTAAAATTTAGATCAGCTGAAGTGTTTTTAATCATTTTTTGTTTAAAGAATTTGACAAGAAGAAGTGTATTTTTTCCCCAGAAAGCATGAAAAATATTACTGCAGAAATTTGATCTGATGGAAACATGCCTATGACTGTTTTCATTTGGCCCTTGACAGCAATTCAACTTGATAGATTAGCGTGAACTCATTGTACAGGTGTCTTTGAATGACCAAATATTTGACCAACGTGACACCTTGTTTGTGTGCAAAAGCTGTCATTGTTTACATTAATATCATGTACTTGACTCCCCTGAATTGTACTTTTGTGTAATCTAAAACCGAGTGTATTGTAAGAGTGGACAAAGGTCCTTGTAGTTGAGAAGAAGTGTCATGTGTTCTTTTGTTTCTCAAGACAAATGACTGCTTTGAATTGATTCATTTGGGCAGTCTGTTTGATAAATGGGGTAATATAACTCCCCGTACCACATAAACTTGACTGGGTTGGCCAGGATCCGATTTCTAAACTGTTTGAATTGAATTCATGATCATGCATTGATTACACACTCTGATTAATTCATGGAAACAGGATTTCTTTTGTCTTACAGCATGACTTTCTCTATTTATGGAACTGTTAAGCCTAAGTGTTTTGTTTCATTTTGAAAAGTCACTTAGTGGATCGAAACTTAAAACAATTGTTAAAATTGTAGATTAAAATCTACCAGAGTACAGGATTTACATTTGTCTCAAAATTATTCACATAAATCAACCCCTGCATTGCTAAAAGGAAAAAGAAGTGACATTTTAATTCAAAAGAATAATATCTAGTGATGCATTTAGGAAATTCTTGTTCATGTGAAATACATTGTAAATCAAACCAACATTAATTAAAACATTACTTAAAACACATTTATCACGCATGCAAGTTGTCCTCGGATCAGCTGATTTCTATGTTTTTCCCTTCAAACTTATGCCATTAAAATTGGAAAACACTGAATGAAGTCTTGTAAAGATTGGTATTTCTTTTTTCCGGTTACTTCAAAGTTGTATGGGTGATTTATTCATTTTATTCAAAAACATGTTTTAGTTTTGTTGAATGTGTCAACAAATTGAGCATTTGAAATTGTTCATATTGGTTTTATTGTAAATACTGCTGGTTATTTTCAGACAGAGAGCACTAGACCAATGATTAAACCTTTTGAGCAATTCCAGCATTATGGAAGAAACTCTAATGTCTCTGACATAGCCAATTAACCATGATATCTAATCAGTGATTCAGAGAAATGATCCAAAACTCCTAGTCTGTAATTTAATTGGCCATTACTGGACAATGGGGTTTATTAGATATGAAAAATACATGGTCAGGTTTATTCATTGAGCTCTTAAAGTACCAAAAAAAATCGGAGTTGTCTGTGATGCTGGATTTGTCATTTTGATTCCAGTGGTCCAAGTTCTGGTATTTTGAGCCAGTTGACTAATTGACTCAACTTATTTGGATTGCGCTTTATTTCAGCTCATGAGTATGGTAGAAGACTTGTTAGGAGAGATGTCAGCACTGAGGGAACACGTGGATGGGTTCAGCAGCGAAATAGCAAACCTAAAAGACAGACTAAACAAGGTGAATTATGATTTCATTCATTTATGGAGAATGTCTGGGTTTCAATAGACTCGTTCATGGTTATTGATGCCATCTTGGCCAGCGGGCAAAATTGATGGGTGGCACAGTGCTAGTGAGCGTGAATCACGGCTCAAAGCAAATAAGCAAATTGAGCTGATAACGCGGTGATCGCGCTTGCTAGTGCAGAGATGTGCATCAATTCCCCCCCCCCCCCCCCTCCCCCCTGGCCAAGATGGCACTGATAACCATGAACAGGTTTAATATCTTAACACTTCAAATATTTTATAACATCTTTTTCAAAATTCTGTTGAATAGATTGTGAGTTGATAGCAAATGTGATACCTTCTTACTGACTTGCAGATTTAAACGGCCCAAATTTTTTTTATAATTCTTTAGTGGATACATCTCTTTCAGATGAATTATAACTACTTGTAATGACATGACTGCAAAAAAGCAAATTCAAACTCAGTTTTGATAGTGATGATATGTTGAAATTGGAATCAATCACAATCTCTGCATGTGGTACATGTAAGTTTTTATTATTTGCTAACACCTGCAAAGGTGATATGAGCTGATAAGCCAATCAATCAGTATTGCCCTACCCTTTCCTTGCCTGCTATGATATTACCCCCAGCTCTGTGTATGTACATAACTGATTGACGTGCTTGCATTTCAGATTAGCGCTAATGAGGAACGATTCAATGAGAGGCTACAAAAGCTGGAGAACTCCACAGCCAACAAGGACAAGATGGACGAACTTCAGAAGATCATTGTAAGATTATTGGTCAATCAAACAGTGCACATTAACCAATCAGATCAGTACTTTTAGTCAGGTGACCATGGAACAATGTAGCATGGGTCAAACCATAGTGAGAAACGTACACAAACCAAAGATGACCAAGTCCAGAACAGTCCGCACCGGAATATTTTTGGGGAAAGGTTAATTAAAAATGCAAAAAAGTATTTTTGAGTTGTTTTATTTGAGTGAAATACATTTGCAGAGGTTTTGTAACATCGTTGTACAACTGTTTAAATATTACATTTTTTTAAATTTTCTGCAAATTTGATGACTTTTAAGACATATTTTGCAATTAAGTGAAACTTAAAAACAATTAGGTAAATTATGGTTTTCGTTCAATGAACACTTCTGATTGAGTCACTGCATTTAATTATGCATAAATTTACTTTCCAAATTATCTGAAATGAGAAAATACAAAATTCTTGACCATTGTTGACAAGGACATCGACAAATTAGGTAGAGCAATGTCAATTTCTTTTAGAACTTCATAATTAAAGTAAATATGAAACAATTTCAGTTTGACAACATTGAGATGTTTGTGTACCCTTTCTAATTTCTTTCAATTTTGGTTTGTAATTCAGAATGATTTGAACAACAAAATGAACACTCTACCGCCGTTAGATATCATTGTCACATGGCCAGCTATGGAGGACGCACTGAAGGGAATACACAGAGAGCCTATATCGGTGTACGACCACGCTATGCAGACTATGGCTATGACAGATGTAAGTATTATATTAATGTGGCCCTTGTATAGCACTTTACACCAAAGGTCTCAAAGTGTTTCAAGATTATTACCCCTGTTCGTCAGGCCATGAGACCATTTTTCTAGCGCAGCTCGAGATTAGCGCAATCTGGTCTCTGCGCTCACAGGTACCCATTTATAGTCCAGGGTGGAGAGAGGCAATTGTTGTACAATGTCTTGCCCAAGAACACAAGCACCCCATGTTCCCTGTCAGGGTTCGAACCCATACCACTGCACATGAGTCAAGCACCGTAACGTTGGACAATATCCCCACAGTTTTTATTTTTTTTGTGTTTTGTTGTGTCCGGTTTATTGCTTATGCGGGAACTGTTTTTATGGGAAGGGACCTAAAATTGTTGCAGATTTTTAAGCCAACGGTGCTTCCCCGCGACATTCTTGTGATAAGCAAAAATGTTTGTCGACATTTTCAAATTTTTATTTTATTCCCCCTAAGAATCCCCCAAATAAAATAGTACAGAAATTAGCAGGGAAAAATTTGAATTTTTACCGAGAAAACACTTAAAAATTTTCAGACCAGTCCAATAGGGTTTGTGCACAGGGTGACAAGTGATGGCCAGATATGGGAATCTTTCCGCTGTTGCCTTTTAAAAAAAAATTACAAATTATTTGGCATAGCGGTAGTACATCTATTGTGTGAAAGTTACTAAATTCACTGTCATTTTCTGTTGTTTCTAGACTTCCAATGTACAAACGATGCCAACGAAAAGTTCATATTCACAAACCAGGGTAAGTTTCTGTTTTTAAACTTGTAAAGTTAGAGCCAATCTCTTGGTTACACACTTGATCGACACTCACACCAGGAATTTGTTAAAACAAATTTGGCAAACGAGCAAAACACCTAAATTGTGGAAAAATATCTGACACCAAAGCCAGCTGTTCTCTGCGTGTCAATTTCAACAAACTTCAACAACAAACATCTGTTGAGCTGTTGAAGTGGTTCAAATTTGACTTTTGCTAATAAACAAGCTTGTCAGAAAAAGTGCATTGTGACATAACCAAACAACATGAACAAACTCAAATTTCAACAAGTTTCTGTCGTAATGAAAATCGTATAAAATTGTTTTTTTCTGTATACCTTCTTTACATGTAATCCTGCCAAATCCTCCACACCCCTTGTGGATTTTGAAGAATATGAAAGTGTTAGGATGAAAATCAAGTCACTATTTCTTTCTTTTGTAAATTACACTTTTGATTGTGGAATATGGAAATTCTATCTCAAATTAATTCGCAAGTCGGCCAAAGTCGAATCACAAGTCGGGTCACAAGTGGCAGAGGATGAACAATGGCAAAGGATTGCCTTTCTAACAGTTTGTTGGAATAGCTAGTCACTTGACTACGATGTGATTGACGACTCATGACTTGTGATGACTTGTGATATCTTATGATGACTTGTGATGACTTGTGATTGACTTGTGAGGACTTGTGATTGACTTGTGAGGACTTGTGATTGACTTACAATGTCTTGTAACGACTTATGATGACTTGTGATTGACTTGTGAGGACTTGTGATTGACTTGTAATTGACTTGTGATTGACTTGTGAGGATTTGTGATTGACTTGTGATGACTTGTGAGGATTTGTGATTGACTTGTGATTGACTTGTGAGGATTTGTGATTGACTTTGTAATGACTGGTGATGACTTGTGACATCTTGTGATTGACTTGTGAAGACTTGTGATGACTTGATTACAACTTTGCATCATAGTTCTTGTGCATGTTTGTGACCTGTCCATTCTATCACAGACACCGAGTCCAGGTCCTCCATCCAACCCCCCTTCCCGTCCAGGCTCAGCCGCCCATCCCTCCATGGAGATACAACGCATTCTGAAAGACATCGGTGAACTGAAAGGAAAACATGATTCTGTGGAGAACAGAGTCAAAACGTTAGAGGTAACACACAATTATTCCTGCTTCTCGGGATGTTCTTTTTTTCTCTCTACGTGATGGTTCTCAGACATTGTAAATACACTGATGGAGAGTCATATTTCATTGCAGGGTAGGCTGGTTCCCGTCCCACGTCTGCTCACAAAGAGTGGATCTGTTTGTGTCAAAACACACACACAAAACTTTTCAGAGGGTTGCAGATGTCCACAAAAGCGATAAAGTGAGGATTTTGATTAGGATAAAACATGGTTGAAAATTTATTTTGAAAAGAAAATTTCATTTGTTGAAGAGGACGGAGAATGCAACCTTAACTTTGACTCCCTGGTGTCCCATAACAGGAGCTGATGAACAGCAAGTTGGACTTGGATGATGTCAAGAAACTGCTGGGTGAGAAGAAGGATGTTCCAGAAGACTTGACAAGGATGCTGGAGGAACTGAAGGAAGGACTGGACTCGCTCAAAGAGGGAAGAGACAAGGTAATAGACGGACAACAAATGAATATCAGTACAAAAGGCTAGTACTGGTGACATTTGTGGATCAAAAAATTAATCATAACTTCTTCGATTTAACTTGTTTTAGTGTGTGAATTAGCATCGCTTTGAGCACTGCAGGCATTTTACTTCAAAGAGACTTAATTTTTGCTGAGCACACTATAGCATACACACATCTTGCCCCCCAAAAAATTTGCATTTGATCATATCATCATGCTGCACTTGCATTGAAATTAATTTTTTTTAACAAGGGTTCTAGCAAATAAACTCCATTGCACCTTTTAATACACTTTCTCTTGCAGATTGAGGTGAACTAATATTTCCATATTTCGCTTTATATCGTTCCTCCATTTCTCAACTTTTTACTGGAATGATAATCCCGCAATCAACTACTTTCTTTCAAAACCATTTGCAGGCTTAATCAAACTCCCAAAGTATTCTTGAATAGTTACTGAAACTTTTGCATGCTGTACAACAAGGCCAATGGGAACTCCACTTTGTTTCAAGAAACAGATTGATTGAACTTTGGATTCACTGTTGCATTTATGAGCTGTATTTCGTAAGAAATATAATATGAAACAAGACTGAAACCCACCATAACAATCATCTGAAATATACAGAAGAGGAGAGATTTGTACAGCAATTGGCTTGATTCTCACTCTTCCTGAATTTAAAAGCTGATAAGATTCTTTCAATAATAACCTTTTAATATCTGAATTAACCGCATTCCACCCTTCACAATGCATATCCCTCACACTTCAACACCCCATACCCCTTTTTCCATTTCCCCATAACTGACCCAACCATACCCTGTACCTTACGCCCTTGCCCTGTATACCCCTCTCACCTAACCCCTGCACCTACTACCTACCCACCTCACCCCAAACCCATATCGTCTGACCATATACACCCCACATTAACCCCCTCCCCACACCCCTCTCCTTACCCCTCACACCCTCTATTCCCTTTGCCCATACTATCTCCCTCCCACAGATGGACCAGCTCGACCGTTGGATCAGTGAGCAATCCCAGATGGTCCCCGCCTCCCAGCGGGACGTCCAGCAGCTCAGGGACGAGCTGGCCCAAACCCAGGCCGACCTGGCTGCTGATATAGTAGCCATGGCTAAAAACCTGCCTGTAGGGAGCACTGTGTCCACTGCCAGGGTTAGTGGATATTGGTAGAAAGGTTAAAGGTTGCAACGAAACGACCTTTAAAGCCCGGTTCATACTCTGCGCGAAAGCGAACGCGAATTTGTGACGTTGTGGCAAGTATTCCCGCTGTGAATTCGTAAAAGTTGAACATATTTCAACTCGGGTGAATTTCGCAGCGAATGTTTCATGACGCCAAATTCGGTCGCATTCGCATGAAGTGTGAACCAGGCTTAAGGCAGTCAAATGGAGAAAAATTGGATCTGAACGTAAAGTTACTGCAACCGAGATACCGGTAGTATCTCCTGATGTCAGAACCTTTTCAAGTTCTCAGAATGCAATCATAAGACAAGCATGCAGTAATAAGTCAAGTGACAACTTATTCAAATGAGATTTAATGAAAACCTTACTCTGCGCTGTTATGACCAGACTTTGTGATAAGACTCCTGATTGACTCATTCACAAAGTGTCTAAACAAGGCTTTCAAGTAACGCGTTGACACAAACCATTCATTATTCAACACCTGCAAGGAGACAATTTGCATTGCCCCAGCAGACGTAGAAGCTAACTGTCAACTTGATTTGACTCGTTTGTGATGCATTGATCTGTTGATAGTTAATCAATTAGCAAAGGTCCACCTAAGAAGACTATTTGAAATTGTTGGAGTCCTTTTGCATTTCCGATTCGTAAATCTTGATTTATGGGAAAATACTATCAGCAACAGAATGTCTCCCTTGTAAGCAAACAAATTCTTGATCTTCAATCATCCTAAGTATTTTTTAAAACAAAAACAAATGCTGACTAAAACCAGTAATAATCTTATTTCAGTTTATCAATGTGTTTACTCTGCTCGGAACTAAGTTTCACTGCGCTAGTCTCACTCTCTCTTTGCTTTCCACGCTAATCACCACCCTGACCTTTTCACCACCACCACTACCACCATCTTCACCACTCACCATCACCAGTTTGACAGCATGCACTCTCAGTTCCAAGACCAACTAGAGGGCCACTCGCAGGGCCTGAGCCAGGAGCTGGGCAAGCAGCTCGGCAAGGTCACTTCCCGATTGGGACACCTTGAGTGGAGACTAGACAGCCAGGGCAAACAGCTTGAAGCCCAGGCGTCTATGGGGATGCTAGACTCCGCCCACAGGCTGCATGAAGTAGAGCAGACACAGGGGTCGGGAGGGGATTTGGTAGGCTTTGATGTTGGGTGTCCCGTCCTTTTTGGCTGTATTTTTTTGGTGACATTGGCGAAGAAGTAAATGTTATGTTGGTATTTTGCATGCTTGTGTCATTGGTGTATTGTATCCTAATTTCTAGCATCACAACTGCTTAGAATTGAATGGAATATCAAACCTGTTGCCAAAACTTTGATGCTCAACTTTTTGAGCATGGAATAAATTGCAGCAATTAACTGATGTACAGGGTGAGTAAAAAAAACAATGAAACCCAAATGTCGGGACTATTGTTTTATTGAAGTTCTGCATGTAGCACTTTCAAAATCTAGGACATGAAAGCCCAATTCAAAAGCTTTCTTTTAGTACAATAATCATTCAAATCACTCATGTTCTTTTTAAGTAATGGGAGTATTAAATACAACCACCGTTTTAAAGTTCTGTCCACGGATCACAAAAAAGGTGTGCGTTCTTTCAGCAAAACGAAAACAATTCACACACATCCGTATGTGATTTGTTTTCGTTTTGCTGAAAGAACACCGAACTTTTTTGTGATCCGTGGACAGAACCTTAAAACGGTGGTTGTGTTTAAAATTCCGTAACTTGAAAAGTACATGAGTGATTTGAATGATTCTTGTACTAAAACAAAGCTTATAAACGGGGCTTTCATATCCTAGATTTTAAAAGTGCTCCATGCAGAACTTCACTAAAACAATGGTCCCAACATTTGGGTTTCGTGTTTTTTTTACTCACCCTGTAAAGAGCATGTCATCAGGTTTAAGTTGTTATTAAGTACCCTTCTTTAGATTTTCAGCACTTTTGTTGCTTCAAACAAAAAAAATGCACAAATGATGTACTCTACCTTTACTTGGGCATATTCGTCACAATAAATTTATTGCACAAAGTCTATGCTACATTTAGCCAATCGGGTCATAGGCATTGTGAAACTGTACATGTGCTGTGTATTTTTTAGTCAGGCTTTAGTAAATGCATGCTGGTAGTGCCCAAGAAGTTGACAACAGCTTGTTTCAACTTGTTCAACTGCTTTATCGGTGTTCTGATTGTTGTTTGTCATGGTCTTTGATCATTAGGATAGTGAAGTAATCACCAACATGCAGAAGTTAATTCTTCAGCTACAGGCCGAGGTGGATAAACTCAACCACACGTGTGTGCAGCTTGTGGATGAGCATAACAGCAAACAGAAACATATCGATGTGAGTATGGTCCACAAAATTATTTACAGAATTATGCTTAAATGTCCCTCTAAAAGCAGAACAGTTCTTCAACACTCAATGGACACTGTGTACAAGGACCATACTTAAAGATCATTCCCTCTCCTATTTTCAAGTTTCATCTCAAAAAATAGATTTTTGGTTTTTCTATTGCTGTTTTCCTAACAATATAAAAGTTTTTCAGTTTTGAACGAGACATCGAACGAAAATATCTACTGACATTTAGTGACAACAAACTAACCTGACTTGTTTTTTTCTTCCAGGCACTGTACACTTTTGTTGACAGACTACAAGAGAACAAGGCTGACAAAGAGCATGTCATTATGGAGATCGATGTGGTACGTTTGCATGATTGTTGTGCTCGTTTAAAATTTATAGTTCAAAGACCCACCACAATTTTATGTAGTCATTATCTTTACTTTGTATTTTGTACATGAAAATTTATCCCCTCCCCCTCAAAATTACATTTATAAAATTATATTTTGAAGTTTTATGAACATTTACAAGAATTGCATCTGAAATTATTCACTCCTTTTTTTTAGAAGTTATAAAAGAATCCCCAAGTCTTTCAGATGTCCCTATTTTTATAGATAATTCAGAACTTGATTATTTTGCTATACATTAAAAAAAAAAATTCATATTAAAAAAAAAAGTTGGGTGCTCTAAATACATGTAGTAACTTCAGTTTTAGGCCCCGATTTCCATAGAACCACAACTGATAACATATGGACAAAACACATTTCCTTGTTAGCATCAGAATGACAAATTGCCGTTTTATTTAAGAACCGAATTGATATATTTAATTGGATTCAGCTAATAATCAGAGCATACATTGGAAGCATTTGTACAAATGAAACAATCACTCACATATTGCCCATTGTACCGCGGTAGGCCTACCTCCCGGTATTTGCAATCTTCAAAGGGGACTCTGGTGCCAACTCCAATTAATCCGTCTACAGGAAAGTGCTTCAAATTACTAATAATAAAATTCAATAATTGGGAATGAATCGCCAAATGTCACTCAGATATGTAATTGGATTTTAATATCAATTAGCCATATGCTAGCGTGTCAGTCTGAAGACTTCACGTTTAGTTAAGGCACACATACCAGTTAATCTGTTTTTAAAGGGAATGTACATCATTGGCTTTTGCTGTAATTTTCGGAAATGAACTATTTTGAGGGGTTAGTATAACAGATCAAATATTGTTACACTGACATGTTTGAAGTTTTGTGTTTAAAAATACTTTAAAAAACCAAGAAAACCAAAAATGTTCAAGTAGTCTGGTTCCCTGACTCCACTAAAGATGAAATGGATCAATTTATAGATGCCGGAAAATTGTAAGGTAATGGAATCAGTCTAACTGGCCTGCACCCGTTCAAGAACATGTAACCAATAGCAAACAAAATTTGGACTGAAAAAAAAGGGAAATTTGGAGCAGTAGTTGAAAGTAGTTAGGTTTTTCCAACGGTGGTCGGCCGACCACCGTTGGAAATTTATACAAATACCACTTTTCTTGAAAAGGACTTCACACATGGTGCCATAATTTTACAGGATGCTTTAGACTGTCATTTACCAACATCCTAGTAAGGTATTTCGTAAAAAAATTGGTAGTTTTGTTTTTCGATATTTGCAAATGTTGTATATTCCCTTTAAGTGCTATTACTCAATATCACTGTTACCATGGTTACTTTGAAATTCCCATTAAGCTGGCATTTTAATGGATGGTTGAAATTTAAGATTGTTTAAACCACGTTTCTCTAATTTCCTGTTCGGTTTACAGAAAGCAGACAAGCGAGCGCTGGAGAACAAAGTCAGCACCACGCATTTCCAGGGAACGGTGGACGAACTGTCGCGCAATCTCAACGACGTCCTGGATAAACTGTCTGGCCATGTAAGTGGAGAATTTCAATGATTCATTCTCTGTTGACTTACCTCATTATGAATGATGTCATATCTGCACAGTTTCACAGAAGTAAAAAATCTCTAACTTATTCTCTTTGTAAAAAAAATGATGGCTGTACCTTTCCAGCTATGCAAGAATAGGTCTGTTGTGATAAACAACGACTTAATGAGTTAACTACAGGAATTCAAATTGTTGATATCAGAAGACATTCCTACAGTGTGGTTATATATATTTCTTTTATTTAAGAAATGTCCGTAATTTTCTTTTGGAATGATGCCCTGAAAAATAATTTCTAGCATTATTGAAGTGAAGAGATTGAATTAAACAATTTGTCAACATAAGATAAATGATAAATTGTTTCATAAAAACAATTTGTCAACGTTAGATATAAACGATAAATGAAGTTTCAAAAAGAGGAGCAGAAATCAATCTCAGCATGTAATACTGGCTTAAAGTTGCGTTCCCCCCTGCTATTTTCGAGTTTTATCCCAGAAAATAGATTCCTTTTCTAATGCTATATTTCTGACTTTACAAAAGTCATTCACTTTTGAATGAGACATCAACCGAAAAAAATCAGCCCATGTTTAGTTCATTTAATTATTACTTTACAATTATACGAAAAAAATCAGCCCATGTTTAGTTCATTGAATTATTACTTTATAATTTAAATTATTGGCTGCCAGACAATAATTCCGTTCTCGCGGGGTAGGCTGGTTCCCGCCCCACAATCAGTATCGATAATGTATGGACCGGGAGCCAGTCTGCTCACAAAGCGGATCTGTTTGAGTCCAAAACAAAAACCTTTTTTTTTCAGAGGGTTGCAGACATCCAAAAGAGTTAAAAAGGAGCGCTTTTTGGTTGAAATAAAACGAAAGAAGTTGAACATTTATTGCTAGAAAAAAATCCCACTTTGATGAAGAGCAGGGGGAACGCAACTTTAAGAACATTTTTTTCATGTGATTTTGGGACTTCTGAAACAAAGCCTTTAGTCTCAGAAAGGGGTTTTAAATTACTTCACTAATCACCGGAGGCCACTTTCATAATTCATAAGCAAGGAGAAATTCTCAAAGTAACATTTTTGTTTTGGAGAGCTTCGATAACGTGCCTTCATTGCACAGTTGACATTCTCTCCGGTTGGTCTTGTCAAACCCAGCGCTCGGCATGGCAGGAGGCCGTCAGCGAGATGAAGCTAGACATTGACAACAAGCTGGACCGGATGGAACTGGATCCCCTCAAGTCCTACCTAGATAACCGCATCAAGTCAGTAGGTGCTAAGCTGGTCCGTAAGGTGGAAGTGGACACCACGCAAGACGACGCGGCTGGATTCAGAAAGTGAGCATCGTTACGTTTGGTAGAAATGTGTAGATACACCTTGTGGTGTGACATTCTCTGAACATTTATTATTGGGTTTTACCCTTCACTAACGTAACTTTATTGACGATGTGTACTCAGTGTTGTCCAAGGGATTGCAGGAAAAATTCACAAGCTTACTTGGAAAGCATGAGCAATTTCCAACAGATTTTTCACAAATCTGTGAGAGGAATAAACCTGAGCTTGGTCATATGTATTAAGTTTCATTAACCCTTACAGAACTCAACCCATCAAACCCCCACAGCATGTTTTGTTGGAATCTGTCAGGATTCCAACATGGGTACAGTACCCCTAAACTGACAGTCTTTTACATTGGGTTGGCACACCTCCAGAATCAAAGTCAGAAATATGTGTGTGCAGTTTCCCATATGGTGTTGGAATTTGCCAGGATGGGTATGGTTCCTAGTAAACCGTGCTAGGGAGTTAGGGTTATAAGTAATACTTTTGCATTTTGTATTTCAAGGCAAAGTGAATAGCAAAGCTGATAGGCTTTCTTTGACCAAATCCTTCAACTCTTGTTCACTGTTGATCATCGTACAGACGTTACAGGTGTCTCTCTTTCAGTATTGGTGTTTTATTGTCTTGTTTAACAGGCAACTGATGCAGAAATTCAACTGTATCTCATGTGACAGACCGCTGGACATGACGCCGCAACCGTAAGTAGACCCAAGAATCTATAAAAAGATATCACTAAACACCAATCCACTAAGAGTTTGCCTCAAATCGACCACTTATAACTTCAGGCTCGGTTATACATGTATACTCATGAAAAGTTCAACAACAAAAAAACAAACTTGCGATTCGACAGAAATTTGAATTGTGAGTGAAACACCTTTGAGAAAATTACAAAGATTTAAGTTAGGCTTGCTCTAAATGCTATGCTCAGCAAATGAAGTTTGGCATAGCACCATCCTTTGGCTAATTGACAGGGTCTGTTGTGCTATTGTCATTCCAAACGGCGGTGGCACGGCACTGTTCTACATGCCGTACCATTGCCGTGCCGAACTCAATCCAAAATTGGGGCAAACTGGAGTGAAATTGGCGCGAATATTTGACAACGCTGAAAAGCATTGGACTGCTTGAATGTTATTTCCGGCAAGCTACACTTAAGATGCATTTAGTTTGACTGTTAAGCTCAGCGTTAAGAGTAAGACCAAGCTCAATTCAATTGCACGGCAGTGGCATTGTTTTAAGGACAGGCCTTTATTACCATTTAACACACAAGTAAAAGGAACCTTTCTCGTTATTGTTTTCCTACTGATGTTCAGGCCCCTAGCATCATTACCTGAATCCAAGGGCATGCCCGGCACGAGGACAGGCCGGCCTTACACAACGTTTGAGTTGGAACAAATCAGAGCAGCTCAGAAAAAGTGAGTACAGGTTTTAGTTTCTGTGGCAATTTTCTCTAGAACCGTGTTTTATTTAGGGTGAACTGGAATTTAGTGTCATTTAGTGAGATTTAGTTTCAGGGTTAATAATAGGTTAATGTAGGGTAGCAGATAAAAAAAAAGGCAGATTATGGAATGCTTTTCATAGAAAGCTAGAAAATTAAACGGTAAATCTGTCTGCCATTTTCATGGTTTGTTGATGAAAAAGAGCATTACAGTATTTTTATCATTGTCCTTGAGGCACAAGTTGATCCAAATTATCACCTTAAATTGATTCAGTTGACCCCCCTGCAAAACCCACATCTGAAAGTCTTTCCTTTGGTAGGCCACATATTCAAAAACCTGCTTATGTGCACATCTTAGTTGCACCCTTGTTACACCTCATTTGTTGATGTAGACATTTAGTTTGAACAAAAGCTGCCACTGTGCTGAAGAAATAATCAAGATGTTGGTGTACCATGAGTGTATGGATTTGCATAAATGTTAGGCCTAGGGTTTACCCATTCCTGTAACAACTTATGAATCTTCATCTTTGCTTTTATTCTGCTTTTGCTCATCATCTCGAGTCGACCCTTTCCATAATGAATTTCCTTTCTCATACTGCCTGTAATTTGACTTTGCTTCTTCCAAACTTGTCAAATATAATGTGACTAGTCACCCTGAACCAAGCCAAGATCAGCAGAACTAAATCCGATACAGCAGTTTCAAAAGTGGAATGCTGTTTCAAATTCCTGACATGCTTAGAGCAACTTTGATCGCAGACCATTAGATAACCAGAAGTTCAAAGGAATGGTTTATCACAATTCATTTGAATAGCTTGTCTCTTGGAATTCAGAGTATGTGTCACTGTTGAATGACTCTATGCTTATCTTTGAATCCACTCTGTTGACTATTATACCTCTTTGCATGCAGTTGAGGGTGGCAGTCGCTATTATTCCTCATCCTTTCTGTTTCACTAACCATCTACCAAATACTCTTTCTCATCTACCATCGACTTGCTTGGGTCGGGGGTTCATACAAACCTCTCTCACTGTAGGGCTAAGCCAGGCAGGAACGTTCTCCACTACGATAAGGCTTTACAGGAACAAGAGTTAGCTAGGCAGCGTAAGCAGGACATCATGGCCTACCTGGTTCACTTCCACGGGGAGACAGACCGGCCGGCGTTCATTAGGAACGTTCCCCAGCTCCACTTGCAACCAGACAGACACAGGTTATTGGTAGTTTATGAAACTGTAATAGGGAAAGAAAATATACAATAGATTAGTGTTGGCGTTATCATAGGATGAATTTAGTTAGGCCTAGTGTGACACATTCCACTTATGCATTTGGTATTACGGTTGTCGTGTATCAAGTATTAAAGTAAACTAAAGTATAATAATGGGACAGAAAACAAACTTTCATGTTCGATAAAGTAAAGTCTGTCACGAGCCAATATGACTCAGGCCGGCGTTTATCTCCGGTTTTCTTGGCATGAAGAACAGAGAATTAAGTTCCATTCCACCGAGGTAATGCCGGTACCTATTTGCAGGGTGAATCAAAAAAAGCAAAACCCAAATGTCGGGACTATTGTTTTAGTTAAGATCTGCTTGTAGCACTTTCAAAATCCAGGATATGAAAGCCCACTTCATCAGCTTTCTTTTAGTACGAGAATCATTCAAATTACTCATGTACTTTTCAAGTTACAGCATTTTAAACACAAACACCATTTTAAAGTTCTGTCCACGGATCACAAAAAAGGTGTGTGTTCTTTCAGCAAAACGAAAACAATTCACACTCCGTATGTGATTTGTTTTTCGTTTTGCTGAAAGAACACTTACCTTCTTGTGATCCGTGGACAGAACCTTAAATCGGTGGTTGTGTTTAACATTCCGTAACTTGAAAAGTACATGAGTGATTTGAATGATTCTTGTACTAAAAGAAAGCTTATGAATTGTTTTTTCATAACCTAGATTTTGAAAGTGCTACATGCAGAACTGCACTAAAACAATGGTCCCGACATTTGGGTTTCGGTTTTTTTTTTTACTCACCCTGTATACTCCTGGGTGGAGAGAGGCCAGTAGGGTGAAATACCCAAGGACACAACGTTGTAAAATGTATGGGAAGGGGATTCTTTCCTTTTTGCCTTTCACAAAAAGTCACTAACAGCAACGCAGTAAAAGACAACCCAATAAGACCCAATGTATGAGGGCGTATGCCAACATCAAAAGTAGTATTGGTTGCATGTTATTGTAGGTGCAGTTAGGTAAGACAATGTCGTAAAAAAGTAGAAATATAAACCCGTTTGCTAAACTCTTCGCATTCTTTTCTCCTCTAAATGCTGCTTACTATGACAAAGGACATTGAACCCCAGTACCCCGGAGATTGAATACCTCCAAATTGAAGCCATGTCCCTCCCTCCCACCCCCTCCGGCCCCCACGGAGAGCTCATGAGGCTCAGACATTCCCGCCTCATGACCGATTTCCTTAATAAACAAAAACCCTCAACTCCAAGGTAAACAAAAAGTGGCTTGATTTTTTTGAGTGATGCACATTTGTCAACTTAACTGCACAGAAATTAACTAATGTGTGTGTTGTGTGAAGCCAATTAACTAGCACAATGACAAACCAAAGCAAGTGTGTCTCATTATGGACACCCTGAACAAATAATCCTTTAAAGGGAATATACACAACATTTGCTTTTGCTGTAATTTGCAGAAATGGATGGATTTGGGGGTTAGTATTGTATAGCAAATATTGTTACACTGACCTGTTTAAAGGTTTGTGTTCATAGATGCTGGAAACCAAGACAAAATATGCTTTTCATGTAGTCTGGTTCCCTGACCCTATTGACCAAACGAAGCAATTTATAGACGTCAGGAAATTTATAGACGTCGGGAAATTGTCAGGTCAGGGAACCAGACTAGCTGGCTTGTACCTCACAGATATGTAACCGATTGCAAGCATAATGTGGACTCACTAAATGTGGTAAAATGGGGGCAGTATTTGACAAAAAGTCAGTTTTTCCCAACGACGGTCGGCCAACCATCATTTCAAATTAATACAAAAATTCCACTTTTCTTGAAAATGGCAGCACACCAGGTGCCATGATTTCACAGGATGCTTGAGACTATTATTAACTTACAGTCAAAATAATTTGGTTTTGTTTTTTGATGTTTGCAAATGTTGTATATTACCTTTAATGGTTAGAAGATAGTAATAGGTGGGAAACTTGAATGCATTGCCCCTGAACGCATGGCACTTAATACTTGTAGACACCTCAGGCTTCAGGCTTGTGCACATATGGATGACCATTACTCCTGCGTGCTTTCCACACTTCGGATGCAAACAATTACGTACATGCTCTCTCAGGAGTGGTGCTGGGCATCTACTGTTCATGCTAGGATTCCATAGACCATTTGCATAGCAGCCATCTTGGAGGGTGCAGCACTTTGCTTCACAGGGGTCTGCATGAGTATACTATTTGTGTATTGTTAATCAAAAATATATCCAAGATGGCTGCTTGTTCAAAGGATCTAAATGTTAAGGTTTTTACACCAAGGATATTTGAACTTCTCTGAAATGTCCGACTTCACGTTATCACTTTAATACCAAATTAACATTGCCACTTTTCAAAAAGATTTAACTATTTGGTTTTGCACTTCAAACTAACTTCCTTTTGTCAATAATACAAAGTTGCTTGTTTACAAAATGACACAATAAAAGCACACTTATAAGCATCTTGTAACTTTTTTCATTTTCAAGTAAAAATGTAAAAAGATGTAAGACTGTGGATATGCTCTGTGATCACAAAGTTTCAACTTTATATTTTAACCCAAAAAAAATAACACATCAAGACTGTATAAAAGTGACTTGCACATTTTCAAAATATTTACCTATGAGTAATCATCTTTGTGTTTATTGTAAATTTGTCTGAAAACTAAACCCAACTTTGACCTGTTTTGCTACAGTGGGAATGTTGACGTGCCTGACTACTTCTCAACCACTAGGAGCTGTGGAGGGAGTCACACTATGACCTATCCACACAGACGCAATACACGCATGGCAAACCTCACGTAAGTTACACTTGTTGAGTCCCCATAACTCCCTTACAAGTCCATCACAAGCCCATCATAAGCCCATCACAAGCCCATCACAAGTCCATCACAAGCCCATCACAAGTCCATCACAAGCCCATCACAAGTCCATCACAAGTCCATCACAAGTCAATCACAAGTCCGTCACAAGCCCATCACAAGCCCATCACAAGCCCATCACAAGTCCATCACAAGTCCATCACAAGTCCTCCAGTTTTCAAGCCCGGTTGCATGCCATTCGAAAGAAGCATAACAAAGGCATTCCTTTTTCATTGTTCATCCGCTGTTGCTTGTAACCGGACTTGTGAATTGACTTGTGATTTGCTTTTGACACAACTTGTAACAGATTTGTGTGAACTACAACCATGATACTACGCTGGTGTGTTACCGAATCATTACATCACAGCTGACGAAAGTTGTGACTTTGTGAAGGAAAAATGAGTCAAATGTTGACCCCAACTTGATCTGTGGTTTGAAGAGTATACATTCAAGTTTTTTCCCTGAAACTGATGAAGACCTACACAAAACTTAGCAACAATACAATAATGAAATGAAAGAGATATGATACTTTTAATTTGTTTACCGAGGGCTTACATTTAACTTACATCTCAGATGGAATAGGCCAGACATGTGGGTCATTTTCTCTTGCTGACAAGAAACAGTATCATTTTTAGCTAAATGCCAGTTCTGTTGTGGTTTGTATAAAAATGGGTCTGGTTGATCTGTAAACTCACAGTAGTCCTAATAGAAACAACCCATAAGCCTTGGGGTGAGCATTCATTTTGATATTTTTTTTCTTTCCTCAGGGGGATTGTACAGGAGGAGGATGCAGTCAGCGTGAATAATTTTGTAAATGGGAGGTGAGTGAAAACTGAATGAATTTAATGAATAAACACCCACAGAAACAAAGAAAGTTTCAGCTATTTTTCGTTTGTTTTGTAATGTGTGTTTCCCAAATGAAGTGCGTTCCAAAAATATTGTCATCACTGTCAAGGTATAACTAAGGTAAAATCATACACTTTATTCTAGTACAAGTTTCAAATTGTAATCTAGTGCATGGTTTTATTGAAATAACATTTCAACACAATCTCAGAATAATTTTAAAGTTGAACAAAGAAATTGACTGGACATGGTGGAGCGGGGCTTGAACCTGCAACCTCCAGATTGCCGTTCCAGTGCTCTACCAACTGAGCTATCCAGCCTTAAATTGGCAGTTCCGCCTGTATTGAACAATCTCAGGACGATAGTTTACCCCTGAAACTGATGCTTTAGTGTGAGAAGGCTTTTTTTACTAAATAATGGTTTTATGAATCGTTTATTCCAAGCAGGCTTGAGGCAGACATTCAGGGTCAAGATGGTCACATCTACAAAGGACGCATAGGACCCACCGACTTAGAACGACTGCCGACCATTGCACCGCATAGAGTGAGTGTCTTGCCAATCTGTCCATGCATGATCTGTAGAGGGTGCTCTTTATGCAATGTCATTATTGATATATTGCTAGTCACCTGTTTTATGACTTTGTCAGTGCTTTTGCGGGACTTGCAGTTTAAAGCTATAGTCCATCATTTGTAATTAGTGCATTTTGTTCGTTTGAAGCAACAAAGTGTTCAAAATCTAATGAAAGATACTGAACAACTTACTTGATGAAGTTTCAGCTCAGCTTCAGCTTCATATTCCGAGAAAAACAGCATTCTAGGATCTCAATTTAATATCAAAACTTGCTAAATCATGTTTCGAATTGTTTTGAATTGCAGCTTTACGCGATGTTGCGCACTGATCCGACGAATTATAGCAACCGCGCGCGCCTGTGCGTCGTTCCAATGCTTGTGCGCGCTGCGCCGAATAACAAAACGAACAACTAATTTAAATTTTCCTACGGTGCTTCTTAAGAAGCACCGTAGGAAATGCCTTCCTCAACCAGTATGTTTTTCAACAATAATTACGCCAGTTACTTTTTTGGATAGCTGCAAATGATGGACTCGGGCTTTAAAGGGACCATGATGTAACTTTTCATTGGGAACATATTTTGTGCAAATTCCTCTTAAATGTATGAAAACTATTAGACATCCCATTTTGGTAATCGCTTTTTGAAAAGTTGAAAAGTGGACTTTTTTTTTAACATGTTCCATGTTTTTCCTGACAACTGAGGGCGCTCTTGCTGTGATTTTAGACTCTTCACTTCAGGGGTTTTCTGTTAAAATTGTGAACCCAAAAAATTGCTATTTGAAAACATTTGTGAGAAAAGTTTGCTCATTGACTCACTGTAATGTATTGAAACGACGAATCACCAAAAAAAAAAAAAAAAATATCACAAAAATCTGGAATTTTTTGGTACTAAAATAGCTGTACCATTGAGGTTTCTGCCCAAAATGACATCACACTTGTGCTCATGAATATGGAAATTTGCATAAGCATAAAAAACGGAAAGGCACCCTTGAAAATGGCAAAATGAAAATTATTATACATGGGCCCTTGAATTCACATTTGTATCAGTAACAGAACTTTTATAGTAATCCACATATTTGCAGCTAATGACTGAATTCTTCGTGCTCTCTCACCACATTACAGCTGCCTTCAGCAAGGTCACCCCGCCCGACCAGCTCCCGGGCCAATCGCCATGACAACCAGCTCTCCAAATCCACCCCGGAGCGTCAGGCCTCCCGGCCGACGTCGGCGCGCCCGCAGTCCCGCCTCCAACAGACGCGCCCGACCAGCGCGCGACCCCAGAGCGGGAGGTCACAGGGGTCACCGACCCCACCCCAGTCATTGAACCCGGCCGAGGCTGACCCACGACCTACGACCCCGCCTAATACTGTAGAGGTCACCGCGGGTCAAGACGATTCAAGTCAGAACGTGATTGCTGAGCCTGCAGAACAACCCATCGAAGTCCAGTAAAAATTAGGATATTGATTGATTTCTTGTGAAGTGCATTGTTATTTTATATGCATGCAATGAGTGAGTTGTGTGAATGATTGAATGTTTCTGTTCCAGCTTGGTCTGTATTCATTGTGAAGGGGGGGGTTTAGAAATTGCCAGTTTAAAACACAAATTGAACAACTTCATCTCTGCTTTACTATGTTGGGGGGGGGTTAAACAATGGTAAGTTCGTTTTGAGGGATATCACCCTGAATACGTTTTGAATTGTTGCATCATATTCATCTGAACCTATTTCCTTCGTTTACAAAACAGTTTCGATTTAGAATGTTTCAAATGCGATCTTCCGCTGAGGATTCAATTTCTGTGTACATAATGGGTGATGAATCAAGTTAACCAAAATTCAAAAAAAAAATTGTGACTGTCCAATAAATCAGATGCATGTTACTAGTTACTTATCGTTTTTATTGGAAATAGTTCCTTTCAAATCTGGCCAGTTTGTCTTGATAGCACACAGGTGAACTACACACAGAAAATTATCCCCATGTTTTTGTCGTTTTAAAGAAGTATTGTCGACTGTTACCCATTTTCTATTTTCAAACCTCTATAATACAAATCGAATGAGGGCAGATTAAAATTATAGTTCTCAGCAGCAAGAATATGTATGCAACAGGACTTAAAATGCATTTGGGTTAAATATTGTCCATCAATTATTAATATTTTGGATGATAATTAGTTCAGTACTTTGGAAAACCTGCAATAGATAGACATGGAAGTTACAATTTCACAAAACAGTGAAACAGGTTTCTGTATACATGAAGTTCCATGGCATGCACAATAGTGCTTGACATTTTGCCTGCCACATCGATATCAGAAGCTATAGGCTTTCCAGAGTTAAGCAATTTGGATACTATCCATAAAGTCACATCTTTTTTGCAAAGTATTTCTTTAAAATCACTATAAAACTTTTCAAACAGGGTTATAAAAACTACAGCAATATGATTTTTTTTAGCTACAGGTTATTTTTAAGGGCAAAATTACTTGCATAGTTAATTTTGTTGATCTTAGATTTGTCAATCAAATATTTGAAATATTTCTATACTGGCAACTTTGTTTTTCTGAAATTCTAGTTCTCAGTATTATATCAGACTTTGTGATTCGTAGGCCACTTATCTAACAAAGTAGATCCAGTTGTATTTGCACATAATTAACCCTGTCCAGGTACAAATTAAATATTTAGATTGGGATATAAAAAAAAAAATTAACAAAAACATATGCCAAATTAAATTCCCAAAATTTGTCTTGTTTAAAAAAATAAAAACTAAGGGGACATCTTATTAAAGAAATTTGAAAAGAAAAAAAATATTAGGAAATTAATGTTTGAATAACAAAACATTTAATGAAACAAATAATTCAAAGGTGCCTAAATCGACATTTAAGAAGAATAGAAAATACATGACAAATTATTTTATTTATTCTGCACTGAGTTTACATACTGTAATTTGTCAAATGAAGCTTCAAATTGAAATGTCCTGCATTCACAGGAGTAGCTGAATCATGCAAGATGTGACTGTGTCTATGTAATGTGCATTATTTAGTTTTGTCTCTTTGTAAACCTTTGCATAACTGATATCTTTGTAAATTAGTCCCAAAGAATGAGAGATTTATAGCATATTGTCGTGTACATTTCTGAATCCGTATAGCACATGCAGTTTCTGTGTATATATAACCAATTTGCATGTTTATTTATGCATTCCTGAAAGCACATTTTGATTTTAATAAAATATATGAAGAAAATGAAAGTGGACCTATTGATATATTTTTATTGTGTACTGTGTTCAACTGTTCCTATTAGCGTGGTCAAGTGCCGCAGCGAGACAAATATAGAAATGTTTAGGCTTCAAGTAATTTGATATATTAGAAAGATCGAATCCGTCTACTTATTTCCGTCCACTACTTATTACTAATTACTTCTAATTTTAGGGGCAGGAAATTCTTGTAGAAATAAATGCAAGGAAAACAATAACTTATAAGCTGTCATGCACTACAACTTACTTGGTCGTGACGTCAACGTTTTCCCTTGCCACGCCCAGGCAAAACCTGCACAGCCCTCCACAAACAACCTATCCCTAGCACAGCACCCAGCAGACTGAAGCTCACATGGCTATTTCAAATTCCACACACATGGGACTTACAATAGAATTATGCAAATAAGATGCTGCATGCCTGGCTGGACTGATACACACTCAGCTCAGGGGGTGTGATGGATGAGAGGGGCAGGCTAAACCAAAAATAGAAGGTGGGGAGAAAGGTAATGATGAGCTATTTTCATTACAATATGTTATATAAAGTGGGGAAAAACTGTGGTTTTATCAAAGTAATAAGATTCCCCCAAACACCTGGCCAAACGTCAACAATTTGATTTCATATCCAATGTTTACCCCTTTCCTTTTGAAACAAACATGTATGCATTTTGAAGTTTGTACTCTATAAGACTATTCCTTGGTAATTTTGAGATTAAAAACAAATTTGATTTGAAGATGTTTTCACTGTCAGACAAATTAAAGAAAAAAATATTCTGGTCAAATTTGAATTAAAATGCAAGGTTAGTCCCCTGGGTTTTTTTTCTTCTCTGAATTGAAATATGGAATCGATGATATTTTTGTCCCTAAGAAATATGCAAGGATTTTTTGGAAATTCATACTTTGGTAAAATTTGAAATTAGAGGGTAATCTCATTAATTTCTGGTCCTATTTAGAAAATATGGATAATACATTTTTTTTCGTTCTCTGTAAATCATTTCTGAGGAATTTTGGAAAAGTCATATTTTGCACTGGCTACTTGCAAATTACATGTAGCTGCAATAAAAATAAAAATAATTGGTTAAGGAGTGAACAAATTAATAACACTCGCTTCAAACCCCCACCCCTCCTCCCCAAATCGTTGATCCGGGGAAAACTAGTGTAACCAATAAATGAACACATACAAATACTGATTGACTTCCAATTGGACTGGATACTTTAATAAAATGTTTCTGTATTGTACACATGAAGCATCTTTTGTGCCTGGCGTCTATGTTACACTATGTCACACAATAAAATCTGAAACTCTTGAAAGATTTCTGGATAAAATGTCTTATTTATGTTTACAGAAAGATCATAAATACAATTTTCTTGCAGGTTCAAATACCTATTGTGCTTTTTTTTCTTTTACAAAGAGAAAATACTTTTCTTTTTCTAAAATAGTTTCTTCTTTCTCTAGTGTTATTCCTTATTGACAGAACTTTTTTTTTCATTATAATCTTAAAGCAAAAGTTGCTTGGAAACAGTCACCTAGCAATGGTTGCCAGGCAATGGTTGCCAAGCAACAGTTGCCAATGGTTTTAACCACTACATGATTTGCATAGTAAAACTGTATGTGCAGTGCTACCTGTTCATACTGCATACTTTTACAACCGTTTTTAACAATCAATACATTATGCTGGATTCAAAATCTACATCCACGTCAGTAAGCCATTTGCAAGAAAAATTTGAATAATGTCTGGTTCACTGACTTGTTTTTATGTCAAACATATTTTTAGGTTTGAAGTCTCCAGTCTAAAGAAGCACATGACTTGGGCAAGCTTCCAGGTAGTTATGTAAAGCCGTTTCCGAATTACTCGGCTACGGCCAGAATTTACACACGCACCTATGGAAGCGGCTGCAGCTGTGGCTACGGCTACTTCCCATAGACTCGTGTGTTATTTCTAGCCGTAGCCAAATAATACAGATGCAGCCTAAGAGAAGCCAAGCATCCATACTCTGTTCACAATGGGTGCGAATGCCAAAAAAGCACCAGACCATTCCAGAGCCGTGTCCGAATGACTCGGCTATGGCTGGAAATTACACACACCTATGGAAGCGGCTGCGGCCACTTCCAATAGACTTGTGTGTGATTTCTAGCCGTAGCCATGTAATTTCAGTTGTGGCTTAAGAGAAGCCAAGCACCCATACTCTGTTCACAATGAGTTCTAAAGGTAAACTGGCACCAGACCATTCAAGAGCTAAAGGATGCTGGCATAAGGCTTGCCCTGAAGCATGTGATATGGCAACATGGAGTCTTGTCTTGGGATTCAGAGGTCTTATTCTTGAGCAAATTAGGGGGCTGTATCGAAAGCTTTTGGGGGTATAGACATGAAATGATGGTCACTGATGTCACTGATACACATTGCTACAGTTCAAAAACTACATTTATACAATATTTATGTTTAGATTTAAGTAAAGTTTTATACTAAACTGCTTTAATAAACGAGTTGTCTAGTGGTTATACCCAGAAAATGATGTCGTATCGGCTAGCACCCTCATTTGCTGAGATATATGACCTATACATGCAAACTCAGAATACTAGACATTACAAACCCAACTTGCAAAATGGCTCGGTCAAAGATTCAGCTTATCTGAATACAAACATCAAACACTCTGATACAAACACTCTTAAAACGATTCCTTAAAATTCAAGCTCCAGGGCCGGAGAATACTTAAATCTCACCACTGTAAGGAAAGGGAGTTTGGAGCATGAAGATGATAGTCTCCTCTGCAGTGATTGAGTCTCACGTTGCAAACCAGCTCTCATTCAGTAATAGACCTGATCAGAGGGCAAATGTTTTTGTACTGCATGGATAGGCATGATTAAACCGTTTGTGCATTTATTGTGACTACATTAAAATTAAAAGAACGCCCTCCGCCGTACCTTCAATGCATGAGATCTATACATGTACATGTAGACCACTCCAGTACATTGTGTTTGATTACCAACATTTCAATGTGACCTATTTTCATTTGGACAAAGTTTGAAATTCTTATCAGAGAAAACATGCTTTAAAAAAAAACAGCTCAGGTAAACAACAGTCAATTAATGCACAAAATTCAAAATTTGACCCTCAAGAAAAATATAAGAAAGGAAGTGTCCAGTAGACACAAAAATGTGTAATGTCTACAGTATAGAATGCTGACAATGAAGAAAATAGGAAACAAAAAAAAAAAGATATGAAAACCATCATGCCTGATTATTTGTAGTATCTATCAAAACAACATTCTGGTTAGTGCAGTGGTTCTTTCCCTTTTCTTCCACCTCTTTGTCCTAGGTTCAAATCCCGCCCAGGCTTAAACTTTCGGTGCCTGTCTCATTACATGGGTTTCCCTACACCACAACCGCACTTTGTCCTTTCTCTTCTAAACTTCACATTTTTTCTTCATCTTCTCTCAGTTTTTTTTAATGCTTTCTGTACGTAGTAACAGTGACAATGTGCAATTTTGAGGAATCTAAGAGAACATTTGAAGAGAAAAAAAATCACAAAATATATCCATTTATAAAAAGTGAATTAAAACAATATAACAGATGTTTCTAAACTTCATTTTTCGCTCCGTTGTATTCTTAACTTGTGTTTTCATTATAATGGCCGTCGAAACTGGTTTTGGGCAACCAGGAGAGAGTGGGATTCTAAAAGGTAACAAAATGATATTTATCGCGTTTTGAAAATAAACTCTTCATTTGAAAGAATTAGATTTTTGTTTAAGAATTAAATTACAACAATATGAGTTTATCAAAAGACTGTTTTTGCAGAGAACTCACATCTTACTAAATTTGACAATGCATGTATACATGTACTTTCACTGGCATAGCTGCCATAACAAGCAATCAGATATGTACTCAACCACAATACAATTTGGATTACTTACGGGTAATTAGACATCTGATGGGCTTTACTGCATGAGTTCTGAAGTGTATTTTGAAATGACACGGATGTATACATCTACTTGTATCAGAGACTTCAATTTTGCTCATTGAAAACCACGACATCTCAGTTTTTATTTTTAAATAGTTTTCATCCAGGGTAATGAAACATCTAAGAAAATTCTATAACACCACAAATGTAAGTCATCACAAACAAACAACGTGTGGTAAGGTGTGAGCGACAAATACATGTGTCTCAATATGTGAATATTACCGTATGTAGTGGACGTTGTTCTCTGATCTAGGGGTGCAGTTTTTCTAAGCTTTCTACTTGGAATGCTCATAATGTCTCGTCTTACAGTGCTACACGTAACTTTATCTGTAGTTATTCATGTGCAACATCACAGTTATAATGAACTGCTATTACTATGGATATTTCTTTATCCTAACACTTTAAGAGTGCAAGTATATTTTGGGTCCACTTTTTTCCTGTCCCTGTTACATCTGACATCTGTGATTTTATAATTCTGATGCACTCCTTCATGCAGTCGTCCTCTAAGAGTGATTATGAATAGCAAACTACCTACCCAACAAATAAAAAATTGTATTTCTTAATGAAACTTGAAAAGCAAACTACAAAGTACCAAGGTAAGAGGGACAGAAAAAACGTCACACTTTGGACCCAAATTTATAGAATGACCCATATGTAAATATACAGTACGTAAACAACATCAATATCTACCTATTCATTGATGTAGTTGCGATTTCTTCATGACTAAATGGTCATTACTTGAGTTGATGTATTAAACTCGGGATTAACACCTGATGTGCTCTTTGATGAAAAATATAATAGAGTAACTCTTTACAACTTCACTGCATGCATATGCAGTTGATTACGCATCCTCAAATTTCTTTTTTGCAGTATCACACACTAAAATAATGCAATTGGAAACATCTTCAAGTATGACCGAAGTTACCTGCAGTTAAAAAATTCCAAGCTTTAATTGTTTCTCCTGTGATGTACTGTAAACAATGTCAACTCTGTGGTGATGTCTTGGTATCCAATCGCCATTCCAAATCATCACAAATTAAATACTGCACTCTTTAATAAACACAGGGACCACCATTCAGTCAACGTTCAAAATACAGCGTGTAATGGGACCTCAAAAACCTGCGAGATTTCAGAGAATACAGCACATCCGGGCACCATGTATAAGATCTACAACTTGTGTAACATCCAATTGTTTGCATTTATGTTGTGCCCTGACTGGGCCCATCCCATCAAAGGGCCATCAATGGGTATTTCAAAAGAAAAGAATGCATTACAATTTACAACATATTGAAAATATTGCAAATTGATGACTATTGTACAATTTAAATTGTTGACCTCAACTTCCATTCAATTGATAACAAGTGGGTAAATTCAAACACAAGAGACCGTGACTAGACACTGCGTTCCAGTTCTGATACCAGAATCCGCACTAAACCCAAAACTCGTTCTTTAATCTCCACAAAAAGTTTTTATGCAGCTGCTCCAAACCTTTGGAATAATGTTCCTTATGAAATCCGTCATGTCACTTCCCTTACTGACTTTAAAACATTGCTTAAAACACATCTCTTCCAGACTCAATTGCCCCATAGGTTGTTGTTATTTCCCTTCATCATTTTGTATTATACACTTTAATTGTTTTCTTGTGTAAAGCATTGTGATACCTGTTTGTGTAAGAACGCTATATTAAGTGCCCTGATTATTATTTCGTACCAAGACGTTCACAGAAAAGTAAACGTGGAGTTGCGAGACTTACACGCTCTATAAAAGCTATACTTTTCATTAAATACCACCTCATCCAATTCTTTTGTTGCCACTTGTTTTAAAATTGAAAGCCTTTGATTCTTTGAAAGATATGAAACGATGGTAAACCATTTAAAAACATACTAAAAATGTATGATTGTCAAGACAGAAATGCAATGTGTATGACCACACAAGCAACAGAAAGTATTCGGAATAAAAAATTCATAAGATAAAAAGACTGTTGATAAAAAGTATTTTTACAATTTATAATTTGATATTTTCACGATTGTCTTTTCTACACCACCTATCAAATGATCACAGTTTGTATAAAAATTATTCTTGTGTGGCAAACACCTTTGAAAAGTTCACGAAATGAACAAAAACTTTTGTTTGACTTATTAAACTCTGAGAGACGAACCACAAAATGGGAATTATTTTTGGTGCTTTTGCTGAAGTGCGCATTGTTCCATCCAACTACCGGTATGTGCATGACAATAGAGGGCGCTTTGGGCCGATCTCATCGGCATTGCTGTGATTACAGCTGTTTAGCATTATGAACTCTGCGGTAAGTAAAACGAAATAATTTTAAAAAATGAAACATGAAAAGCACTTATTACTATTAAAGAAAAGGCTTGAAATTATTTTTGTTAAAAATCGCGCTAATACTTAAACCACAAACAAAATGTCAGAAAACCGTGTGACCTTGAGCTTTAAAAATCTGAAAATAAAAATGAAAGAAAGAAATATCTTAATATGAATTATTCTGTGCTTCAGATAAAAATATGTAAGATGAGACAATGTAGGAAAGATCAAGCAATTTGCATTTCTTTGGTTTGCAAATCAATTCAGTACAAGTCTTCTGAAAGCAATCTTGAAGTATTTACAAAACTGGAAAAAAAAGAAAAGAAAATTGTGCAAACTTTCGTCTAAAAGTCTCTACAATTTGTCAAGAGGACAATGCTTGGATCACAAGTTCACAACCTTAGCTGAAGGGGGCCCCCCTACTTCTAATAGACTTTTCTGCATTATTGAATAATTGCACTGACTGTACATTTCAATTGTTTTTCATGATTAAAAACACACAGGAAGTTACTAACTCAGCCATATGGGCATTTCATGGAACTTTTGACAACGAATACACTCTAATGTGTGGGTGTCTTCACAAATTTTTAATCTTCAAGGATTTTTAAAACATATGCCTATATAAAAAGGAAAGTTTTTAATTTTAAGAATATACCATGGCACCAAACTCTACAATTCTTGCAAAGCCATAGGTCTCGTTCAAATGACGTCATTTCCTACGGACCATCCACGTGCATCAGCATTTTGAGCGTCAACTTGCACAACGCACATTGGCTGCGTCGTATTTCAAACACATTTCGAGCAACAAGCATGCATGTTTGGAACATTTTCAACGCTGCATAATGTGTGCATGATTGCGTAAAATACGCAGCTGCAGTTCTACAGAGATGGCCGTCATTGAGCGTGCCCTATACTAGAAGCCTTTCCAGATGTATCAAAAAAGTATTCCTTTAAGACAATTGAAAATTTCACTTTCGCGCTTCAAGTTCGTAGTTGTTGAGAACACACTCCTACAGCTGCAAATTTTTCAACAAATGTTTTGTGAAATCAAGTCCAACTCGCATTCCCATTCGCATTAAGTATGAACCTATGAAAAGACTTTCGACAGATATCTCAACCACATCTTCACATTCAAGAAACAAGACTGAGAGTTAATTACACTCTTTGTCAACAAACTCTTTGTCAGATTGGACAATCGGACGTCAATCATACGCAGGACTCCGTCATGACGCTCTCAGCGTCGCTGTCGATGTACCTGATGCCCTGGTGAAGGGAGCGCGGCAAGGTGGCGCTGGCAAAGACACCACGGACAAACGGCCGCTGCTGGCAGGCAAAACCGCCGAAGTCCTCTGCTGGTCAAACAAAAAAGAAAGATGTGAAATTAAAACTTGAAAACTGCACAAGGGTGGTACTATTATTAGTTACCCTGCGAGCGCAAGTGTCCCACATGCAACGAGGCTGAAGGCCGAGTGGTATATGGGACACAGACGCAGTGACGCGCTATATTTTCTGTATTCCATGAGCATGAGTGGGATAATAAATTTATCTTCAAGCAAACTTGACGCACAGCAAAGATGGCACAGTACACACATGCTGTAAATGAACTTTTCAGTTGTTATCCTACTACATGTGCGTGCAGCGGGAATGGCGCATGCATCTTAGAACAGTGCGATATGCGGAGTGTGATATGGACTGTGGTATATAGGATATGTCCACACTGTTGTTGCCATGGATCATGCAATCGATAAAAATCCTACAAAGCCTGGCAGTGGCTTCTGGTTAATTTGTGTAGTTATTTTCAAAGTACTGACAGTTGAGTTTGGATTGACGAAGAATATTTCACTGGATTTAAACCTGTGACCTCAAAATCAAATCTGATGGATCTGCTAAACGCATCAATTGCTTAGCGATGACAAACAACAAACAGTTGCAGTTATCGTGATAAAAACATTTTAAAAAGACCTAAAGTACTCACCATCGCTGAGGTCATCCTGCGAGTTGTTCCTCCTGCCCAGACTCTGTGACCTTTCACCTCTCATTCCCCCCTTACCCCCCTCCCCTGACCCCTCCCTGCCAGAGGACAAACTATTATCATTAGAAGCCTCAGACAGCACGTCTTCTTGACTGGACCCGAGTTGTTGCTGATGCTGCTGTTGCTGCCTCACGGCCGGGATGCGGTAGATCCAGTGGTCCGAGCCTGACGAGCACGTGGAACTGCTCGAGCTAGAACTAGCGCTGCCGGTACCCGACAGGGCCCGGCGGTGGTAGAACAGGATGTAGGCGTTGCGGGTTACCAGGGAGTCCTCTGCTAGAGGGGTGACTTTAGCGTCGTCAAAGTTGTACCACTGGTTGTCGGCAGGATTGCGACAGAAAGCTGGGAGAAGATTTGAAGATGAAGATTTATGATACAAATATCTTGTGAGCACTGAAAGATAGAAACGCCCCATGCATGCATATAGTTGCATGTGGTACAAGACCTAATTTTCCACATTCCCTTTAATCTCCGGCACCACAATCATATTGAAGCCCTTGGTGTCCAAATCAATCAACAATATTATAAATTGGACCTAATATTTTTTGGCATTTGACATTCATAAAGTGGAACATGGACCTTAAAGGGAATGTACATCATTGGCTTTTGCTGTAATTTTCGGATATGAACTAGTTGAGGGGTTAGTATAATAGATCAAAATATTATTACACTGACATGTTTGAAGTTTTGTGTCCGAAAATTGTAGAAAACCAAGAAAAACAAAAATATGCAAGTAGTCTGGCTCCCTGACTCTACTAAAGATGAAATGGATCAATTTATAGATGCCAGAAAATTGTAAAGTAAGGGAACCAGTCTAGCTGGCCTGCACCCATTCATGAACATGTAACCAATAGCGAACACAATTTGGACTGAAACAAATGGTAAATATGGAGCAGAAGTTGAAAAACAGTTAGGTTTTTCCAACGGTGGTCGGCCGACTACCGTTGGAATTGTATACAAAAATACCATTTTCTTGAAATTGACTTCACACCAGGTGCCATAATTTTACAAAATGCTTTAGACTGTCATTTACCAACATCCTAGTAAGGTATTTCGTAAAAACTTGGTAGTTTTATTTTTTGATGTTGGCAAATGTTGTATTTTCCCTTTAAAGGGGGATCAAGAACTTTTTTTGGAGGGGGGAGGGGAGGGCTAGGGCTTGACCTCATTTGAAGCTGGGGGCACTCTTTTCTCCCTTTATCTTTCTTTTTATAAATATTTCACGAATCCGTTGAGGGAAAGGGGATCAATAGCAATAATTTAAACAGTCATCTTCATTTCTCGTCTACTTAAAACCAATTTTAAATCCACTTGTTTTGGTGAGGGGGGATGGCTCCTGTTGCCCCCGTGGTCAAATATCGAGATGGAGCATGCTATGTTAGGAACCTAAAAATCCGGAGCCAAAGCAAGTGACAAAGAAGAGGTGGAAATTCTCTTTGCATTCACACATCATCAGTGAACTGGTGAATTGCCTACATGTAGCTCTGGTATAACAACTGATTTGCAAACTGCACATTTCTGATTCAACTTTAAGCAGCCATCAAACCTTGCCAACACACAGAATAGTTGGCAACCGGCTTTTAGCTACGACCATCGGGAACAAATCGGTCACCGATTTTTTTGACCCGAGTGTAACTGCAACAATATTAAGAAGATCGCATCAGTTGGCAATAAATCAAAATCAATCACAGGAGTAGAAAAATTTCAAATTCAGAAGCACGACTTAACCCTGCGCAGAGCGACATGTGCACCTGTGGTGCACAGGTGACCGAATTTTTTGAATAAAAAAAAAATTGAGGGCCAATGACGGTCACCTTCCATCTAATCCTCATTCAACCCTTGCCAAATCAGCTGGTTCAATGAACTTTGCAGCCAGGGCTTCACCCAGGCCGTGTCAACAAACTTTCGACCAGGCCTCCTGCCAAGTCTCATTGAAACATATACAAACACCTGTAACTTGACACAGCCATCTCCCTTCATAGCTGCAAACCACAGCCGCCAGTCAATTATCTTTTATGTGCACTGTCTGGCAACTGCCTGGACACTGTCTGGCACGTGGCTTTTTGTTGTTTTGACATGAATAGGGTCTTGCGTAGTGCGGGGAAGTACCTGGGGCCCAAAGGGCCACCGTTGGCGAGTTCTGATAAAAAAAAATTGTAAACGCTGCGCAGGGTTAACAGGCATTAATCAATTGCAGGTGACCTGTGTGAAGTTACGACAATGTGCTTGCATCTGGATCAAATTATTTTATTGTGAATCAAAGTCGCGTCACAGGTGACATGAGCACTGTGGCGATTATTATGTTTCCAGATGCCGCTTGTTCCACAATAATTAAATTATTTCTCACCTGTATAGTGTCCGCCTTGCATGCTGCCAATGTGGTTACACACTGCGTACAGATCATACACATGTTCCGTCACGTGATGCGTCCGGCGCCTGTGGATGTGTCGCCATGGCGACCATCCAGTCAGTGCGTTCAGCGAGGCGGCGTGGGCATTCTGCTGCCGGCGTGCGATGTACTGGGACATGTTGAGACCATGGATGGGGAACTCTACTAGGGTGTTGAGCTTGATGCGACTGGTAGTCAGCTGACATGAAAAAAAAAAAACAACAAAGAAAAGAAAAATTCAGTTTTTTGGACTTAAGATCCATGCAAAATTCTCCATACAATACTGGACACTTCCGTTGACAAGTTATGCCTGTTCAAAGTTCACATTTATTGACATGTCAAAAGAGTAAAATACTGAGAAACAGGCCTTTCAAGTTTTGACTGTTTTGTAGTCGTGAAAATGAACGATGCCAATTGTTTTTCCCTAAAAACATTTTTACTCCACGATTTTATATTATTTCTTTAAAAAATGTGTTGTATGCATATCAAAGATCGACTAATGACTGACTTGTGATTGACTTGTGATTTGACTTGTGGTTGACCAGTGAAGACGTGATTGACTCTATTACATCCCTCTAATTTGCTAGCTCGATTTCCAGCCTTTCCTCACCTGCTTGAACCTCTTGAGATGTATGACCAATATGTCAGGTAGAGACCACAGGCTAAGCCGCTTAGAACCCTGCTGGAGCTTCTTACAAAAGGGACAACTCCAGGCATTGTCTGGCCCAAGCTACCAACAAAAAGAAGACAATACAAAAAATAAAATTTCAAAAAATCAATGCACATGTACATGTAAAAATAATGACCAAAACCACACGCCCAACCCCAACCCCAGGTGACAATCTGAAATACTCCGGACAATCTGAAATACCTCTTCTTCCTGTGTATAGAGATCCATGCAGTCAGTCAGCGATGCCTTGACCAGCTGCTGATAGGCTGTCCCTGCTCCCCCCCCCCTCCCCTCCCTCACCCCAACCCCACCACCACCCCCATGACAATCTGGAGTACCTACCTTTTCTTCCTGTGTATAGAGATCCATGCAGTCAGTCAGCGATGCCTTGACCAGCTGCTGATAGGCTGTCCCTGCTCCCCCCCTCCTTCCCTCACCCCAACCCCACCACCACCCCATGACAATCTGGAGTACCTACCTTTTCTTCCTGTGTGTAGAGATCCATGCAGTCAGCCAGCGACGCCTTGACCGGCTGCTGATCGGCTGTCCCTGCTCCCCCCTCCCCTCCCCTCCCTCACCCCAACCCCACCACCACCCCCATGGCAATCTGGAGTACTCTACCTTTTCTTCCTGTGTGTAGCGATCCATGCAGTCAGCCAGCAATGCCTTGACTGGCTGCTGATCGGCTGTCCCTGCTCCCCCCTCCCTCCCCTCCCTCACCCCAACCCCACCACCACCCCCATGACAATCTGGAGTACTTTACCTTTTCTTCCTGTGTGTAGAGATCCATGCAGTCAGCCAGCGACACCTTGACTGGCTGCTGATCGGCTGTCCTTGCTCCCCCCCCCCCTCCTCCCCTCCCTCACCCCAACCCCACCACCACCCCCATGACAATCTGGAGTCCTCTACCTTTTTTTTCCTGTGTGTAGCGATCCATGCAGTCAGCCAGTGATGCCTTGACTGGCTGCTGATGGGCTGTCCCTGGTCCCCCCTCCCCTCCCTCACCCCAACCCCACCACCACCCCCATGGCAATCTGAAGTAACCTACCTTTTCTTCCTGTGTGTAGAGATCCATGCAGTCAGCCAGCGATGCCTTGACTGGTTGCTGATAGGCTGTCCCTGCTCCCCCCTCCCCTCCCTTCCCTCACCCCAACCCCACCGCCACCCCATGACAATCTGGAGTACCTACCTTTTCTTCCTGTGTGTAGAGATCCATGCAGTCAGCCAGCGATGCCTTGACTGGTTGCTGATAGGCTGTCCCTGCTCCCCCCTCCCCTCCCTTCCCTCACCCCAACCCCACCGCCACCCCATGACAATCTGGAGTACCTACCTTTTCTTCCTGTGTGTAGAGATCCATGCAGTCAGCCAGCGATGCTTTGACTGGCTGCTGATGGGCCAATCTCTGTCTCTGTACACTCTCATCCTCTTCAATGAAGATACTCAAAACTCTCTGAGAAAATCTGTGGCCATTAATAACAAAAGACAGGTGTCAACGCTTCAGAAGGTACTATTTCTTTTAACATGTATTGCCCAAATACAAGCCAGGAGCCACGAAACAAGGGTTATGCCCGTTTCAGAGACTAGCGACGTGTCAGGAGCCACGTTTTTTGTTGACTGCAACTTTTTTGTTGACGGCTGTTCGTTGTTTCTATCCTTTTAGCAGGTTAAAGCCCTTAAGGCCAAAAAAAAAAAGTCTCCGGTTTCTGGTATGGAGCTTGCCAAAAAAGTGGTGCGGCGACGCGGCTTTTTTTTTTTTTTTACCTGACTTTTTTGCTTCAAATGTCGGCTGATGACTGCAAATGGTGCCCGACTAAACTAAGTGCAAATATATGGGAGTCCAGAGAGGCCACATAAAGCTTATTCTCGATCATAACCCCATCTAAAAACACGTTAAAATTGTGCAGCAGCAGGATTCCAGTCAAACCAGTGAGTTTGGCGGTTTTGAGACATCATCTTTCATTGAAAAAAAAACTTTTTCATTTTGCCGACGCGCATGGCTACGGCGACGCGCGCGCATACCAGAAACCAGAGACTTTTTTTTTGGCCTAACAGAACACTCACTGCAAAACAATCCATATCGATCACCACACGAAAATTTTAACTGGCGCACTTTGCATGCAACTTTTGACCGGCACGGCACGCAGTTACAGCTGGCAGTTTCGAATATCTGAATATTCAGTCAAACACATTTTGAGTAATCGTATACTAAATTATTCAAAAATGGACAGCCCTAACCAAACTCAATTCCGGATGACTTGAGTCACTCTTAATTTGGTTCGACTTGACTCTGAAACAAGCGTTACTGGTACTTGACCAATAACAGACCTTTATCGTGCTGCCACCATTTCGGTCATGTTCCCTGTATCCAATTACAGTACTGAATGATAATGCGTTTAGTGCAAAAAGGAACCAGACTATTTTTCCTTCTAGCCTCGCTTTGGTTACGTTGATTTGAATGAAAAATAATCAAGATGGCCGCATCATGATAATGGTCTATACCACATTGCCAATTTAATGCATGTATCTTGCATTAAAAAAACTGTAAACAAATAGTAACTCCCTCCTCTGCAAAGAAAAAGGCACATGATAGAAAACTACAAGCATATGCTACATGTTATTCCACGCCTTCACAACTGACACATTGCTGTCAGACTTTATCTGTTGATGATATCACCTTATCTCTCAAATTGCAAAATATTGAAGTTCCAGAGATAAAAACCGACATCCAAGCTTGTTTGCCTAGGGGTCAAACTGGGGGAATTCAGAAATGGGACACGTACACAGACGCACACAGACAGACACCAGGTCTACTAGAGTTTATGGCTGGGTAGTATTGGATGCGCACTTTGTTAGTTAACAACCATCTGTCAATGCTAATATGACAGGGTCTTGTTACCAAGTACATAGTGAGCTTAACTTAATTGTTACCGATCCAACACTGAAACACTGTCACACTATAGTTTTTGCTACTTATAAGATTAATAAACAAGCTGTAGACTTCTGTGTTGCATTTCTCATTTATAGGTTTTCCCGGCCAATTTCGCAGAAATAGCATTCGAATTCATCTTGATAGTGGCCAATTTGAAGCGACGTAGCGTCCTGCTGTCATTCCCATGGTTCGTATTAGATTTCAGGCATACATATTCGTTTTAAGACCTGACATTTTCATGTTTAACACATCCTAAATTATTATAAGATGGAATTTTTGCACCGGGGTGATATAAATCAAATTAGGTTTTGCCCTTCACCGACGTTTAAACACTGTATACTCAGAGTGTTACCTCCTTTTAATAGTTTATGCGGTACCCGCTGCTATGTACATCAGATTCGAACCGGCCTACCAATCCCGTTAGCTCGGTGGTCGAGTGGTAAGACATCTGCACTAGAAAGCAGGAGGTCGTGGGTTCGAGTCCCACCCGAGTGATTTTTTCAAACTTTCACTCGGGAGGTAACACACTGAGTATACATATATATATTTCCAAACATGGGTGTCCCCAGGATTTTTTTCTAGAGGGGGGCAAAACATATTTCCCCCCAAAATGCCTGTATTTCCCATCATATTCTCGATTTGTCAGTTTTAGAGGGGGGCACGGACATTTCCCCCCCCCCCAACCCATTAAATTTACAGCAATATGACTTCCCGCCTCTTTTTCTTTTCATTGTTTTGGTTTTTTTTCCCTCTTTTTTTTGGGGGGGGGGGGGAAGCGCCCCCCCTCCCCTGCCCCCCCCCCCATGTTTCCAAATTGGAACAAAAGCACTCCATCTTATTCTAACAAACACAAAACGACATGGACCTATTTCGAATTACTTTGCTTACTTTACACACATGCTTGCTTAATGGTGAATTTGAATGACCAAACTTACACAGCTGGAAGCTCCGGCGAATTTGGATGCTCGTTTGTGCAATTTTAATTTGAATGCCCTGTTTTTGAAATTGCATGATTAAAATGCGAAATCACATGCTTTGAATATGAAATTGATTGGTGTTTTTAGCTATCTCAACGCGCATTCAAATTCATGCGAAAATGGGTGCTTGGTCACTAATTTGGCCGCCAAATGTGCTAACTTGGCCAGGAAAACCTACAGTAATTTGGCTCCAGTATTTTTCTAACATTATGAGAAATGATGTCTTTTTGGTCGATAAGCCAAACAATTACAATACTGCAAACTCAATTTATTGTATTGAGGCATGATAGATGTGTCCATAATCAATGCACAAACCTGCATGTGTATGTATCCAAAGCTTGAACAAACACTATGTTAATAGTGCATTCATACAGCTGCATTAGTATTGCTGTTCATGTAAATGTACATACTGTTTTCAGTACACAATGTACATGTATATACTTTACAGTACAGGTCCATCCTAAAATCCATGAAAATCCACTTTACAATCCACTGAAAACATCCTTCCATGCTTTACAAATATCCAGAAAGAAAGAAAAACAACAAAATAAACAGAACATAGGTCGGTTGAATGACATGCAATATTTGCAGCACATGTTGTTTTTCACTAAAACGGCCACCTGCCCCTTTTGTTTAAGGTTTTGCAAACGATTTCTTGCGAATAGACATTTCTCAATTCCAGGCTGCAGTCCATCCCCGGCTTAAATTCTGAATGACGATTTTCAGAAAAGGGGCTTTGGCTGGGCTGGGGCTTCAAATTCAAGGCTTTGTAGCTGCGTAACTGACAAGGATGGAGCTCCTAAAGGGGCTTAGGATGATACAGTTGGAGCCAGGAGCTCAAGCCTTTCGGACATGGCTGTGGGGACTGACAGAGTAACTTACGTGAATCGGATGTCGTGTTCCCACTCTATCACTGCCTTGATGTGCGACGGTCCTCCCTCTTCAGCTGTAGCCTTTAACAACCTAAACAAATCAGTCGGGAACAGATTCTTGTACTATAGTTAGCGATCATGGTGACTTAGCATCGGTTGTTACCATAAAAATATAACTCAAAAAAGTAAATAAACATGGTATTTTGTCATTCTAAATTTACAAATGTATTTAGGTATTTTCAATTCGTTCATCAAGGTTTTTGTACTACTGTTTTTTTTTTCATAAAAAGCTACAGTATACATGGTATAATTCTCTGTTATAAGGCCTTAAAAACATCAATTGAAAAACTTACAAATTCTTTAGCTTTGTATAAAAAGGCATTAAGTTTTATCAATTGAAATTGATTTTTTTTTCCTTTGCAGCCTTCTTATGCAGACATACATGTACAACAACGACTATTTTGGGAAACAGTCAAAAGGCTTTTAAAGGAAAGTTTTTCAGAATTATTCAAATTGGAAATATCAGTGGTTCAGAATATCAATGAACTCTTTAACTGGTCAGAATGTCAACATGGGACTTGACTTGACCAAACTTGTAATAATGACTGAACAACGCAATGATTTGAAGCACAGGAAAGCCCATAGCAAACAAGCCATTACAACTGTATCTGTTTACAAAATAGTTCCATGATCACTGACACACTACAGGCCCATAACCATCAATTTTACAGATAATCTTTAAAAAATATGCACAACAAGATAGGATCAAAGTCTTATTGATACAGCACTCCATCTTGATAATACATATTGCCTTGTACATGTTGTATGTTGAGTACATGATGGGGAAGGTCATGTCTAAATTACAAGGCTACGGCTTGTAATCACACGTTTCTATGGAAGCAGCCGAAGCCACAACACGTGTGTTATTGCTAGTAGCCATAGTCATATCATTCGGACCTGGCCTTTAGGCCAAAAAAAAAAAAGTCTCCGGTTTCTGGTATGGAGCTTGCCCAAAAAGTGGTGCGGCGACGCAGCTTTTTTTTTTTTTTACCTGATTTTTTTGCTTCAAATGTCGGCTGATGACTGCAAATGGTGCCCGACTAAACTTAGTGCAAATATATGGGAGTCCAGAGAGGCCACATAAAGCTTATTCTCGACCATAACCCAATCTAAAAACACGTTAAAATTGTGCAGCAGCAGGATTCCAGTCAAACCAGTGAGTTTGGCGGTTTTGAGACATCATCTTTCATTGAAAAAAAAACTTTTTTATTTTGCCGACGCGCATGGCTACGGCGACGCGCGCGCATACCAGAAACCGGAGACTTTTTTTTTGGGCCTTTACTGTACAAGGTGCTTCCCGTTTACCTAGTGATGACGGGGTTGTGTAGCGGTCTGGTCTCGTCCGGCGTCGAGAAGTGTCGGGAGCCCTTTGCGTCCGTGACTACCCCGACCCTCAGAAGGGGACCCTGGAAGGAAAGAGTCGATGAAATCAATGTCAAGATACGTGAATATGATAATACAGGCTTAGACTGTACTCGGGCCTAGGGATCAAAGTACAGTTTTTGTTGAAAAAAAAAACACTGGATGCAATCTTACATCCAAACCAAAATGCATTTAGAGTGACTCAAGTCGACCTGAATAAAATTCAGTTTCCGAAAGAAAACTTTTATTTATTTATCATTCAATCAACAGTTATTTGCATAATGCCACATCTTGTATAAAACAGTGTAACAAAGTGAAGTAATAAATGATATCATTAAGATTATACTTGTAGATCTTATAGATAAGAAAGAAAGAGATGCGTCTGTTATCGCAGGTTACTCCCCAGCCACTGCTGGCACCCACGCTACCTAGCTGCAAAATAATGATTCTTAAGTAATGCTGATAATATCGTGTCGTTCTTGAAACTAACACTTGAACAACACTCCATCTGGTACCATCTGTCGATGGGGGCGCTGTTCAAAACCGATGACTGTGCACATTAATGGACAATACACGGTGCTTTTCAGGGCGATACATGCTCGAATTAAAAAAAAGGCACCCGGAACGGCCGATGGGACAAAAAAGGGCACCACTTCCTTTTAAAAAGGGCACTTGTGCAGAAAAAAAGGGCACTTGTGAAAAAAAGGCGCTCTTTACAAAATATTGGGGGGGGGGAGGGGGGTAAATGCCGGTGAAAAAAGGGCATTTGAATGGAAAAGGGCAGTCTTTTCAAAATATTGGGGGGGGGGGTGGTACGCCTATGCTTATTTGGGATGCAGGGGTGCAACACCCCCTCCCAGACTCGCTACTGCATGCTTGAATAGCTATATCTAATTTGTAACCAACTGAGTTCCTGACTGATAAAGTTACTGACTATGTACATAAGCAATGTTTTAACAATGTCCAAATCGATAGGTTGGGGTGGGTGGGTTGTTTGTTTGTTGGGTTGTTTGTAAAAGAAAATGAACTTTTCCTTGAAAACCCATCGAAAATCATGAAATCCCACACAAACCCATTCTCCTTCAACAAACAAAAACACTTAATTAACACAGCGACAGAACTGCACTTTAACAGGGAAACCCAACACCTGCCCGTATCATGTTGTTTCATTTGACTAAAACAGCTCACTCCTCCGCACTATCTGCACAGAAGGCGTTGCCGCCAGCAATCTACATTTAATCCCGTCTTGGCCTTGTTTTCTCAGAGTGCTCTGTATGATCGCTGAGGCTTGGGCCCACTGTCAACATCGGAATTCCCTCGGAGAATCCCACCGCCTTTGACAGTATTGATCCAATTTGCGGCGAGAAAACAAGTCTCGTGTGGTAGTACCGGTAGGCTTTTAAACATCACAAAGTCATATGTGGGTCAGGTGTGAATGTCTACGGGAGTTCTTAGCGACCTGGGTCTGGTGAGAGATGCACATTGCTGGCATGTCTCAAAGTCATGTTCCATGTTTTCAGGCTTAGGGATTCGGCTTGAATAATTCCTTTGTGCTATTTTTGGTTGCAATGTTAACGAGTCAACTGAGACATGTCAATAAACACACACAGTGCCCTGGAGGAAGCTGATCTGAAGATGCCTTCAAGAAAGCTGAGAAGAAGATGCTCTAAAGAACGGAGCAAGGAGGAGGGGACATCAGATGATCGTTTTGATAGCAGGCAACATCAGAGGATCGCTAATGGAATTTTTGGCCTAGTTTTTAGAGTGGATTCAGTTCACCCTGTTCTAATGTCCGTACGATAACCACAACACATTTTTCAATGGTAAACACTGGTGCGTCTCTGAGTAGGGTCCAACAGTTAACTTTTGTAAAGAAGGATGATAAACCATTTCATTACTAAGTCAAAAAAACCATTGCTTTGACAAGAGCCAAATAACTGAGGGCATGTTTCCAAAGTTACTTGTAAAGGGAAAACAAATGTGGACATAGAAAGTAGTTATAATACCATGTTTTGGGCCCATTAAGGCTCTAGATTTCACTTCCATGGGCAACATGCTCAAGTATCCTCTCAACAATGACAAAAGGGCCTTTAACACAATCCAAAATCTCCATGTTGGACCTGATTCCAAAAACAGAGATTTTAGACATCTCCATGTGAGCGCGACTGTTAGCACAAACACGCCATGAAATAGTGCTTAAGCAGCAGCATGATTTTCTGCTTTAGTAAGCAAAATTGTCCTGCTGATTGTTAAGCAGCGCTATGAAATTGGGCCCAGGACCATGCTTGTGAGGCTCCACTCTGGTAGAAAATCCAAAATCTACAGCCATGCCGTTTACACACTGGTGTCAATGTGAACTGTCTTGTCAACCCATGTTCGATGGGACATGGTTCCATTCGCGGTGCACCTGTGTTGATTTCAACATGGGTCTAGGCAAAGCGATAGAGTGAAAAGGCCTAAAGAGAAAGTCCCTGGCTAAGCAGGCACCTGAAGATGCTTAAGGTTTATGAACATTCAAATGAAAATTGGTCAATGCAAACTTTAAACCATGTACTGTGCATGCAAACCAGTGTGAGCATGTGAGTGGAAGTGCGCACTAAGCCCATTTGCTGTTCATGAATAACAGTTACACAGGCCTGAAGTTTTCAAAATCCTTCAGAAGATTGGTGTTTCTTGACAGATTCAGGAAGAAGATGGAGAAAATGAGATAAGAGGCAGAGGAACACGTACCTTAGTCAGGACCTGGTCCACGTGACTACAGCCCATCTTCTTCAGGATGACAACCCTCAGCTGCTGATTGGTGATACTACGGTCAACCTCAATGGCTATTGGATGACCAAACCTGCAGGAACAGCCAATCAAAATGCAGTGTTTAAATTTACTTCAAATTAAATTTACTTCAAATGTGGGGACTAAATTTAGGTTCTTGGGCCAATTTCTCAGAACTGCCAATTAAAGAAAATTTTGAACACCCGCCCCCCCCCCCCCGAAAAAAAAACTATTTTACCTTCTACCGGTCTTCCCGATGCCCTGTTGGTTGAGTATCACCATGGTAACGACCTCTCTGACAGGTCGGTTGCAGTGGACGTGCACGTATTCTTGCATCTGCGTATTTGAGGCCAGGGCCTGAGCAATGTGGGGGGTCTCTATAGCGTACACGCTGTCACTCTCCCGCAGCTCGCTCAGTGGGAGATTGTCGTGGTAGGAACGATAGAAGCCGTCAAAGCAGACCTCTGTCAGAACAATCTACGAGGAAAGATAAAAAAGGGGAAATACAATTTACTTTCCATCTTTAAAGCCAGAGTCCATCATTTGCAACTATCCAAAAAGTAACTGGCGTAATTATTGTTGAAAAACATACTTGGTTGAAAGATAGTAAGGGGACTAAACTCCCTGTGAAATTATTCTTTCTAGCAAACTGTCATTTTGAAGAAATCATTGAAAGAATGCCGTTTTTTTTTTTTTTTATTTGGCGAAGTGCAAGCAAGCATTGACACGAGGCACTAGCGCGCGTGGTTGCTATAATCAGTGCGCGACATCGCATAGCTGCATTCGGCTCAGTAAGAACATGTCTTGGACACTGAATTCAGGCCCAATTTAAAACATGAATCAGCAACTTTTGATTTGAAATCGAGATCCTAGAATGTTGTTTTTCTCGAAATACACAGCTGAAGCTGAGCTGAAGCTGAGTTGAAACTTCATCAGGTTAGTTGTTCAGCCCCCTTCTTTAGATTTTGAGCGCTTTTGTTGCCTTAAACGAACAAAATGCACAAATTACAAATGATGGACTATACCTTTAACTAAAACTCCAACCTTTAAATGTAAACTTTTTGATAGAAAATACTCTCACAACTTATTTTGGAAAAAACTAGCGCTTTTACACTGAAGACACTGACACTGAGATGGTGTCATCTGCAAGCCTAATTCTGTAAAACACAGTTGAACTCCGAGAATGAGCAGTAGAGCGTGTTTCAACCACTCTCAAGATCCCCAATATTACGAGGGACACACCAAGTGGACATTCTATTTCGCACGTGTATGGGGCAGTTTACATGTACATGTATACAACTCATTTTATTCTGAATGTGCACAAACGACAGTGTCTTCGCGTGAGCGTCAGGCGTTGTTAGCAATGCATTCTAAGTCCCTCCCTGTGGTCTCCCCCAACTCTCCCTTTCTTATCGTTGAGGGGGTACCGTACTTGCGCATGGAGCCCATGTGACCAATAAAGCGAGCTCCAGCTTTTCGTTCATTTTCTCCCTCTTGAAAAACAAATGCTTGCCTTCACAGACACAAAAAATTGTGTGCATGTGCTACATGTACCGGTACCTTAATAAACCAAAAATTATTTCAAATAATTTAATTAAAAAAGTGAAAGTTACAAATGTAATGTACATGTGCCTATACCTTAGTGAAAAAAAGTAAAGCATCCATCATGTCCATAGGTTTCAATTTGGGTGATTCACAATGCAGTGTGCCACCAACAGTTTGCCATGGAGAGTCCATTTTTCCAAGTTTACGGTTGACAAAACACGCCCCAGATGAATGAGTGTCAGTGGTCAGTAGACAACTTGAGCTAATTTGTTATACATGTAGATTGAGGCATGGCGTTCTGTGGCCTTACAAAAAACACCATATTGATAAAAAGAAAAGAAAAGGGCAAATAGACACTCGCATCATACACTTACGAAACTACTGACCGGAAAAACTAACAATTTCAAATGTCCCGCACTGCGAATTTGTCAACCATCTCCCACAATGCACTAGGAAAAATGAACTCTCCATGGCAAACTCTTGGTGGCACACTACATTGTCAATCGCCCAAATAACAATGCATTGAATGCAAAGAATATGTTTACAGAAATGTTCAAACTTCATCTCAACATATTCATAACGTTGTTTTTCATCTCTGAACTTTGACAGGAGATGATCCTATCCTGTTATCAGAGTCTGGTTTGTCCCCATCTACTTCAGTGGATGACCTCATATAAAAGCCTGGCCATGTTTACACTGGGAATTCCAAAGCTCTGAGGCATCACTTTATTATATTTTATTAGATTCAACTATTTTTATGTACATGTACATGAATGTCGCAACATTACTATACCACATGTACTGTTAGCAATGTACAAGCGCTATGTACTAGTGGCATGTACTTTACTGTGTACAAACTGCTACATAAACATACGTAAACATGATGCATGTATGATTGAACGATACGAACTAGGATGTGCCCATTACTCAAATTAAAACGATATTAAAAAATTACATAAATTTGTTGAAATTGTCAATTTGTAATTAAAGGGTTTGTACAAGAATAGAATTAGTCATGCACACTTCTTGCCATAAGCGTGCGAACTACAAGTAGCGTGTGCACACAGTATACATGTATGCCCATTCCACAGGGGCTTTTGTATTAAAGTGGTCACGAAGCACCATCTAAGTATTGGTACTGTTTGTGCACAGATCCATATCAATGAGGCTAGTCGCCTGAGGGTCATAAGAACATGCACTGCCATAACGACTTGAGGAGAGTCTAGCAATTGGTGAAATGCACATGATTTGTACATGTACATGTAGGTGAGCACACGGCACACACATGTACCGGTATCACAAGTCTGTCTGTGAGTGAATTGATGCAGGTGTTTCCAAGTGCTGTCTCAAGAACGAAAAGACAAATCATACATGTACATCAATGAAAAACTGATGACAGTTTTGAGGGCTGTGAGTGTTGCCATGATCGACAGCGTGCGTCCCGTTATTAGCCACTCGCTGAACACGGGAGAAACATTTTCATTAGATTTGGTAACGGAGGTGCTGGGTATTATATTGCCTGTCGCATTTTGACATTCAAAAGTTGCGACTGTGGCATGATCATCAATGTTCCATGCACGTTACTAAATATGAGAAAACTCGTCACAAACTACTACCTTAATTTAAGCTGCGGTTGCATAAATTTAATTAAAAACTGATCAAGATTAGAGGTTCCATGGGCACATGTGTGTTCAGAGTGAATATTAGTTCAAACTAAATGTAGGTCAGAGAAGGCCCTTTAATGATTCAAGGAAACAAATTTGACGCTATGAAACATTTGTGGAGACAATCGAAGTGGTTGAAATGTGTTTAAATGTTGCGAATTCACAGCATGAATACTTAACGCGACATCACAAATTCATTCCCGTTAGCATTGAGTATGCAGCCACAAAAAGATCCACTGTAGAATTTAAACCGTAGGTGCTTTTAGACGGCATTTTACAGTGTGGTTTAACACACACAAAAACTAATGGGTAACTCAACAAAAATTTTGGTGAATATGTACCTGGCATGATGAGGTAGAGTAAAACAAATTTAACATGGTTTGTTTTCGGTGGATAGTCGATATATACCGGTAGGCTCCCCTCTGTACTGGAAGTGGTCGACCTAGTTCCCGAGGCGAAGCTTGTCAACTTTCAATAACACAGGGAGATAATATGGACTATCCACCCTCAAACCAAACTGAATTTGGGGTCTACCGGAACGTGTACATTGTAATTTGCAGGCTTGTGGGTTCGAGTCCAGCCTGGGGTTATGGTGCGTGTGCCCTTAGGCGAGGTACATGTACACAATGTACTTTGTCACTCATTGCTTCTCTCCACCCAGGAGTAAATGGGTACCTGTGAGGGCAGAGATGGTTATTGTGGTTGATTTCAGCTGCTTTGCAGCGAAATGGCAGCATGGAGCTGTATACTGCCCAGGGAGCTGAGATGGTATTTTGAATGTATCATTGGCCCAATGAGCAGGGTATTAATGATGGTACCATGTAGCGCCTTGAGCACCAATAATGGTGAACATATGTGCGCTTTATACACATTATTATACGTGTAATGGTACCATTAAGGAGACACGTTATCGTCATTTCTTCGCACGATGGGAGACATAGGTCATTAGACATTTTCATGTCTCCCTAATGTCACAGCCCCCCCTTTAGTCTAGGCACAATTTTGCTGTCACAATTAGGTTATATTTGTTGCTCATGGTCTAATTAGTAAACATACCGAAATTCATGGAAAAAAGACAAGGGAATATTGGGTTAGGGCACATTTAAGTTTGAAACATTTTGTGCACTGTAAGTCGATGGGGATGTCTCCCGAATGTCCAATCTGGGGTATTTAGTTTCAGACAAGCGATTTGGCCACTGCCATACTTACCCTCGTAACCGCCACGCTGCACTGCCGTGCCACCTCTGCCCTCAGATCGGCCACGGTGGCCCCGACATCCATCACGACGCCGACACGCACCACCCGGGGCTCACGGTCCATGTACACTACAGCGACGGCCATGACGCGCGTCGTGCGCTGCGGGATGGGCAGCGAGACGCACACAAAGGGGTCGAAGGTGTTGCTCTGGCGACCGCAGTGGGGACAGGTCAAGGAGGAGCGGAACTGCGCCTGGAACAGGTCGTGGATGAAGCTGTTGTTACGACGCATGTGATTGGCTAGCATCTCGGCTGCCAGGAGCTCGTCATTCTTATTATGACGATTCTGTTCAAATCAAACACAAATGAAAAAAAAAAATCTATCATCAAAAAAATTTTCTTTACTAAATAACTTTTCATTTACAGGGGTGTGACTGACTAATGATAAAAATAGCTGAAAACAGCTGAAAAAGGTGTAAAAAATAGGCTGAACTTTCGAAATCTCCTATACTTTTGTACACAGCAAGTGGGGGAGAAAAGCTGAAATCAAAAACAAAAGGACGCTAGGCAAAATCAATCGGATACCCCTAGCACTGCTTCAGGCCATTAGGCCCAAAATTCATCATACATGTACTCCATTCATATTTAGTCACGCCAGGCCTTCTGGACCAAGTCCCCGAAAATCCACCAAAATGGGGGGGGGGGGGGGGATTTTGATGGATTTGGGATGGTTAGGGTTACAGAAACACTAGGCATATAGGCCTACCGGTATCCCACTTCTTTCAACATTTACATTGGATGCTTACTAGATATTCACGCATAGGCTACTCGCTGAGGCATGACTATTTTGCCTTTGTAAAATTCCTAGTTCGTTCAAAGGTTCGAGCAAGGTTTCTCTCATTACATTTTTGTATCTGTTTCCTGGTTATTACCAATGTTAACGTGCCTTTAGCCATTAAACTGAAATAATTTCACAGGGCAGTGCCAACTCAATCACAGTAATTCACAATTTCCAGATTTCCATCGGTCGTTTAGCCTTCAAATGACCACTGCTAAAGATTTCCAAATTGGAAACACAGCCGCACCAAATAAATAGTTGATTCTTTTCACTGCGACCAGCGTAAGGAATGCGCTGGACTAATCACATCATGTATGGGGGCAGGTGTCTTAATGGCCGCGCTGATTGCGATTCGGAGCGGTAATAGATGAGGTACGGACCTTGAAGGCAAGGATCTTACTCGTTAAGGGAAATGTGTCTGAATCTGGGTTTAACGCGGAAATGAATACACGCATGCAAATATTTATATTGAGTAAATGCACACTGGCATTACAGATACATGTACACTCACTAGAAAAAATAATATAAAATAAAGTTTTTTTAAACATTACAAACGGGCATTAAATTTTGTTTGGCTTCCCAGAGAATTATAGGATTATTCTGATATCGTTTTCATTGATACGACATGGTTTCATATTACTGAAATATCACGTACCAGTTAAATGTGATCCGTGGATCACATTTTTCAAAATTTTGAAACTGTGTTTGTGTTCAACATCCCATAACTCGAAAAGTACATGAGTGATTTCAATGATTCTTGTACTAAAAAAAAGCTTATTAATTGGGCTTTCACATCCCAACATGTAGATCTGAAAAGCACTACCGGTACGTGTATTTTGTATCTTTACTCATGAACACGCAGGTCTTGAACCAGCACAAGTCAAACACACCGCAGTAACACAATTGCAAACTACCCTGGTACTTAAAGGGAAAATACAACATTTGCAAACATCAAAAAATAAAACTACCAAATCATTTTGAAATGTACCTTGCTGGACTTTTAGTGAATGACAGTGTAAAGCATCCTGTAAAATCATGGCACCTGGTATACTTTTTCAAGAAAAGTGGTATTTTTGTTACAATTTCCAACGCTGGTCGGCCGACCAGCGTTGGAAAAAAAACTGGCTTTTTTTCAAATACTGGCCCCAATTGACCATCGCACTTGTTTGCAATCGATTACAAACCTATGAACGGGTACGAGCCAGCTAGACTGGTTCCCTGACCTTACAATTCCCCAATGTATGTAAACTGCTCTGTTTCTTCTTATGTGGAGTCAGGGAACCAGACTACAGGAAAATGATTGTTTTTCTTGGTTTTTATAGCATTTTCGAACCCAAAACCTCAAAAAAGTCAGTGTAACTATATTTGCTATATATTTCCAACCCCCGAATTCCATCCATTTCTGAAAATTACAGCAAAAGCCAATGATGAACATTCCCTTTAATGACATCACACTTTGTTTACATGTATTCTTATAGAAGCCAGGTGGGGACAGGGCCACAAGCTCCCATAAAAAAAATGCACATGTGTATGTAAACAAAGCGTGTTGTCATTATGTCTCATGTCTATTCCTGGTGTGGTACATGCACAGTGTACATTGGCTTGAAAAAAAGAATTGAGCCATTCCGGCAAAAAAGTTGCTGTGGTTCATATTCTCGATTCCGTCAGACCACAAAACCTAGATTCAAGTTACAAGGGAAGTAGTCATATTCTGTCACTGAACTGTTTCCTACCAAGTTCACACAGTGATTTTCCTATTACTAGAAACAGTGCAGTCCTAGTAACGAGCATCAAGGTTGCTCAGCTAATTGGACATGAGTCATAACATCCTTGTTTGTGATCAAACCAAACCCACGCTCGCTGTTGCATATTTACACAAAAGGACAATGATGCGAATGTACAATGTACAATGTGTACATGTTTTCGGGAAATGCTGGCGCACTAGTAACAATATTCATTGTATTGATCATTTCCTGGTTAATGAATCAAACTGTACCAGCACCCATTCTCATGCTTGAGCCCACGTGTAATTTAAATTTGAATTGCTAAAGCAGAGGGATTAATTAATTGTCAATGATTGACTCTCAGTTCAGTTACATTCATTGACGTAAATCTTAAATGAAAAGAGAGTTGGCCTTTCATATTTATCAATTAAAGGGAATATACAACATTTGCAAACATCGAAAAATATAATTACCAAATTTTTACGAAATACCTTAATAGGATGTTGGTAAATGACAGTCTAAAGCATCCTGTAAAATTATGGCACCTGGTATACTGTCATTTTCAAGAAAAGTGGTATTTTTGTATCAATTTCCAACGCTGATCGGCCGATCAGCGTTGGAAACAACTGGCTTTTTTTCAAATACTGGCCCCAATTGACCATTGCACTTGTTTGCAATCGATTACAAATCTATGAACGGGTACGAGCCAGCTAGACTGGTTCCCTGACCTTACAATTCCCCAATGTATGTAAACTGCTCTGTTTCTTCTTATATGGAGTCAGGGAACCAGACTACAGGAAAATGATCGTTTTTCTTGGTTTTTATAGCATTTTCGAACCCAAAACCTCCAAAAAGTCAGTGTAACTATATTTGCTTTATATTTCCAACCCCCCAATTCCATCCATTTCTGAAAATTACAGCAAAAGCAAATGATGTATATTCCCTTTAATAACTCGTGAAGGAGACTTTTCTCCACATTTTTACTGCACACCATAATGGATAGGAGCCATATTAATATTCGTGAGGCTTGAACAGATTGACAGTATATTGCAAACCCCAGTGTTACAATTTTCAAAAATGCACGTAGCCAGGCCTATTTGTCCAATTTCAACGAAAAGTAAAGAACATATCACAACGATTTTTAGCACATACTTGGATCATTATAAGGGAAATAAAGAAATCCTGAAAGTTGCATGAAGATACGGTCTTCCAAACTGGAGAATTTAATTTTCAAAGATTTCACCCGCCAACGTGAACATGTCTGTGTACTTTATTACGTAACCTTTAGAAATCGCGCTTCGCAACCACATGACTGATTCAGAAGACAAATAACTGTTCCAATTTTTTGTCTTCCACTCCTTTTTTTACCCCATTCCATTTGGGTCTCTAGATCCAGAAATACATACATGTAAGGGTAAGGACCACTCTCACCTGGACATGCTGAATCTGGGTTAAGCATTGAATATGCATTGAAGTTGGTGACAACACAGGTGAGAGTGGCCCAAGTAAAATTTGCACCTTTTCACTTAAAGGGAAAATACAACATTTGCAAACATTAAGAAATAAAACTACCAAATTATTTTGAAATACCTTGCTGGACTGTTAGTGAATGACAGTCTAAAGCATCCTGTAAAATCATGGCACCTGGTATACTGTCATTTTCAAGAAAAGTGCCATTTTCGTATCAATTTCCAACGCTGGTCGGCCGACCAGCATTGGAAAAAAAACCTGGCTATTTTCAAATACTGGCCCCAGTTGACCATATTTAGTTAGTCTGGTTTTGTTTGCAATCGATTACACACCTGTGTACGGGTACAAGCCATCTAGACTGGTTCCATGACCTTACAATTCTTTAACGTCAATAAATTGCTCCGTTTCATCTTAAATGGAGTCAGGGAACCAGACTACAGGAAAATGATTGTTTTTCTTGGTTTTTATAGCATCTACAAACCCCAAACGTAAAAAAGTCAGTGTAACAATATTTGCTATACTACCAACCCCCCCCCCCCCCCCCCCCCAAATCCATCCATTTCTGAAAATTACAGCATAAGAAAACTGATTGTATTTCTGGATCTAGGAACCCAAATAGAATGGGGTGAAATGGAGTGGATTGAGAAATAGTCAGGCTTTAATGTATATAATTTCATTGAAGTAAAAACATTAAACAGTTTTAGCTACCAATATTTGTTTAATAAATGTTGCACTTTTTTGGCACACACTGATACACTGTAGGCCTATTATATTTATGAATAGCATCACCAGTATAAAATGTTGCCCCTTTTCTCCCCTCCCTTCCCAAGCCCGTTTGGACATTCAAATGAAAAGAACATTCATTTTCTCACTACGCTCCATGTACTGCGTTATCATGCTTGGGCACCTTGGGTGCATACAGATACTGTATGGGCTCCAATCTCATCCATCATCACAGCATACTTCCCTACAGATCCAAGCTAGTTACATATTCTCGTTCAGCGGCGGACTTATTTGATTGATTGATTGTTTTAATAACTACGGGGGACCGCAATATTCAGCACCCATGCATACTGTCAGACACTGCGCAATGTGCATAAATGTATTTAGCATGATAAAATGTACTGCACTATGTGTACATGTACAGTTAAAGGGAAAATACAACATTTGCAAACATCGAAAAATAAAACTACCAAGTTGTTACGAAATACCTTACTAGGATGTTGGTAAATGACATGCTAAAGCATCCTGTAAAATTATGGCACCTGGTGTGAAGCCATTTTCAAGAAAATGGTATATTTGTATACATTTCCAACGCTGGTCGGCCGACCACCGTTGGAAAAACCTAACCATTTTTCAATTACTGCTCCAAATTAACCATTTTTTTTAGTCTAAATTTTGTTTTGCTAGCTATTGGTTCCATGTTCATGAACGGGTGCAGGCCAGCTAGACTGGTTCCCTTACCTTACAATTTTCCGGTATTTTTGATCCATTTCATCTTCAATGGAGTCAGGGAACCAGACTACTTGAATATTGTCAGTGCAACAATATTTGATCTATTATACTAACCCCCCAAATAGTTCATTTCTGAAAATTACAGCAGAAGCCAATGATGTACATTCCCTTTAATGTCCGTAAACTTACATCAAAACAAGCAGACTGCAGAGTTATGTGTAAAAATATGGGACAGAGACTGAACAAGATTGTGGGACTTGACTTATGAGAAAAAAAAATCATGACCTAAAATATCACTCGGAGATGAGTGTAGAGTATGTACAAATGCCTGCAGTTACTGTTTTAATTGTTTACTTTTTACCCGAGAAACTGGATAAGGGAACTGAACTCCTTGAGGGCCAAATATGATTTATTAAAAAAACAGTACTTCTTGAAAGGAATAAATATGTGCTTGACCAGTTTTAAACTAGGATAAGATTGTCAATTTAAAAAAAAAGTCTGACAATTGAATGAAAGGTCTGAATGATGTATTTTTTTCTAAACTGATGATGTCTTCTCTCAGATTCAAAAAGTCTGATTTCAGACAAAAGTCTGAAAAAAAATCTCATGCCTGAAACAAGAATGTTTAAAACTGGCCAGGGAAAGATTTCCATATACGAAGTTCACTAATTTTCCTCTGTATTGACTAACAAGCCCCTAGATAGCAATTTCATGTCATCAAAGTCAATTTGAGCAGTGAGAAAATACAAGCATTTTCTTAGAAAACACTTACAATTTTTCAGTCCAATCTCATAGGGTTTGTACACAGGGTGTTGAGGGAACTTCGTAAATCTTTCCACAATTTGTAGGTCAGAGCAAGAGTGTTACGATAGAGTGAAAGGAAAGACGCCCAAGTAAAATCAGAATATTCTCGACTCAAATAGCCTTATAAATGGGACCCAGATACTGGACTGCCTCTGTCTCCTTAGCTCCATTGTCACAGGCACAGGAGGGGGAAGGGTGTCTCTTTAGGGGGTTTAAACACCCCTCTTGGGCAGCAAAAAATTTGGAAAATCATGTAGAAAAACACATCACATGCTGTTAACCCCCCTTGACTCTGAAAGAAACATGTTACTAAAAGTTAATAACAAGGTTAGTGTTCTTCGAACTGGAACATAAAGCTGCAATATACATGTATTGCAGCTTTACGTTCCAGTTTAAAAAAATATTATCTGGCTTTTTTTTTTTAAGCAAGTGGCATAGGGGCCAAGGATACTGGTACAGAGGCAAATCAGGCGACCCAGCATCCGAGACCCATGTAATGGAGCTACCACTTTACGTACCTTGACCTGTTTATATTTCTTCTTTGGAGCACAGTTCAAATCTTCATGCACTTTGTCAAGAAGCCAGATGAGAAATTCTTGAGCATCGTGTTGGTCATTTCCACGGAACTGACCGCTGTACTTGGACACGATGCGTTTGAATTCCGTGGTGTGCTGGGGTAGGTACTGACATGACCAGACCGATTTCATCAACAGGGCTAACTGTTCTGTCACCTCGCCTTTCGTACCGAATTTCTTGTTGTTTTTCTTGCTCCGTCGCATGTCTTGTTGGTATTGCTCCAGGACAAAGTATTCCGCAAGCATGTCGGTGTTGCTCAAACACTGAACAATGGCATTCATGAAGCATGTGTTGCCGTGGTTTCTGAGTCCCGCAAGTCCGGGTACTTTGCCATTTAGCCTGACGGGGTTGGAGCTGATGGGTGATAAATGCACGCCTTGATTGTCCAAGTCGTCATTTGTGTGGACGCTTCTCGTATCATCGACGGGGCTTTTGGACTCGTCCATGTTACGGATCTGCCGCATCATTTTCTGAATCAGGCTGCCGAAAGCGCGGAATGAGGGTTTGTGGGATTTCTTCTTGTGTGGGCTCAGCGAGTTGCTCGGGGATATGCTGCCGTGACTTCCTAAACTCGGTTGCTTTGGCGACGACAAACTTGATGTGTTCGAACTTGGCGAGAGCGATCTCACATTATCGTTCAACCCTCGTCGGTCAGGACTATTGTTCATGTTCTGCCGGACGACATGCTCGTCGCTATAACTTACAACGTTGGGTCTGCTGCCAGTCAAAGTCTGCTGCAGTCCGTGTGACCGTAAACCCCCAGCGATAAAATTCTCCCGAACATTGTGTGTCCTGTTGACGCCGTTCGCCACACTCCGCGGAAGGCTTGCGGTTTTCTGGGGCCAATATTCCTGTTCGTAATCATAGCCCCTCCCCTGAGCAAAGCTCCCGTCCCCGCCCACCCCTGTCTTGAAAGACCTGGGCAGGGTCGAGTCACCACGCCACGCATAGTGTCGATCGTCGGGGTGATCGTCGCTCATGTACCCAACGCGTTCCCCATGCTGAATACACTCAATGTCGGCCAGCGGTGCAGCCGACTCGTACTCTCGCACAGCGCTCATCATGTGTAAATTTCTGGCCGTATTTCTTGACTCTGTATCGTGTCGTGACAGCCCCCTGGGCTTACCTGGCCTCGTCTTTCTCACAATTTACTCGCCGCAGACCTTCACGCTCCATTTGAACCGATCCCAACACGGCTAAACGACAAGTGTCGGTGGTCGAAATCAATCTTGAGTGGGCAGGTATAAAATTCCCACTTCCAGTTCCAGAAACTACGGCCATTATCTTTTTATTGGATGATTAGCGCCCTCTACTGATGGACTTTTATAATGATTTTTGTGGGTAGTAGAAGTCATAGAGCTATTTAAAGGGAATATACAACATTTGCAAACATCGAAATATAAAACTACCAAGATTTTATGAAATACCTTAATAGGATGTTGGTAAATAACAGTCTAAAGCATCCTGTAAACTTATGGCACCTGGTGTGAAGTCATTTTCAAGAAAGTGGTATTTTGTAGAAAATTCCAGCTGTGGTCAGCCGACCACTGTTGGGAAAACCTAAAAAAATTTCAACTACTGCTCCAAATTCACCATTAATTCAGTCCAAATTTTGTTCGCTACTGGTTACATGTTCATGAACAGGTGCAGGCCAGCTAGACTGGTACCCTTACCTTACAATTTTCCGGCATCTGTAAATTGATCCATTTTATATTTAGTGGAGTCAAGGAACCAGACTACTTGAACAGTTTTGTTTTTCTTGGTTTTTCCAGCATTTTCGAACACAAAACTTCAAACATGTCAGTGTAACAATATTTGACCTATTATACTAACCCTTCATATAGTTCATTTCTGAAGATTACAGCAAAAGCCAATGATGTATATTCCCTTTAATACAGCTCTATAATAGAAGTCCAACTTCTGAATACATCTATTTTAAAGGGATACACCACTGCTTGAAATATTCCTACTTTTTTTTAAAGCCCAACATAAGCTATTGAGGCTTCAAACAAAATAAAAGAAATGAAATAAATTTGCTCTTTTTCAAGAATATTGATGTATTCTTTCATCCAACTGCACTAATTAACACGATGATTTTTGACAAAATTGCAAGCTAAGAGTTTTATTAAAATGTAATCTTTTATAAAACGCCAAAACGTGAAAAAAATTAACAAATTAGCAAACAAATCCCAAACAAAACTCTTTGGCCTGTTTACAAAAACAAATTGACAAATTTTGTGAACGAGCATGGATGCCTGGACACAAAAAAACTAATATTAAAGGCATGTAGCATCACTCGCATTTATCCAAAAAGTACCCTACCATTGTCAAAAATTTTACTTGAATGAAAGATCGTACTGGTACTAAACACCCCGTGAAATTATTCCGTCTGGCTTGCTGTCATTTAAAAGAAATCAAGAAATGTAGGTGATTTCCAAAGATCAGTCATGTGACTGATTTTTGGAAATGCAGAGTACATGTACATGTAATCAAAAGCTTGTGCATGGTTTTCACTGTTTTATCAAAACATGTAACATCCACTGAGCTGAAAGTTTCTACAGGTTAGGTTTGGGACAGTCTTCTTTGGATTTTGAGTGGTGTTATTATTGGAAACAAACAAAATCCATGAAAAGAAAATGATCCTATATGCCTTAGGAGTGGAATTTCAAGATGTGGGACAAGGCAGGAATTTAAAAGCAGTCCTTCTGATTTGAGGCGTGCGATCACACCCCAACACCATCGCACACCTAAAAGCTTCCCGAGAAGTGTGAATAATTGCACGCTTGAATTTCCCTGGACCACAGATCACACACCTAGAAAACCACACACCTAGAAAAAACACACACCTAGAAAAATCCAGGTGTGCCTTTTTCCCAAGTGCCTGTGATTTTCAAATCAGAAGGAATTTAAAAGACATCAGGGTAAGCTTTAAATTATCAAAACAAAGTCACACGGTTTGGCATGGGGACAAACTTTACTAATTCTACAAAAAAGGCAAAAAACATGGAATAAAACACCAAAAAGAAAACAAAATACATAGAATGTTTCAAGCAAAAAGAACAAGTCCCAAGAAAGCGTACATTCTCATTACATGTAGAAGACAGAAAATTGAATGTCATTCTGTAGTTTTAAGAATAAATAAAATGCACACTAAAGAGAGTGATAATCATCTGACATCTTGCAAAGTTTTAATTAAAACTACCATTGTTCTAAGTATCTAATTTACATCAATGATTTAAAACACTACAGGATATTAAGAGCTGCACAAATGACAATTTTGGGGGAAAAAAGAAAATTCTATTAACACTTATTTTTTAAAATGCAAGCGAAGGGTCTAAAAATTGTTCAGTCGTATGTACAAGTAAATTAGGCATGCCCTTATTATTCACATGTAACACTGCATTAAAAACGAAGTTTGAAAAGGTCCAGTAGGAACCAACGCTAGTGATGAAGTCTTTGTAATATACAAATTGCAGAAAATAATGTTCACATGATGGTCAATCTGACTGCAACAATCTGATGTAACATGATGTTAAATCCATAGTCTGCGATTTAAAGGTATATTAGACCATTTGCATCTATCCAAAAAGGATTAAACCGACCAAATTATTGTTAAAAGTTTACTTGGTTTAAAGATAGTAATAACACTAAACTCCCTGTGAAATTATTCCTTTTTGGTATGCTGTCATTTTGGAAAAAAAAAAAAAAAGGTCATTCCCAAAGATGTGTCAAGTGACACATTTCTGGAAATAGCTGTTGGCAGTTGGTTTGTAATTGGGCAAATCCGTGAATGGGTGCAAGTGCATTGTCATGACGCACATGCACACGCGCGCGCGGTTGCTATTACATGTATCAGCAAGAATCTTGTAGGTTCAGTGTGTGACGTCACGTAGCAACAATTGGCTGAATGAGAATCACGTCCCGAATGCTGTTTTCGGGATTGGGTCATGACTCAGAAACTTTTGAACTAATATCGAGATCCAGAATATTGTGTTTTCTAGAAATATACAGCATTCACAGAGCTAACGCTTCATCAGGTTAGTTCTTAAACGCTCCTCTTTAGATTTTTGGCACTTTTGTTGCTTCAAACGAAAACAAAATTTACCAATGACAAATGGCCTACTTTACCTTTAATGACAGTTCAACTTTTCAACATTTTGGGTAGCATACTGAAATTTTGTTGCAGGGCTTTAACAAGTGGTAATATGCAAATGAGAGAATATACAATGTATTTTAAAGGACAACAATGTTTTAGGTAAGAAGGGAGATTTTACACAGTTATGATTAAAATGTAAAAAAAGAGTAACTTATTAAGAAGTTATTCTGGACTGATATGTAATTGTATTCAATTTGCACAATTGTGATAAAATTCCCGATAAAAGGTATTAAAATGGTCACAGAAAATTTAACTACAGCTAAGATGATTGTAAAAATGACTGATTAAAACTTGCTAAATTTGTCCTTGTCACAACATTACTGTATCTGCACCACAATACTGCTTCAAACATCACATGTAAGATTTGTTACTGGCAAGTTCAGAAGATGCGATGTGTCCATCTTCTTGCATAAAATCCTCTGGAAATTGACGTAACGGTAACTTTGTTCTAAAATTTTGTTGATTTAGTTAAACAAAAAGTAACAAATTTTTCTTTGAAAAGCCAGATGTGCTGGCAATTTTGCGACAGTGACGCAGCATCTGACACTGAGTGTTCATGATTTATTTATCAAGAGTTAAAAGTTTTGATTTTAATTATGAATCCACAGCTTTACTGCATGACATGAAAAACCTACAAAAGAAGAATTTTGTTTTACTACAACGTTGCAGTGAACAGTTTGAATTTTATTTAAATTTATGCAAAACAGCTGAGTTGTGACCATCTAACACCAACTGGCTGTAAAATTGCACGACGTCAATTTTGCAAAAAAAATGGGTTGGATGTTTCGATTTTTTTTCAGACCTGAATACTTTGAAGCATTCTCCTCCAGTTTTGAAATAATATACAAATTCCCGAAAAAAGTGCATTTCACTTTTTTTGGGGGGGGGGGGACCAAGCAATATAAATGTGCAGTCGGTACAAAAAACTTATGTAGCAGGTTAAAAAATCTCACAGTTTCATCTGAATCAGAAAGTAGAAATACATTAAGTTTGGTGTCATTTCACTGCTAATGAAATTGTCTTTCCAACTATGCATTACGTCCAAAAGTGTAATTTTGGACTTTAAGATACAGCCATTTGATGGTGACAGTCACATTTTAAAAATTTTGATTGTGATTCTCGTTTTAAAATTTACTTTTATACTTCAGTCCCAGAGGTGGACGCACACGCCGCGGCTTCGTGGTAGTGTCTGGTCTCTTCGGGGTCTTCCCCCGTCTCCCGAGCTTTCTTGTGTCGGCTCCTTCGCCCGCCCTTCGACCCCTGACCCCCACCGTATCTGGCAGGCATGTTGTCGGGGGGTTTGGGCCCCGCCGTCTGGCCCCTTCCTTTGCCCATCTTCTGTTTGTTCTTGAGGACACTCAGAGAGACGTGGGGGTGGGTCTTGGTGATGCGGCCGACTGCCTTTGTCCGTCCCTCCCTGGAAAGAGAACGACAACCAACATTATCGCTATAATGGTCAAGTTTGCAGGCATACATGATCATTTTGCTGTTCATGCATTTTGATCGTTTCCAATAATAACACCACTCAAAATCCAAAGAAGAATGTTCAAAACCTAAACTGTTGAATTAGCAGCTCAGTGGATATGATTACCCGAGCCGAGCTCATTCATAAATACCTTTTCGGTTAAAAAAAAATCAAAATTTAAACTTTACAACAATTTTGTTCAACAATTTTACTTCAATTTTTTTAAACACCCCTCTAGTTATATATATAATAAGAGTGTCCAGCTCGAGAGTAAGACGTAAACAACTCCGTTTATGGAGATTGGCACACGCTTCGCGCGTACATGCGCGATGTCTCACTGATGCAGCTGTGGTGAGTGCGTTGTGAATTTAGGACTACAAAATACTGACTCAATGGTAGTATTGCACATGCCTACGTGAGGATTGTGAACGTTCGACCAATAAAACGGCAAGGGGCACTGGATTTCATATATAGGAGTCCAAATTTCATGTGACACTGGAAGAGTGTTTAAGATCAGCCAGCCACGTGACAGGCTCTCGACCAATGGGACTGGATAAACTGTCCTAGGTATTTATGACTAAAGTATTTAGTTGTGTACTTAGCTGGGCGATTTGATTCAACCCTTTAGCTCTAGTACCTTCCCCAATCATCCTGCCTGTTACTTCTCATACCGCCCCAAACCATCCCAGCGCTCTTTGGTTTTATTGGTTCATGGAGGAGTAAATACAATGTAATACAATTTATCACAAGTGCTAAAGGCTTAAGTGCTGAAAATGCCCATTTGTTTTATTACTGTTATCAATACACATGCAACCTTGATTAGGTTTCTGTATACAGCATTCGTGTTGGTAACCATGGCAACTCACCGGAACACCATTCGGCTGTCCGCGTGGAGGAACTCCGGGTTTTTGATGAATCTGAAGCGGACCTGCGCTTTGTCTCCCGTCCGGAGGTGCTCCTTACTCATGAAGATGATAGAGGCTGTCTGCCGGATGCTGCCGACGTGAACTGTGGTAACAACGAGAAACGGTGATTGTGAAAGAACAGAAAGATGTGACCCAATCCACACAAAAAAAGTTGTTTGTGCACAATTTAATGTACATGTAAGAAGTCTCTTAGAATAAAGTGCGAGTCAAAAAGAAAGAAATTGACTTCAAAGCACTAGCATTCCATGGACAGCTGTAAAAATGAGGTTTTTTTAAGCCGGCCTCGGGTCGACCCACGATTCGCTTGCGCCACGATGGAACCGTCGGCATCAAGCACAAAAATTATGCTCGGGTCACAAAACAGAGAAATCTCGTAATGGTGGTGGAACACGTCGCAGAAGTTGAAATTTTTCTACTGATGCCGATCGTCTTAATATCGTCCCAGTTACACTCAGGTCGCACAAAATCGGCGACTGAGTTGTTCCCGACCTTCGTAGCTCAGGCACAGCTTGATCCCAAAAAGTCAGTTGCCGACTGATCTGTGTCGTCGCAAGGTCGACCTGAGGCCGGCTTTAGTAAATCAGGCCTAAATTCTGATAGCAAGGATCAATCTCAGTAATCATTTTTTCAGATGAGTGGAAGAACACACTCGTTTAATATGTGCTTCATTGGCGTATCAAATTTAATTTCTTTAAATGGGAAGCAAATTATTTAGATATTCGGTCATTTTCTTTTTGACTCACATTCCACTCCAGTAACTTCAAATTTAAAATACACGAGGGGAAAACCAAAATGTAGTGATATTTCAAAAATTACGTAAAACTGCTGAAACTTGTCCAGAGCACTGGGCGACCCAAGCTGTAATAGACCTTTATCATGCTGCCACCATTTCAGTCATGTTCCCTGTATCCAATAACAGTATTGAATGATAGTGTTTTTTGTGCAAAAAGGAACCAGACTACTTTTCCTTCCAGCCTCGCTTTGGTTACGTTGATTTGAATGGGAAATAATCATGATGGCCGCAACATGATAACAGTCTATAAGTGCACTGACTGTGCTAGCTCTTTTTGTGTAAGCAGTTTTCATGTCGTATTTCAGTCACTCACCCATAGCCTGGTATCGTGTGCTGATCGTTGTCGGATGGTGTAGAACCAGAATTTCCCCCTCAAACTCCCAGCATGCCTCTGGGTTGGACTGCGGCGACACCATCACCATGCCCTTCCTGATGTGGGAACGCTTGATTTGCTGATAGAATTACAAGGAATTACAAAAACAAAAACATAATTTGAAAAAAAGACGGACAAAATGGGTGCATGCCAACATAGTGCTGGATAGCTCAGTTGGTAGGGCATCTGAACAGCAATCCGGAGGACGCAAGTTCTAACCCTGTTCCAGCCAATTTCTTTGTTCAAGTTAAAAAAAAAAAAAAACCGCTTAGCAAATTGTTATGCTCAGCTGAACTTGGCAGGGAAACAGCCAACAGCAATATACATGGCATGATATTTTGGCTGTTAATCTTATAGTAAAAATTGCATTCTTCAATTTTTTTTTCATATTTCGGACCTCAGCAACCCTGGGGGGGGGGGGATAGGTTTTTTGTTTGGGCACAAACAGATCCGCTTTGCAAGCAGACTGGCTCCCAGTCCGTACGTTATCAATAATGATTGTGGGGCGGGAACCAGCCTACCCTGCGAGAACAAAATGTTTGTCTGGCAGCCAATCATTTGAAAATGTATCTCTAAATACTAAATTGGGCCGATTTTTTCGGTCTCATTCAAAAGTGAATCACTTTTGTATTGGTAGAAAGATATCAATTTAGAAAAGGAATCTTTGTTTTTTCCCCCAGGATGAAACTCAAAAATAGCACTGAGAACAGAACTTTAACAATTGTAAAAAATGTTACTTTTGAATTATAGCAACATGTGAACTGATGTCAATGATCTGGGAGTCACGTCTGTTGGCAAGTGCAATATGGTGTCATTACAACGCCTGCAGTCGTTTACAAATAAGGTGCATTAGAATACTTAATCCCCACCTTCTTGAGAGCAAAGGAGGCTGTTTGACCCCCCTTCACCATCCGTACAGGCATGCGCTTCCGATGGATACTTTTCACTATGACTTGTTGGAAGTTGCCCTGGGGGTCAGGACCCAGGAGTAACGAGTCGTTCAGACGGATCAGTCCCTTTAACGTTGTTCCTGACACCACAGTTCCAACACCCTGCATGAAACACAAGAGTTATGTTTGTCTTAGGCAAGAGCGGATAGAAGCATTAAAGGGGCATGCAATGTGTTCTTTAATTTTTTTTAAATTAGAGGCCTGATGTTTTGAGGTAATACGACATTCGAACCGCGACCTCCTGCTTTAGTGCAGATGTCTTACCACTCGACCACCCAGCTTGCCGGGGTCGGCTGGCTGGTTCAAATCTGATATAGCAGCAAGTACCGCAACCAAACTACATGTATTCATAAAATTGAATTTGCGTTGAGGTGACATTATTTCGACACCGGGTTTTGCCCTTCACCCAATGTTGAATTTGCTTTAACCCTACACAAATTCTACCTGATGAATAATTGTGTTGATGGTACCGAATCCTATTGGCGGTCTCTTTTACGATGAGCTTTTACCTCAAACAAGCCTTTAACTTCATTATTGATGATCTGATGATCAGGCATGCATCTGGGAATTTAGAAAAAAAAACGAGGAAACTCCAAACCACACAAGACTTTGTACAGTATTTTTAAATTTGCAATGGCATTCATGAGAAGTACAAATGAGGAAATCAGCGGATCCCGAGAAAAGTTGCAAGCCTTGATGATAGGGTATGTCGTTATAGTGACTTACCGGTACTGAATACGTTTCATCGATCTGAAATTCTGCCGGTTCGGTGATGTCACAGTGCATTCTGGTGGACAGTAGGTTGAGGAAAGTCTTGAGCAAAGGCAGGTTCTCCCCGGTCACGTTAGAGACTTGAAAGATGGGGCACACTCTGCAGAAACAAACACAAATAACTTGTTTTTGTCACAGTTCAGTTGAACAGCTTGCGACGGGACTGGAGGACTTGTGATGGGCTTGAGATTGGCTTATGATGGACTTGTGATGGACTTGTGATTGACTTGTGACTGACTTGTGATTGACTTGAGATTGGCTTGTGATGGACTTGTGATTGACTTGAGATTGGCTTGTGATGGATTTGTGATGGACTTGTGATGGACTTGTGATGGACTTGTGATTGACTTGTGATGGACTTGTGATTGACTTGTGATGGACTTATGATTGACTTGTGATTAACTTGTGATGGAGTTGTGATAGACATGTGATGGACTTGTGTTTGACTTGTGATTGACTCAAGATGGACTTGTGATGGACATGTGATGGACTTGTGATTGACTTGTGATTGACTTGTGATTGACTTATGATGGACTCGTGATGGACTTGTGATTGACTTGTGATGGACTTATGATTGACTTGTGATTAACTTGAGATGGACTTGTGATGGACATGTGATGGACTTGTGTTTGACTTGTGATTGACTCAAGATGGACTTGTGATGGACATGTGATGGACTTGTGATGGATTTGTGATTGACTTGTGATTGACTTGTGATGGACTTGTGATTGACTTGTGATGGACTTGAGATAGACCTGTGATTGACTTGTGATGGATTGCTGATTGACTTGCAATGGACTAGCAATGGACTTGTGATGGACTGCGAGTGACTTGTGATGGACTAATGATGGATGTATGTGGACTTGAACACAACACTGAGCACATACCTCTCGGAGCTGAAGTTAGTTGCAGCCATGACAACATCATCCTGCGTACTAACAAGCACGGGGATCTTGCGGCATCCTGGTGACTTGAGGATGCGCTGCAGTAGCTTCATAGTCTCTTGCAGGACGTTGGGTGGGCACATGTCAATCTTGGTGACGACGACAAATACGGGCACGCTCAGTGCCAGGGCAAGACCCAGATGTTCTTTGGTCATGCCAATGATGCCTGCGTTACTGCCGATCTGTATAAAGACGAACATAGGAATGGACAATCAGTATTCTCCTCCATGGAAAAAAAATCAAGTACAGTCAGTGGTAGTGCCAGGGTTTTTCATAAGGGGTAGTTCGCTCGTTCGTGTGTCAGATGATGTTCTGCATCGTGGTAGTGAAGGCCAGGATTTGGTGGGGGGGGGGGCACAATTGCCTCCCTTCTCCCCTTATAGCCATCCTTTCCTCACCATGTGCAACAGAGTGGTAGCATGTCAATATAATAATATTTCCATTTTCTGTCAAATTTCCTGCGATTTCCCTTTTTCTTGTGTTTCCTAAAATTCCCCAAGTTTTCCTTGACTGGAAAAATGAAATAAAATTTCAAAGTTTCCCTGATTTCTAGAGTGGTTAGGGAATCCTGGGTGTTTTTTTTTTTTTTGCCCCAAACTAACGATGGACCAATCCTACCAAAACTAAACACTGACTAACGTTTTTCCTTGCCAGATTTTACAAAGCAACAGTTACCATGAGCATTCCAAAGTCCGGTGCATGTCCCGTCATTCCAAACACTGTCGTCTTGAGATACTTCTCGTGACCTGCAAGGTCAATGAAGGTGATGACCTTGGACGACGTTTCACATATTCTCAGCCAGTCCAGGTTGCCACCTAACAAGAAAAAAGTCAAGACGAATAATGTACAACAGCAAAATAAAAAAATCATCAACTACATAATTCCGAATGATAATTCTTGATTCTGAGTTGGGCAATTCCACGGAATTATAAACCTCAATTAAAAATAATATAAAAAAAAAACCCAAAAGCCACAAATGAAACATGTTTATCAATTTGAAGCTTAGGCCAAAAAAAATATATATACCGTCTCTGGTCAGACCAAAGTTCCGGAATTGACGCGGCCACGCGAATTTTTTTTGCTTGGATTGTACAGACAAGGTGGGTACTATTTTGCTTTTTTGGTGTCCTCATGTACATTGGTGTCCTCCATAATTTGCCTTGGTGCTTTCGATCATTTGCCTTGGTGCAATTTCCCATTCGCTGTTGGAGCTACTGCGGAACATTTTGGAAAAAAAAAAGATCGACGTGCATGATTAAAATCGACGCGCGCGCTGACCAGAGACCGACTTATTTTTTTTTTGGCCTTATTATCTGTATTTTATTAAAATATAGTTTATTTCTAACAATTTTCAACAGTTTAGCCGTTACTTTTAAATGAAAAATTTATTAATACGAGCACAAAAACAACAAATTGATTTGTCTGAGTATGTCCGACACCATGGTGTTTTGAGCCGATTTCTACTACAGCAACAAAGTTGGATGAATGATTTCTTGTTTAAATCGTTGTAGTATCTAACTGATACCTTTTATCAGAATCAAAATCCAATTTATGATTACAACTATAATCATGCACATTCATGAATCGTCCAAAATGAATGTCCTCCGCAATAAGACAAATTGCCCATGTGTCTGAATGCAACAATGTTGCACAATGGTTTCTCCATTGAAGGGCGCCTCATGAGTGTACAGTCATCACATGCCCAGATTAGCAAGTACAGAATGAATAACTGCAAGGGCCAATTTCACGGCGCTGCTAAGCACAAATTTAAAAAAAAAGAGTCTGGCTTATAAAAGCAGGTTACCAGCCAAAACTCCATGTGATGTATATTGCTTGTGATTAGTATTCAGCTCTGTTGTTTGCTCTTCATGAAAATCACAAGGAGTTTTGGCTGGTAACCTAATTTTATACGCCAGGCTTAATTTTTGTGCTTGGCAGCTCCGTGAAATTGGGCCCATTTCTATGTACATGTAAGCTGGGTCAAACATGTCAACTTGGGCATTGTACAGGACTTCAGATCTGCTTTGTCCTTACCGTGAGTATCTGGCTTATTCACGACGTTCCCCTTGCTGTCAAACCCCAGGATGTCATTGCCCACGCTGCTGGTTCGTCCAGACTCCATCTCATGCTTATGACGGAACAGTTTCTGTCGGGCCAGCCCTCGGCCGTTATCCAGCTCAGCGTGGGTTAAGACACCAAGGAGGGTGCTCTTACCGGCGTCAACATTCCCTACAACTGCAACTCTTTATGTTTTAAAAAAATTAAGAAAAACGTTAAGAATTTGAATATAACTACGTTCATCGACTTTGTTTAACCAAAGTGAGGCAAATATTTTTCTTAACCCTTAACTCCCTACTTAGTTATGCTACCCAGAAAACCATGTCCATCAAAATCCATCATTCACTCTGCTTCCCATAATGCTTCAGGACCAAATCTCCTGAAATCCACCACTGGTGCTGGTGGATTTTGATTGATTTTGTAGACATGGCTTATCTGTTGATTTTGACGGAGTTGGTAAGGTTATGGTCAATCACGTTAGTTGACGATGGTTAAACTAGTCTAGTTCAAGGGACCCTAACCCCCTAGGCCCTTGTTGCTTACAACCATCCTCAATCCTCCAAAATCCTCCAAAATTTTTCAACTCCGCCTAAATTTTTCAAAATTGTCAGACAGTCCTGCCTCAAAATGCATTCATCCTCAATCCTCCAAAATCCTCCTCATCCCAAACTTTGCACTCGTGTTTAAATGAAGGATAACCAATGCCAAATCCTTCAAAATCATCAGACAGTCCTGCCTCAAAATGCATTCATCCTCAATCCTCCAAAATCCTCTTGTGCTTCATTCACCATTCATCCTCAATCCTCCAAAATTCTCATGTGCTTCAATCACCATTCATCCTCAATCCTCCAGAATCCTCATTTGATTCAATCACCATTCATCCTCAATCCTCTAGAATCCTCCAAAACCGCCAGGAGGATTTTGGAGGAGTGAGGTGGGTTAGGGTTAATAACTTTTTGTGACCAGTCTATGAGGTTGGTTGCCCATAGACACACCAATTGCAATGTACAGCAGGATACCAACGCGGGTTTCATAATGACGTTGAATACATACTTCAACTAGTGACTGTTCACACTTACTATAACCCCATAGATACATCATGAAGCAGGATTTCGGGCGAGGACTATGGATAACCATAGTTCGACTAACTTCACTCCAACGAAGAATGGTTGGACTAGTCTACTTGACTTTTTGGAAACGGACCACAGGGCATGCTTGCATCGCTGTTAACCAATAGTATTGCCCCACATAAAGCATCCGTGGGGGTTAAACAGGACTAAGGAGTTTTGTGATGACGTTTTGACCATCGTTTAACTAGAGGCATTTGCACATCGCTATTAGTGCGCAGGCGTATGTTGCATTATGAATCAACCACTAGTCGAGTTATGGTCCTCGCCTGAACTTATCCATGATTTAATCACTTGTTGACCAAGTTTCTTGATGTCGCCAAGCTATTCATGTTATTAAATGGTCATGTCTGAATCCAATTCCCAATGCATTTGTTGATAAGAGTTGTCAATAAATTTTGGACTAAAGCAAGTGACACACATTATTGACTGTTCTGTCAAGAATAGATACTCATACTTTTTCAAATGACAGAAAAGATCTCAAGAATTCAAGTTGAAAAAGAGTAGTTGTAGTATAAACACGAAATAAACCTGTGAGTGACATGCCTCAAAAAGAAACTGAACTTTTCAATGACTCCCCTCCCCCCCCAAAAAAAAAACCTAATCACAACTCACTAACTTGTTGAAAGAAAGATTTGTTTCTAAGTGAATTTACACTTCCAAGAATCCCCCACGTACCGAACTTCGACAAAGTCTCTCTCTTCAGCACGCTTTCTGACCAGGAAATCGGCGGCGTATCCTGTCTCCAGAGGTCGCTCTCTGAGTAAGACCACGTCAGCCTCCAAGGATTTGGCAAGGCAGTCTAAGGTGGCGATGGAGGCATCCATGTCCTCGCGATTCAGGCCTCCCTCGTTGCCATCGCCTGAGGGAAAACCAGACAAAGCAAGTCTAGTAATTAAAGTGCACAACTTTCTATTCAATTGATTCGGAATGGCTGGAAAGTTTGTAGAATAAGATGCAGTTATAAGGCCAAAAAAAAAAAGTCTCCAGTTTCTGGTATGGAGCTTGCCCCAAAAGTGGTGCGGCGACGCGGCTTTTTTTTTTTTTACCTGTTTTTTTTTTTTTTTTTGGCTTCAAATGTCGGCTGATGACTGCAAATGGTGCCCGACTAAACTTAGTGCAAATATATGGGAGTCCAGAGAGGCCACATAAAGCTTATTCTCGATCATAACCCCATCTAAAAACACGTTAAAATTGTGCAGCAGCAGGATTCCAGTCAAACCAGTGAGTTTGGCGGTTTTGAGACATGATCTTGTATTGAAAAAAAAAACTTTTTCACTTTGCCGACGCGCATGGCTACGGCGACGCGCGCGCATACCAGAAACCGGAGACTTTTTTTTTTTTGCCTAAGGTGATGAGACTGAAAAATCTACTTCCACATTCGGCTGTTAAAAACATTGTTACAAAAGCATTAACCCTAACCCTCCTCAATGCTCCAAGATCAACCGGGCGGTTTAGGAGGATTTTTTGAAGGATTGAGGCTGAATGGCAAAAAGTCTCAGTTGATTTTGGAGGATGCATTGAGGTCGTATGCTGTGCCTAGCTGCGGTGTTTATGTTCAGCCATGCATAACTGAGGCCCACATTATACTGAATATCATCTGCACTGCTTCTGGAGGATTTTTAAGGATTGAGGCAGGGGTCATCTCTCCACTGAACATTTTCATGAAATAATAGATGATTTTGAGGGATTGAGGGTGAATCCAATTTTTACATGGAGGCAACTGAAGAACTTTGCAGGTTTGAGGATGGTTCCTACCGGTAGCTAAAAAGGGCTAGGCAGTTTGGGTTAATTTAAAAAAACAAAAAAATCAAACAACTAATTATTAAAACATTGATTCATATTATAAAACTGTATTGAAACAATCTTCAAATGGAATTTTGCAGATGAATTTACTAAAAGCTTATTCTAATAATAAGAATTCAGTATCGCTTCTTTACTGCATTTGCAAGTCTTTCATTGATATGACCCCATTTCAGTCTGGCACACATCCAGTACATTGCACCATACTCCTCAACCTTTGGATCCAGATATTTATCATAATGTGTCATTCAGGGCTGTGAAAAGTTTCTGAAAGCACAAGGCAATAAAGGATTTTTTTCTCAAAACGGTTTTGTCTAGAGGATAAAAATGTGCGGGTGGTGATAGACGCTGAAGAACATTTGTCATAGACATTAGACAACATACTTACTGTGTATGTGTATGCACACATGATGTTTGCAGACGGGTCATTCCATAATTTAGGGTCTATTTTTTTCTGTGTCCCCGTTACATCTGCTACAAGATTTGAAACTTCAAGACGCATTCTCTGATGCCTTCTATGAGCGATTATGTAGGGTTCAACTTTAACTTTTTTTCACTAGCTAGCCGGGTTACTGAAACAGACTCTTAACTAGCCTGCGGGTATTTCACTAATTCGCATGTTTTCTTTTATACAGTCTCATTAACTATAATTTCCCTAACCCCCAAAGGGCTGTTTGGGGATCAAGTACCAAATACCACAGAATACTACATGTGCTGTGCACACTTGTATGGAAAGAAATACATACTACAGGTTACTCCTCAGTAGTATGTTGTAGCAATTTGGGCGGTTAGGGTTATAAGTGAATATATGTACATGTAAAATGTGTATTCTGAAGCAATCTTGTCAGTGTTTTTTAATGAGGACAAAAAAAAAATATGTCTGCTTTCAATTACATGGCATTTGAAAATAGGGTAGGTAGGTTGGGAATCATATGGGGGTGTCTGCGTGTAATCAAGGGGAAAAGGTAGAAATTGATGTTTTGGGTGTTTTTTTCTTCTCATTTTTCCCATAAAAATATTTGGATTGGGGCTGTCAGAATAGGGTAGGTAGGGAAACCGGAAGCTGAAGTTTTTTGTGTGTGGCCTAAACAGATGTACTAATTTAACCCTAACATGCCTAAGCGATTAGACACAAGTTGATACAGGTTTGCTTTCTGACTTTAATAATTTTTTTCTTCCTGTCCTTAAATCTTTGCCGTAGCCCAATAATTTTAGACTTGTTACAAAAGTGGAGAGGAAGCAAACAGTGAGTTTGTAAATATTTTTCAACCACTTTAATATAATATTTGTCCTATCAAAAATGGATGTGCTCAATAAATTTCAAAAGAATAAATTTTGCAAAAAAAGACCCTTGTGGGCAACAAGACCAAAAACTCTTCCTTTCTATTAAAAGGCCCTCAAATTATCCATTATGTAAAGAGATTTTGGAGGATTTGGGAGGGGTTGGATTTTCTTGTCATATATTGTCAAAGCACTTTTTGTTTGATTTCATCCTCTCCTTCCCCCCCCCCCCCCTTCCTTCCGGTAGACTCACCTCCCTGTCCTATCTCATAGATGGTCTCTCCCTGTCCGTCATCTAATCGTTGTTTCAGCTGCTTCTGTAGCAGGTCAAACATCTCTGTACTCGGGCTGACTAGTTTGTTCTGTAGAGGGGAGACAAGGTAACAAGTATTTGTCAGAATGAAAAGAACAAGGCAATAAGGCCAACAAAAATAAATAATCGGTCTCTGGTCTGACCGAAGTTCCGACGCTTTTTTTTTTTTTTTGGTGGCTTTTTTTTTCAAGCTTGAATTGTACAGGCAAGGTGGGTACTATTTTGCTTTTTTTCTGTCCTCATTATACATTGATGTCCTCCATAATTTGCCTTGGTGCCCTTTATCATTTGCCTTGGTGCAATTTTCCCATTCCTTGGTGCTCCTTAGTACAAAAATTTGAGGAGGTGCGGATATAGAGGGCACTGTTGTAGCTTCCGTGTTAATTTGAAAAAAAAAAGTTGACACGCATGATTAAAATCGACGCGCGCGCTGACCAGAGACCGATGACTTTTTTTTTTGGCCTAAGATCGATTCCCAATACGAGCGATTCCCAATACAGTGCGCCACCAAGAGGGTGCTACGGAGAGTCTATTTTTCGCAGTGCATTGTGGGAGACAGTTGACACATTCGCAAGGAGCGGGACACTTTTGTAAACGTATGATTGGAGTATCTTTTTTTTTTAAAGCACAAAGTTTTTTAACATCTGAGGTAGGATGCATTACAAGCAACATGTTGAAGTTTCAGCTCGGTGGATACTACACATTTTGAATAAACAGATAAGGCCAAAAAAAATATATATTCGGTCTCTGGTCAGACCAAAGTTCCGGAATTGACGCGGCGACGCGGCTTTTTTTTTTTTTTTTTCAAGCTTGGATTGTACAGACAAGGTGGGGTACTATTTTGCTTTTTTGGTGTCCTCATGAACATTGGTGTCCTCCATAATTTGCCTTGGTGCTCTCGATCATTTGCCTTGGTGCAATGTCCCATGTCTTGGTGCTCTTTGGTAACAAAAATTGAGAAGGTGCAGCAATAGAGGGTGCTGTTGGAGCTACAGCGGAACATTTTGGAAAAAAAAAAGATTGACGCGCATGGTTAAAATCGACGCGCCTGCTGACCAGAGACCGACTTATTTTTTTTTTGGCCTAATGTGTGGTCAATATTTTGGTTCTTGTAACCATGGCAAGTGGATTCTGCCGCAAATGTGTACATAAAAGACAGTGTACCAGATGGCAACCTAACTCGATACCACCTTTGTTTGTTTTCTCACCAATAAAACCATTTCAGGCGGAATAATTTCACAGTGTATGGTGTGTATTTGATACCAGTCCTATCTTCACTTTGAGTAAGGTTTCTGTCATTGATTTGGTGGGTACTTTTCCGGGTAATTGCAAATGATTTGACGTGGTTTTATACGAACAAATCAGAACGCTTTTGATGCAAAATGCACTGAAGCTACAAATGATCCATGAACAGGTTTGGAAACAGGCTCCAGTCAAAGTCAGTAATTATGAATTGAAAAAGCTTAATTCCTGAACTTGCAATTTTTCCCTGTTTACTTTTGAGGTTGGAACAGGCTGGTTGCAATTTTTTTGTGTAGCCCAGTGTATGTACATAGTATGTTAATTTATTAACTTAATTTGTAATCACCCAGTTCCAGGTCTTGTACAATGTACTGGTACAAGCATATATGCTTTTTACCTGGATCCCTCATATCATTTTTGGTAATTCTTTATATAGATTCTTGTAAACTGTTTTGTGAAATGAAAATAAAACTATAAACCAAACGACTTGCCTCATTTGTATTCACATACATGTATGGCAATCTTTAGCCCTCCCTGTCCCGAATTTGCATAACATATTTTCATTATTATATTATCCATAATTCATTCGGTTTTTACTTGCTTCTATTTGAGGACGAGGGATCAGTCTATAGACGCATCCCGGCACGTGAACACTGTACACTTTTGAGGCCCCCTTGAATGGAGACACAATTGTACAAATTTATACAGCAGTCATAGGGCAGTTCCCTATAACGGCATATCTAAACAACAGCCAGCACAATGTTTTCACCTGTAAATGACTGTATGCGAGCTCATTAATATTTTGTAATCCCACGGGTAATTTTGACTAAGACGTCCTTGTGGCCTATAACTGGGATCGACTGTAGAAATATTTATGGAAATCAAGCATTTGTGTCAGACTTGTGGCCTCAAACTCATACTTTGAGAAATAATATAAAACAACTTTTGGGTCTATTTCGCATGGGGGGGGGGGGTGTTACATTTAGACCTGGGCCCAGGGAATGGCAATTGTTTTAAGGGTGGTTTGGGAGCGGGGAACAAAAAAAAATGACATGGCTACCTCTGGCATATCTGGTAAAATTGAACAGAAAATTGTCCTAGAGGTCGTAAATCTGTAATTCCAGTGGAAAAAACCCGCCACCTTGCTCCGAGCGTCACAAGGCGACACTCTTTGTGTCCAATTCTGCATTGTTTCCTTTGAGCACGTAATTACAATGAAACCTGAAGGGGGCCTTAGTGATAGAAATGACAGCGTGCTAGGATTGAAAATTTATAAAATTTCATCAGCAATTTAAAGGGAATATACATCATTTGCTTTTGCTGTAATTTTCAGAAATGGATGGAATTGAGGGGTTGGAAATATATAGCAAATATAGTTACACTGACTTTTTTGAAGTTTTGGGTTCGAAAATGCTATAAAAACCAAGAAAAACAATCATTTTCCTGTAGTCTGGTTCCCTGACTCCATTTAAGAAGAAACAGAGCAGTTTACATACATTGGGGAATTGTAAGGTCAGGGAACCAGTCTAGCTGGCTTGTAACCGTCCATAGGTGTGTAATCGATTGCAAACAAGTGCGATGGTCAACTGGGGCCAGTATTTGAAAAAAAGCCAGTTTTTTCCAACGCTGATCGGCCGATCAGCGTTGGAAATTGATACAAAAATACCACTTTTCTTGAAAATGACAGTATACCAGGTGCCATGATTTTACAGGATGCTTTACACTGTCATTCACTAACAGTCCAGCAAGGTATTTCAAAATGATTTGGTAGTTTTATTTTTTGATGTTTGCAAATGTTGTATTTTCCCTTTAAGGTTCAAGCAATTTTTGTTTTACCTTGTTGGACAGTCCGTGCATGAGGTCTGCCTCCCCATTGGTCAGCTCGCAGCTGTCTGGAGCAAACAGATGAGCGCCCTCGGGCATGTCGGGGGTCGTCGGGGACTTGAGGTTATCCTGACTGGGCGAGTCCGGCAGAAAATTGGTGACAATGGCCGCACACATCTTGACGTTTGTTGGTTTGGGGCTCTTTACTACAATGTGGATGTAGAGAGTGATAAAATGATGTTAAATAGAATCATTTAAAAACAAAAATCTTTGTATCATGACAATTCCGTTATGTAGTGATCATCCATCCGTAACCATTGACAATGGAACGACCTAGTCCGAAAATTTGGGAATTTCAATACTGTGTGTGATTGAGAGTCTCAAAACTCATGCTATCAAAAACATGCGACCCAAGAAAATAGACTGGCACATGAAACAACCAGTCCAACATCACATTAGTACTGCATCAGTCAACTGTGTCAAAAGAACATCTGGTACTTATCTATTTCTACACATTCTCTCAATGGACTACCGAAGAGGTCAGTCTTTTCAAACAGTTGTACATGTATCAGTCTAGTCTTAGACTTCAAATTTAAATCACTTGGGTTAACTCTCAGGTGCAAAATATTGAAGACAAAGTCTTCATTAAAAAATGGATTGAGACCTCAAACTTGGCTGGTGAAATACTGAGGACCTTGTCTTTGCCTCATGAAAATTTGGGAGATTTTTTTGTTGGCTAAAGAGTGAGTAAAGTTGGCCTGAATTTGTTTTGCATATTTTTCTGCACTCAAGGTCCCAGTTTGGAGAAGACCTAACTCTTTCAATTGTCCAACTTCCCCCAGCACCAGTATCACTGAAAGTGAAACCAAGGGTGTCACATACAGGGATCTACCCGATGTTCCCCACTACCGATGTTCCCCCAAATCCTTAGGATTAGGGTTAGGGCTAGGGTTAGGGCTAGGGTTAGGGTATATTGGTAGGTATTTCGGGGAACATCGGTATTGGGGAACATCGGTATTGGGGAACATAGGTATACATGAACCCTCACACACCATCAAGGATTCATCAAGTTGCATCACCAGTCATGCCAGTAATTAAGTGTACATGCACTGTATGTATGACATCAACTGAACAACAACTTCACACTGGAGAGATCAGTCCCAAGCATCCTCACCACCACGCCTCAGTGATCAGCCTTCACAACTCCACGCCTCAGTAATCATCCAGCCCAATATATGCAGCCTCATCCACTGTCTGGCTTCTACTGAAGAGCATACTGATCGGAATGTTGAGTTCACAACCAACGGATTCTTTTCAGAAAAACGCATCTTCTCAACAGAGATTCTTCCACATGGTGTGACTGCAAACCCTCACTAGGTTACACTACCACCGTGCAAAGTTTCCAATCTGATTTAACTTCATGTATCAAATACTGGTAGAAGACCAGCCACAACCATAAAGACACACAAAAAGCAGACCACAAAAAGCAGACCACTGAACTTTACAGCCTCCCTGGCCATACACTCAGCCAATTCATCATAGCCCTTCAACAATAGGAGACCTCCAAGTCTTCAAAGGGAAGTAACTGAATGGATTGATGAGCTGAATTGACCAAGGGCTTAATAACCTGGATTAGGGTTGTGGTTTCTGGTCACATTATCTGGATGAACCCAAACAAAATCCTTGGGTGCAGTGTGAGTCTGTATAGACATCTACATTGAATGACTTCATTGCACTTCCCAGTAATGAAAGCTTGTATGGCTTGCCTTCTGCATGTTCGTCACATGCACCATTTCTACTTGTATTTACACATGTAGCACTGAGGATGTCTATTCTGCTCAGGATAACTGCACAAGTACATGTAGTTACATGACAGGGCTAAAAGTGCACGTAGGGCGATTTGTCATTCAGCTAAATTATTTATTTATTTTCTGATAATAATTTCATAAATTATGCATTACCCCTAACACCAGGTGAACTCTAAAGCTTCACATGACTTTGTACAGTGTTTTTCAATTTTTAATGGCGTAAGTGTGAAGTGAAAAACGAGGAAATCAGCTGATCCGAGCAAATTTTGCATGCCTGCAACCCCCTTCATCCTCCCAAATCCTCCAGGTGGTTTTGGAGGATTTTGGAGGCTTGAGGCTGAATGGTAGCAGTGTTGGTTGATTTTGGAGGATAGTCGGGTTCGTAGCCTGTACCCATTATTGTTTATGTTCAGTCATGCATAATAATTGAGCCGTGCATTATGCTTTACATCATCCGCACTGCTTCTGAATGTCATTGGCACTGCCCCAACCATAGTGTTGGAGGATTGAAGCTGTCCAGCACGGCTTCACTACTGCATCAATCAACTGTGCCAAAACAAACTTACTATGAACCGGGAACTAGTTTCTAAATTTACAACACATTTCTCCATAGTCAGCCACCACACTAATGACACTGAACGACGAGGTCAGTCTTTGCAAACAGTTGGACCATGGTTGGACATGTACCAGTCTAGTCTTTAGCCTCATTTTGAAATCTCTTGACTTCCCTCTCATGAGCAAAATATTGAAGAAACATCTCCTTTAAGTTTAAAAATTGAATAGAGTCTGCAAACTCGATTTGTGAAATACTGAGCAAGCTGAGGACCTTTTCTTTGCCCAATGGAATTTTTGAAGAAATTTGCCGGCTAAAGAGTTAGTAAAGTTGGCCTGATTTAGTTTCGCACATTTCAGAGCACTCCAGGTCCCAATTGTCAAGGATATATTTCTGTGTATCAAAGTTTAAAAAATAAAATCATTTCCCAATCTCAATTTCCACTTCAAGGAGCTATAGTATTAGAAGGTATCTGATGAAAGCTAACATGATGCATGATGAACTTAAAGTTTGATAGATCTATACTAAATGTTAAGAAAACAATGATTATATGAATTCATTAATTTTTTTTTCACCTGTTAATACTTATAATATTTTTAAACCTTTATCATTATTAATCCCTAAAAATAAAAATGTCTTTCGAAATTTTGGTAGGTCTATTTTTGAGTGATTGCAAATGATCCACTTGTTGGTGGATTCAGCAATTTAAAGGCCCTATTTTTTTTGTTTTCATTATTGCAGAACTGTATGGATACTAATTTAAATGATTAACATAGGCTATGTTAATCATTTAAATTAGTATCCATACAGTTCTGCAATAATGAAAACAAAAAAAATCAAAACAAAACATTTCAACACTTGTTTAAAATTTGTTTAGGAAATGTTTGCAATTGCACACACATTTTTCAACACAACAGAAAAATGATCACATTTTAACAGTTAAACATAAACTCACCAAACAATTCAACCTGGTGACTCTATTTTCAAATCCTCCAATAAGCAAATGTCCATAGAAGTTTTTTCTCAGGTCTGTGGCAAAACAGTTCGGCAATAAATTGATGATCTGATTGATCAGGATGCTCTGAACAGAGCGGTTCACTTCTTGTTCTCTGAATCGTTGTTTAGACGTCCTTCCAAACTATCACATCCAATGTAATGTTGAAATCATTACATGTCAACTTTAGCTGATTAAAACTTGTAACATTCACTATAGTATTACTGAAAAAAAACTAAAATTATTCCAGGCAGATCTCCTGTGAAGTAAACACACTCTATATGAGGTATCAGCACCAAGTACTTCTACTACACTGGGCAATGCAACAGCACAAAAAAGGTAAACTTATGTTTATCATGAACTTGCAATGCCAATGTGCAACATGAACAACTGGGATTACGTTTTATGTCCGTGACAAACGAGCTTTCGGTAACAGTAGCATCATCGGATTGGGTCTCAAACTGTCATTGGAATCTCCTATATCCACCCATCAGATGATGCAACTCATCGAAACGATCTTCATGCCCAGGGACGGACCGTAATTGAAAGGATATTCCGGTGAGTAAACGCAGGAAAGAGTGACTTTTGGACGCCAGACTGTACAACGTCTTGTGTTGTGTGAACGTGCAATACCTGGCAATACGCAGGAACCAAAACCATTTAAGGGGGTGGTCACGCCGATCCTGAAAATGGAATTTGTCATATTTCTTTCATTTAGATTAGAGATTTAATCAAAACACTTAGAATATTATTTGTTGTTATTCTTTTAACTCGGAAGATCTTTAAAGTGGAGGTGAATATTAATAAAATTTATTTACATGCAACAATTTATCTTGCTCAATTTATAACCACCCCCCTTTCAAGTGAGTGGTACTGTCTTATTTCTTTCCGTTTTCCCGAAGGTCAACTCTTGGAGGCGCTATTGTACAATCTCCAATTTGTTTCCCCCCCCCCCACCTTTACCTGCACAAATGATGAAATAGTTGTGTAATAATAATATTAGAATAAGTTTATTGTCGCGCAAGCATGTGAAATCCCAGATTTAAGGGGCGTGAAGTCCAACCCTTTGAAACTGAGGGTTATAACTCTATTTAAATGCAAGAATACTAAATTAAAAACACATGTACAAGAATACAACTCTTGTGAACTAGCTCCTAGAATTGCCTTAATGAGAAGGTTAACAAAACATTGGTTTAGGCCAAATAAAAAAAACAACATTTTTTCGTCCCCGTTGCTTCCTTTTCCCTGCCCTCCTCTTTTTTTCTCTTTTTTTTTAAAATGCATTTGCAAATACTTGCACCTTATTGTCAATATTTTTGTCTTTTTATTTGTTTCCAACAAAACTGCAGCTATATGTAGAAAGGGTTATGGCTCCTTTGGACAATGGAGGAAGGAACACATGGACACAATTTCATTTCAGCTAAAAAAATCAACAAAATAAAATCTGCTGCCATTTCTGGGGAAGTAGTGCCTGCCTCCTACTTTTTTTTTCAGAAAGCCTGGACGAGCTAGTTTTTTTTTTTTAAAGCCCGGACGAGAAAGTACAATGTATTTTTTTTTTTTTTTTTAACTTGGCCTTATAAATTAACATTACTGTTCTGTGTGCATGCCTTCAAGTCTTGATGTAAAGTTCTGCATAATTGGTATTATTTTGCCAGATAACTTCTGCTCACACTTTGGCAAGTTCCATGTTGGTCTGAGTTTTGATTTGCAAATAATTGAATATTGATTGTTTATTTCCAAACCACGTACATGTACATCAAAATAACAAATGCACACTGAGATGTTTGCAAGTTTCATGTTTTTTTTAATCATTGATTAGTCAGCATAATTCCATTTTCACACCTTAAAACCCACTCAGAAACATGAATCATTCTCCCCACAAAATTCATGTTAGTTGTATTAAAAACATCACATAATTTAAAATGTAGAAACAGGATATTCATGTAGTTACAAAGACTTTATATTTAAACATAATTAAGTCTTTAGTTGGCCATTTGTACACTGCAGCAGACACCAGTGCACAAAAATGATATTTGTTTTACAAATTTTGAGAACTAAACAAAAACATGTAGGCCTATAATTAGGGTAAAATGTGTCCAAAAAAACCTTCCTTTTTTAAAGTGTACACAGTACACAAAAATACAATAAATCACTTATAATGTTATTTTAAAATTTAATATTGTGAGTAAAAGGGTTTATTTTTATTTAAAAAGACAATCTGTATTATATATGCTCAATATCTTCAGCCGGTTTTTTAGCATTACCCAAGTTTACATCATAAGCTAATTATTAACTCAAGAAAATTTCTTACATGTGTATAAAAACAACAAAGTATAATTGAAGATTGAATTGAATTAAATTTTGTTTCGGCAGCTGCCTCAACCTCTTAGAAACTCATACACCCCCCCCCCCCCCAAAATAATGAAATAAACAAAATGCCAAAAAACAGTTGCCAAAATTTAACGCTTAAATTAAAACAAAACAATTCTCAAGAATGTGTTCTCCGAAATACAAATTTCTTCCCCATCCCAAATAATATATATATTTTTTTGGCTAAATAACAAATAATAATACTGAAGAAAATCTTTGAATTTGCTAAATTTGGGCACAAACAAGAAATAAAAGCCTAAATTTATATGCATTTGTAAAGCAATAATAGCAGATTTTGTTTTTGTTAAATATACATGTATGAGAGTGTGATCATATATACAGAATTGTTTCTAATAAGCCATGGCAATCTTGACATTGAAGGAATAAGCAAAAAAAAAATCAAAATATAAAACGTTTGTGGTAATCTCATATATTTGTTAAAATGGAGAAAAAGTGCAATGCAATTTCATTCGTTATTTTTGTGTTTATGATATTGAAGGTGGACAACTTATCAAGACTTCATAAAAATATATTAATTATGTATCACAATGGCATACAAGCATTCTGCACTGCTCACCACTTTTCAACAGACAAACGAATTATACTGAAGTCTTCATAAGAAATGATGCATTACCAGACCTGCATATTCCTGACACCAGATTTCGTCCTGCCCTGGAGACTTTGTGGGCAAGGCGAAGTCTCGTGGCCCAGTAAGAGAATATCTCAGGAAAATTTGGCTGGTCAGTATGATTGAGTCAACCTAGAGCCTCCTTCAGCCTACAAGTATCATTGCACTTTACATTATTATATACGGACTATAAACACAATACTGTGATTACGTCAGTGTGTTACATTTTCTACAATTTAACAATTATGGTCAAAGATTGTAAGTAATGAAATTGTCACTATGATACAAAATCAATGAATAGATTTTCACACACAAGACGATCAAAATAATTGGTTCTGTGATCTGGAACTTCGGGGGGGGGGGGGGGGCTACCCCAAACCCCATCCCTGCCTTTGTTTACATTAATTCGTCGAACAAAATTACAAATCATTTTTTGACGTGGAACCATGTTCACGAGCTTGCCGCAAGTGTTTATTATAAATACAAGACGCCCGTCAAAGGAGCCCGATGTACGTGTGTACTATCTAAGCAGGAGCCTGGTTCCACCTCAAAAGTGGCTCGTAATTTCGGTCGCCAAATTAGTCTATAATAATTATAAAAAAAATTTAATACAAGAAGCAACAATTTTTTCCCTCTTTTCCCCAGTGCTTAGCCCTAACTCCCAAGCCTATTTTACTAGGAACCATACCCATTCTGGCAAATTCCAACACCCACATGGGAAACTGTACACACACACTGTTGGACTTAGTTTCTGGAGGTATGCCAACCCCAGTGTAAAAGATCATCTGTTTAGGGGTACTGTACCTATCCCAACAGATTTAAACAAAACCTGCTGTTGGACTTTGATGGGTTGAGTTCGGTTAGGGTTAAAGTAGACTTTATTAGGTTTCATTTACATGTACATTTACCACATAATTGCCTTTGCTTGGAAAGTGTGCAAATACATTACATGTAAAAACCGCCAGATATTAATATAGCATTTACATTCAGTCAATTTGGTGTTTGTTTGGATTGAAATCAGTTTTGCCTTAAAGGGAATGTACGTCATTGGCCTTTGCTGTAATTTTCAGAAATGAACTATTTGAGGGGCTAGTATAATCGATCAAATATTGTGAAACTGACATATTTGAATTTTTTTGTTCGAAAATACTAGAAAACCCAGAAAACCAAAAACCCTCAAGTAGTTTAGTTCTCTGACTTCACTAAAGATGAAATTGATCAAATTATAGATGCCGGAAAATTGTAAGCTAGGGAACCAGTCTAGCTGGCCTGCACCCGATCATGAACATGTAACCAATAGCAAACAAAATTTGGACTGGAAAAAAAAAATTGGTCAACTTGGAGCAGTAGTTGAAAAATAGTTAGCTTTTTTCCAACGGTGGTCGGCCGACCATCGTTGGACATTTATACAAAAATACCACTTTTCTTGAAAATGACTTCTCACCAGGTGCCATAATTTTACAGGATGCTTTAAACTGTGAATTACCAACATCCTAGTAAGGTATATCGTAAAAATGTGGTGGTTTTGTTTTTCGAGGTTTGCAAATATTATTGTGTATATTCCCTTTAATTGGGTAGCTCTGGAAAAGCAATGCACAATGCTTTGCTTACAACACACTATGATTGCAATACATGTACATTAATAGGTTTCTATTATCAAAACCAGTCTCCGGCGAAAGTCAGGCATTTTTATCAACGACCTCCAATGAGCTATGTGCGTTACCAAACGAGGGCGCCCTTTTACCTAACAACGACGCCCCATGGGCGGGACATTTCACTGGTTGACGCGCACCGTTCCTTGTGTGTGACACACGTACACCAGGGGATTTGTTCTATCTACACGCAGTGGCCACGCTTCGCGGCAAATGAATTGCAGTCAGGCAAGATGGCGTCAGTCGGTCACCCCCAACTGTACTTCCTTTGCCGGTGAAGGGGTGCTTGTGAACGGAGCGGATAAGATATGTTGGTGTTTCAACTGTGCATGCGCACAATGATATGGGTCAAGGGTCATTTTGGATATTCAAATATTCATGAAAGGTGCATGAATATGCACGGAGACGGGCGCAGGACGCTCGCGTGTTAATTACAAGCAGAAAGGGCATTCGCGTAACATTGGGTATCATCACGTCGGCCATTTTATCCCAAATGACCTTTGACAATAGACTACTTTATCAAGATACTGAACTGGCTTATTGAAAGAATATAGGTGTGAAGACTAAAAACATTTGCGTTGTAGTTGCATCCTTTTCCGAACCTTGACACACATCGAGATATAGGTGATGCTGTAGTAAGAATCGGGCCTGAGCACCAATGCATTGTCCAAGAAAATATGTCATGGAAAAGCTAAAAACCAACATTTGCAAAAATTATTGTAAAAGCATTAAAAAATATATATTTCTGACAAAATATGTTCCAACAGCAAAAACTTAAAAAAACATAGATCAGTGCAGTAAGATACTGATCTGGACAATTTCCCAATTTTTTTTCTTTTTCACGGTTAAAATCTGTAAGACGACTTGGTATAAAAACATGGTTTTGTGCTGTCCTAGGTAATGTTATTATACCTCATAATCCATCATAAGTAGGTGTTTCGGGTACCGGTTTCCGGCCGGCTACCAGCTTGTTGGGCCTGGACACGCTGGTCGATCGGATCAGTTTCCTGGTTGGCTCATCCCTAGAGTCAAAGAGATAATTTATGGAAGTCAGAGAAAGTTGTGAATGTTTTTTTTTGTTTATTTCAAAGCTAGTTCTTAGCAATAGACCGATCAATCCATGTACCCTTCTCCAGTGCCACTTTGCATGTTCCAGCCAGGAACATCATACAGGGTGAGTCAAAAAAAGCGGAACCCAAACCCCAAACAATATATTTGATATTTAAACAAATATGTAGCACCAAAAATAATAATGACTGGAAAGCCAACCTCAAAAGCTACTTTTAGATGAAACAATTACTGAAATTGCTCGATCCGTTCAAAGAATATCACCATTTAAACGCAGTGACCCTAAAACCTGTCTCGTGCAAAAAAGCAATTTATTGTGTGTTTTGACTGTTTGGAACAACAAAGAAAATGACGCAGAATACTTGTTTCAACAACTGTCACCAACTGCAGTACACAATATTTTGATTGACAACCCTGGTTAGGCAAACAATATGATTTATAAAATCTACTTTTTGAAAAGACGGGCCTTCAAAAGGACTTTGTTGCACATTGTTAACGTTTAAACTAAGATTTCATCGCTGGTGATGTTTGAAGACAATTGTGACGACGATTGTTAAAATCGCATTTTTCGGACGAGACAGGTTTTAGGGTCATTGTGTTTAAATGGTGATATTCTTTGAACGGATTGACCAATTTCAGTAATTTTTTCCATCTAAAAGTAGCTTATGAAATTGGCTTTCCAGTTATTATTATTTTTGGTGCTACATATTTTTTTAAATATGAAATATACTATATAGGGTTTGGGTTCCGCTTTTTTTGACTCACCCTGTACATGCATGCTCGTAAACAAATACAGTTGACGTTATAGGGTCAAATTTAGCAGTTGGTGATTGGACGCTCAACATTAGCCCCGCAACTTAAGTACTGAATAATAATCCTAACAAGGGAAGCGAGTACAATACTCACATGAAAAACGGCAGGACACTCAGGAGTCTTTCTTTGCATGGGTTCTCAGTCAGTTCGCTGGAGTTGTCGACGTAGAAGTTGACCACACACCGGATGTAGTGTTGTAGTTTCTTCCTACGCTCCTCCACAAATTTGGAATCCTAGATAAAGACAGCCAAACAAAACAGGTGAATGAAATTTAAAAGTAATTGTAAGGACCATTTCCAAATCAGGGGGTTATAAGATTTAGAAAGGGAAGCACCAGGACAATTGCATTTACACTTTTGGCATTATGACTTCTGAACATCTATATCTATTATAAAAACAATGAGGTCAACCAAAGATTGTTCGGTATAGTTTCTCACTCGTTTCAGCATTTTTTTGGCTGCCAGTGCTCGGTTTAATCGTATATTATATTCGGAAGCCAAACGAAATGTTTGGGATATCTGAATATATGGCAGTTGGTGTTATAGCGGTGTGTGCTACAAAGAAAGATGATTGGGTTTCTAAACGGGGGTGGATTCTGTGGAGTGCCGTGGCCTCGTGGCCTGGAGCATTGCATTCGTAGTCTGCGGGTAATTCTGCAAGTTGTAGGTTCGAGTCCAGCCTGGGGTTGTGTGCCAGGTTTAACTACTGGCAATAAGTGAACAAAGATAAAACAGACCTTGTTCCCCACGGCTTTCTTGGGCGGGAAATCAAAGGTGTTGACGATGGCATGATTCTTGCGTATCTTCAGATGCAGCTCCCTGAACTCAGTGTACCGCCGGTAAACGTTCCATTCCTCATCCCGGATACGGACGTAGATCTTCGAGAAACAAAGTATTTGCAAACATTTCTATCACAGAATCACTCTATTGTATCAAACACCCTTTGATCCTCAAAATTGTGATGTTTCTATCAAGACCAGATGCTTTTGTGTGGAGTTTGAAATATAGATAAAATTTCAAAAATAAACAAGTGGGGTGTTTTTTTAATTCAATTTTATTTAATGCAAATATGTGATCCTGAACAAGTCAAAAATGATGCTGTATTAACCCTTTCATTACCACATTGTTCAACCCAGATTTTCACGGCCAAGGAGTGATTAAAATCATAAGTGTTGTGTGTAAAGTTTGTTCCTTGAACCTTACTCTTTTGTGAGATGTAAAAATGAAGTCCATATGTGCAAATATAACAAACTTATTTGCCTTTTTGTTCATCTGGTCCCAAATTGTCAAACTGCAAGCCATTTCACCACATGACCAAATGGCACTCAATACCTCAAACTGTGCGTGGATACTTCTGAAGCACTTTTCTCAATTTTTGTAACGGTAACACTATGAATAATCTACACCATTAGAACGATCCAAAAACACTCTTTCAGCTGGTATATGGTTGATGTATGGACGGCCAAACATATCAACATGCCGCCTTTCTAAAAAGTAGTGAATATATCTGTGTTGATGGTATTTTGTGTGTGGTTTCCTGGTCGACTATTAAAAGTCGCCCATGGGAATCAGCAGGGGGGTACTTCTTGTCGACAAAAGTCGCCCATGGTAAGGAAAGGGTTAAAAAAAAAGAGTCAAACCTGCCTCTTAAAAGACTTCTTGGATGATTTACAGAGGTGTATCGTAAATTTTGTTTACTGTTGAAGGGGGACTGATACACAGAACATAAACCGATGCTGGACAGGTTGGTAGGTTAGGTTGAGGCCGGCTTATCTTAAAGCCGGAGTCCATCATTTGCAGCTATCCAAAAAAGTAACTGGCATAATTATTGTTGAAAAACATACTGGTTGAAAGATAGTAAGGGGACTAAACTCCCTGTAAAATTATTCTTTCTGGCAAGCTCTCATTTTGAAGAAATCAACGAAAGAAGGCATTTTCAACGGTGCGTCTTAAGAAGCACCGTAGGAAAATTTAAATTAGTAGTTCGTTTTGTTATTCGGCGCAGCGCGCGCAAGCATTGGCACGACGCACAGGCGCGCGCGGTTGCTATAATTCGTCGGATCAGTGCGCGACATCGCGTAAAGCTGCAATTCAAAACAATTCAAAACATGATTTAGCAACTTTTGATTTAAAATTGAGATCCTAGAATGCTGTTTTTCTCGGAATATACAGCTGAAGCTGAGCTGAAACTTCATCAGGTTAGTTGTTCAGTATCCTTCATTAGATTTTGAACACTTTTGTTGCTTCAAACGAACAAAATGCACAAATTACAAATGATGGACTATGTCTTTAAAGCAAAGTTTTACTTACATTGTAAGTCCATCACTAGTCAAGTCGAAGGTCTTATGCAAGTAACAGGTTGAGCAATAGACGGAGCCATTAGGCTCCGCCCTCTGCACACATAGACAACAACAGGTGCGCCTCTCCACTGCAAGTGCACACACGTCGGACATTTCGCGCACGCATGTCGGATATGAATCGCTGCTGTGATTGGTCAAAACGGCACAGGGCAGGGGCTTAGCAGATCGGTCTATTACGAAGGAGTGGCACGGTTCATTTGAGTAGCTTGTGACTTGACTTGAGACTGGGTGAGTTGTGATGGACTTGTGATAACTTGAGAGGACCTGTCTATAACTCTGTCTTAGTGGGCGGGGCTTACATTTGGGTAGGGGGCATGTATTTACCTGATAGACATGGTAGGCGTCACTGCCCCTCCCTCTGAGGAAAGCCGAGGGAATCCAGATGTTGACTAAGGCTCGCTGATTGGACGAAAGGGAATCACTACAAGATACAAAAAAAAAAAATTAATTTGAAATTAAATAAATGCTGACTTGAGTCCACAAGCTGCTCAGATGGTATCTTTAGAGGCTGTGTCAGAATGACTTCACTACGGCTGAAAATAACACATGTGCCTATAGAAGTGGCTGAATCTATTTCCCATTGATGCATGTGTTACCGCTGGCCACAGCCAAATGATTAAGAAGCAGACTATTTAGCATTATTTATACAACACCTGAATAAATCCCCGTCATCTGATTGGTGAATTGTAGATCACGTGACATATTATTATTCGGTATAATGCACGGTGCGACCATGCGTTATACCCGTGCGTTATACCGTTTCACTTTGCGCTTGTTCCATGACGCGGTATTTGCGTGCAAAACGCATGCTGGTGTGCGCGTTCAGCGTAGCGCGTATTGTTCCAAAGAGCCAGCGCTACAGCGTTGGGTTCAAACATTTTCGTGAAGGGGTAGTTCAACATCTTTAAAATCGAAATAAATTGTAGTTTATAATTTACCAATCAAATGACGAGAATTTATTCAGGTGTTGTATAAAACAAATAACGAATGTTTTACGTTCGTGCGATGGAAAGAATAATTTCATTCGGTGACAGATTGAATGTTCTATTCCACTTGGCTTCGCCTTGTGGAATAGAACATTCAATCTGTCACCTCATGAAACTATTCTTACCATCGCACTCACAAACATTCGTTATTTGTATAATAACACCTCTTGCCAATATCTTATCAAGATTGGCTAAAATGCAAAAAAAAAAAACAATCATTCAATTTGGCCTGTGAATGATCACTTGGTGTTGTAGTCGAGTACATTTCCATAACTACGAGTATGAGTACTTTGCAATGAGTACGAGTATGAGTACTTTGCAATGAGTACAAGTATGAGTACTTTGCAATGAGTACAAGTATGAGTACTTTGCCATGAGTACAAGTATGAGTACTTTGCCATGAGTACAAGTATGAGTACTTTGCAATGAGTACAAGTATGAGTACTTTGCAATGAGTACAAGTATGAGTATTTTGCAATGAGTACGAGTATGAGAACTTTGCAATGAGTACGAGTATGAGAACTTTGCAATGAGTACAAGTATGAGTACTTTGCAATGAGTACGAGTATGAGTACTTTGCCATGAGTACAAGTATGAGTACTTTGCCATGAGTACAAGTATGAGTACTTTGCCATGAGTACAAGTATGAGTACTTTGCCATGAGTACAAGTATGAGTACTTTGCAATGAGTACGAGTATGAGAACTTTGCAATGAGTACGAGTATGAGTACTTTGCAATGAGTACAAGTATGAGTACTTTGCCATGAGTACAAGTATGAGTACTTTGCCATGAGTACAAGTATGAGTACTTTGCCATGAGTACAAGTATGAGTACTTTGCAATGAGTACGAGTATGAGAACTTTGCAATGAGTACGAGTATGAGAACTTTACAATGAGTACGAGTATGAGAACTTTGCAATGAGTACAAGTATGAGTACTTTGCAATGAGTACAAGTATGAGTATTTTGCAATGAGTACGAGTATGAGAACTTTGCAATGAGTACGAGTATGAGAACTTTGCAATGAGTACGAGTATGAGAACTTTGCAATGAGTACGAGTATGAGAACTTTGCAATGAGTACAAGTATGAGTACTTTGCAATGAGTACAAGTATGAGTACTTTGCCATGAGTACAAGTATGAGTACTTTGCCATGAGTACAAGTATGAGTACTTTGCAATGAGTACGAGTATGAGAACTTTGCAATGAGTACGAGTATGAGAACTTTGCAATGAGTACGAGTATGAGAACTTTGCAATGAGTACAAGTATGAGTACATTGCAATGAGTACAAGTATGAGTATTTTGCAATGAGTACGAGTATGAGAACTTTGCAATGAGTACGAGTATGAGAACTTTGCAATGAGTACGAGTATGAGAACTTTGCAATGAGTACGAGTATGAGAACTTTGCAATGAGTACGAGTATGAGTACTTTGCAATGAGTACAAGTATGAGTACTTTGCCATGAGTACAAGTATGAGTACTTTGCCATGAGTACAAGTATGAGTACTTTGCCATGAGTACAAGTATGAGTACTTTGCAATGAGTACAAGTATGAGTACTTTGCAATGAGTACAAGTATGAGTATTTTGCAATGAGTATGAGTATGAGAACTTTGCAATGAGTACGAGTATGAGAACTTTGCAATGAGTACAAGTATGAGTACTTTGCAATGAGTACAAGTATGAGTACTTTGCCATGAGTACAAGTATGAGTACTTTGCCATGAGTACAAGTATGAGTACTTTGCCATGAGTACAAGTATGAGTACTTTGCCATGAGTACAAGTATGAGTACTTTGCAATGAGTACGAGTATGAGAACTTTGCAATGAGTACGAGTATGAGAACTTTGCAATGAGTACGAGTATGAGAACTTTGCAATGAGTACAAGTATGAGTACTTTGCAATGAGTACAAGTATGAGTATTTTGCAATGAGTACGAGTATGAGAACTTTGCAATGAGTACGAGTATGAGAACTTTGCAATGAGTACAAGTATGAGTACTTTGCAATGAGTACAAGTATGAGTATTTTGCAATGAGTACGAGTATGAGAACTTTGCAATGAGTACGAGTATGAGAACTTTGCAATGAGTACGAGTATAAGTACTTTGCAATGAGTACGAGTATGAGTACTTTGCAATGAGTACGAGTATGAGTACTTAGTCACGAGTGCGAGTACGAGGCAATTTGTTTCCATGAGTACGAAGATGAGTACTAGTACCTATTCTCATAAGTGCGAGTGTGAGTACAAAAAATGTACACGAGAATGATTCAGAGTGCAAGTACTACAACACTGTTTTAAGGACAAACATGTACCTCTTGTAATATTTCATTTTACCTCTTCACCTCAATGTAACTTTAAGTGATATATTACACTTCAATTTTTCTCTAAGAAACTTCAAACTGAAACCAAGCAATTTACACAAAGGATTTTAACCTTTTAAAATGTCAAGGTGCCTCTAATTACCTGTCACTACCGTTGTTTAACAGTCCAACAACTGCTGTTTGATCACGTGGTAACTGTTGGGGGACAAAAAATACAACTGTTGAGGCAAAATATTTACTTGAAATGTTGATATGATACATACAAACGGTACAGGCCACAACAAAACCCCCAAAACAATACTTTTAGGCTGAAATATCTTTGTTACGAACTTTGTTACTGAAACTTGTACAAATAATGGAGGAATTTGAAACCTGCCAAAAAAGGGCAGTAGTGGTCAGGTTCCCAAATGTGGGCTGGGCTAAAACCCAACGAGGGAGGGAAGTTTGGGGGACACTCACCGGTCCTCTGAGGTCTATCAGCTCGTTCTGTAGCCTCTGGATGATGTTTTCTCGCAGTTTGAGCTGCCTGCTGAGGTAGTCGTTAAACTCCATCAACTCACCGTGCATCTCAGCGACCTGGATCAACTTACGCTCATACTGTTCCAACTGGTTACTATCACAGACATGAGACAGAAACCATGAATCACTCATTTTGTTTTCAGTTGTAATCAGCAACTGAAGGCAGTCTCCCTCAGGGCGAGTGTGGACATGCGAGCGGTATCGAGTGCCAGCGAGTAGTTGCGAGTGTCAGGAACTCGCCTCGTTGGAGAGGAATACTCGCAAGCACTCGCCGGTACTCACAGCTGTCAGGGGATGCTCGCAGTTGCTCGCCGGATTTTGGACATGTTCAATACTTGGTGAGTTCCGTAAGTACTTGCAGGGTACTCGCAAGGAACTCGCTCATGTGACAGCGCAACTCGCTCTCCGCAAGGCCAGCAAGTTCAGTTTCACCATCCGAAAGAAAACAAATCTTGCCACCATCCCAGCTTCCAGCGCCCGCTACTCGGCACAACTCGCAAGGGCTACTCCCAGTCACTTGCATCTTGTGAAAGCAAATGATTGCGAGTATTTTCTACCCCCCCCCCCCCCCCGGCACTCGCTACCACTTGTGGATCCACACTCGCTCAGTGGGAGACTACCTTAACAAAGTAATTGTGCATCAGGACGATGTAAATTTAACACATTACTCCCTGTGCCGCGCCAATCTACCCTGCCTGTTATTCCCTGTACAGCCCAAAACCATTCCCGCACTGTTTGATATTATGGATTCATCACAGAAAAAAATACAATCTAGTACAGGATTATGGGTTGATATTTGTGGTCGAATGGTTGAGGTGTCTACAACAGAAACCAGGAGATTTTGAGTTTGAGTCCCCCTGAAGCAACAATGTGAACAATTTTTCACCAGTTCTGGAATAAATTGGATTTATGCACAGCAGCATGTTCAAGCCCCTCCAAACTCTCTCTTTGTAACTGAGTGAGGAAGTACTTGTGAACAGAGTCTATCATGTTGATATCTCTTACCTGTGATTTAAGTCTGGCTTGGGTTCAGGTATAGGAGGTTGGGGCTCCGACACACGGATACCTGGAAGACCTGGGCAAAGAATGGGATAAAAATAACCACATTTGTCTGATTTTTTTTCAAGATTTTAATAACAATGAATACATCTTACTACTTTCAATCATATTCAACCATTACGATAAATGAAATGGAAAGTTGTGACTAGAAGATACGCAAACCAAATGTGCATATAAGAGACAGAATTTAGACGGAAGACAAATAATATGAATGCATTTTGTGAATAGCGCGCTGTCATGATCTGGCTTACATCAGGGTACCGGAACATGAGTGTCGCCATTTGTAAGAGACAAATACTGTATAGCACACTAGGTAGTAGGCAAGCCTACAGTGATGGATGGCAAATACTGTGAGAAATGCTTAGCCAACACCCAAGTGCTGGGTCGGCATAATTATGACAACCGTACATGGCACAAGAAGTGACCATTATGCCATTAGATAAAGATTTCACAGTCATTTCATGTGAAAGTAAGCTCTACTGTTTAGTTTACAAGGCACAATGTGGTTGCTAGCCAAACGCTTGCCTACAGCATTGGTGGCCGATCGCAGGGAAACCGGATGGTCACATGGTACTTTGACGTCATACGGTCAGAACCTACAGTGTTGGCCACACCCTCTTCTGATGAACGGAAGACTTTTGAGACATTGGTGGCAGCAAACACACCCGTCCTTTTTCCATTGTTTGTATCATATTGAGCATGCGCGCTTTAGCTTAAACATGACATGAACAATTGGAAAGGGCCGGTGTGTTTGCTGCCCCCAACGTCTCAAAAGTCTCCCATTATATACAGTGTTCTTTTTGACAACTAGTCCTAACTTCAAAATGGGATCAGCAACAAAAAAAAATAAGGATGGTTTTGGGGATCTTTACATTGAGGTAACTCATTTGATGAACCCATCTTAATGTTCATTCATAAATACCTAAGACAGTTTACACATTCCTGTTGGTCGAGAGCCCGTCACGTGGCCGGTCTTAAACGGATGATAAAGACATGGCTAGCTGGTCTTAAACACTTTTCCAGTGTCACATGAAATTTGGACTCCTATGAAATCCGGTGCCTTTTAACGTTTCATTGGTTGAACGTTCACATTTCTCAAGTATGCATGCGCAATGTACTACAAGTGAATCAGTATTTCATGGTACGAAATTCTCACTACACCAGCCCAGCTGCGTTTTGCACGACATCGCGCAGACGCGTGACCATGGAGGTGGAATGCGCAACGCGCAGGCAATTGTGGAGGGGCATTCCATATTATAGTCAGAGGGGTGTTTCGTAAAACATGAAATAAAATTGTTGAACAAAATGGTTAACAACGTCTAGTTTTTGACTTGTTTTGATTTTTGGACCGAAAAGATTTTTTTTTCTTACCAAAAAGGTATTTATGAATGGGAATTAATATGTGTTCCGTCGGTATTAAACACTCTGTTTAAAACCGGTGTGAGTCTGGATGAGTGATAAATACCCTCGATGGGTGATAATTACCCTCGGCTTCTCCTCGGGTAATTAGGCCAAAAAAAAAAATATTTCTGCTTCCGATTACATGCCTTTCAAAAATAGGGTCGGTAGGTCGGAATATTTTTTTTTTTGCCAATTTTTTTTATGCAGATTGAATGGGGTATTCAATTATATGCGAAGTTTTAGCCTGAACTATTTCCATTGCACTACGAAAGCTATACACGAAATGGCAACAAAAAGTGAATAAAACCTACCTTTAATTATTGTCAATATATTTACGTTCGATAATTTAAAAAAATAATGGAAAATTCAGGTCGTTCGCACCATATGCACAACGCTAGTCAAGACGCGGGGAGCTGGCCAAAACTCTGAGGTGTGTGATGCGAGCATGTGTGGCGAGCGGCCCGCCATGGGCCAACAGACCTGTTTTCACGGCCAAAAAATTCGGGAAACACGCGGCATGTAATCACTCCAAATAAGAGTAGTGCGATCTCAAAATGAACTCTTGAACACAGAAAATACAAACACAGACAAGCTAGATCAATTCTGTAAATTAACTTGCAAAACTGTTCCATCGGTGTTTTCTTGGCATTTTTCACGATGTCGAATCCGACCAGTTGACAGTGGCCTGCACTGCTAACGCGCTATCGGTCGTGATTGCATAGCTATGGACTGGTTACCGCATTTTCATCATGTCTTGAAATTGGCCCCTGCGCGGCGCGGCGGGAACCAGTCGTCACCACGTGATATAGTCACCGTACGGACATCGTTTATATCGCGAAGCGAATTTGTAAAATAACAGAGGTTTCTTTTTAAACAGAGGTTTTCTTTTTTTTTTGGAATTGCCGATAACATTTTTAGGGTCGCAGCCTAAAAATAGGGTCGGTCGGGTAACCGGAAGCAGAACTATTCTTTTTTTTGGCCTTATCACCCATCCAGACTCACACCAGTTTTAAACAGAGTGTTATAATACCTCCGGAACACACATTTATTCCCTTAATAACGACACTGGTTCAGATTTGATGCGAAATGCTTCAACTGATGTTCATGAAAAGTGTGAAGAAACTCATACCTTCAATAGCTTGGGAACCATCTCGTCTCAGCAACTGCACAGCACCAACATACTTCTTCAGCTGATGTTTCAAGACCTCATTTTCCCTGCAGTGGAAGCAAACATCAAGAATTAACTTATTTAATACATTGCAATTTATAATTTCTAAGATAAAAATACTCAAACCAATGCATCATCAACGGTAGCCATCTTAGAGGCAACGCTTCAGTTACACCAGGGTTCGACCTTAGCGGTAGCCCGCTAGCCAAATGTGAGTCAAAACAGCGGCGGGCCAGTCAAAACCATTCTCTAGTAGCCCGACTGGCGAGTCAAAATTACTGAGATAAGGTATAAAACTTTTCCGTGTAGCCGCAGATTTCCATTTTTTTTTAAGCCGGTCTGACGAAAAATGAATCTGATACTGACAGGCATTCGGCTTTTTCCATTTTTGAACCGCCGATTATTGCACCAAAAATGGCTAGCGTATCAATAAATATAGAAAAGAAAAAAAAAATAGCAAAGAAAAACAAAAATATATTGTGGATTAGTGAAAAGGCCCACAGGCTAGTTAAGAGTCTGGTTCACTACTCCAGCTGACAAGTGAAGAAAAAAGTTAAGAGCGAACCCTGGTTACATTAATGTAGAGTGTGTGTATGATATGCACGTAGTGTTTACATGTAGTTAAGCCACGCCCCTTATTATGTACGTGACCTGTGCCTTGCGTAACCCTTGACCGGCACCACACTGCCGAATTCTCACACAGGTACGTTGTCAACTTTTGAAGCTCGTTTTTGAATTGAAATATCATTTGTTTGCAAACTGCACGCTACCCAATATTGCATTAGGATTTGTCCGCTAGTGTTCATAGATAATACTGGAGGCATTAAAGTAAAGTTTTGATAAGATATAAATGTAGGTTTGGGGCTCTAAAGTGTGAGCTCGTTGTGGAGAGTTTAGCGAACATTGTGCGTGTAGTATAGGCATACACGCGTTCACGTGCAAAATGTGACAGCATGGTGCGCGCACGCGTAATATTCCCATGTAATTGTGTATAACGTTAAGTAAGTATTTATATTCATGTATAATTTAACATGGGTCTTATTGCGCATTGTCAGATTCCAGTACATGTACTATGATTATCTAAGGTTTACATTTAGGGAATAATAACACACAAGTAAATAATGGCTCTTCCTGTTCATTGAGGACTGGTGTGTATGAAAGTGGTTGATAGTGTGTATGAGTGTTCCTGTACTGTATTACGCTCGAGGACAGACAACAAAAGAAGCACAAAGGGGCCATTCATCCTCGAACAACGGTGCCTATTGTCCTCGAACGCAGGTTTGTGAACTAAGTCTATGGGAAAGGTTTAGATCAGGGAACAAAGGAAAACACAAAGCCAATCCTCGGAAGCATAGCAAAAAACGACTGTGTGTGCCTGGCCAGCATGTGTGAATGTGAGCCTGCTCCTTTATGTTCAGCATTGCCTGAGGTAATTCTTATTTCATGCGAATATTGTTTATTTAATTTGGGGAAATAGATCTACATGTACACGTTTATTGTAATTTTATACCAGTATAACACTGACATGTGCGTGCTTTTTGTAATTTGTATTCTTTGTATTTTTTTCCACACTGCCGAATTCTCACACAGTGAGAATTGGCAGCTGGGCTGGCAGGTTGGCAAGAATGAATCGGCAGTCATTGAGGCAAGGAAGCTAACTATTCTCAAAGCGTCACCTGTTCACTAGGACCTGCGTGCCCGTGTTGCCCTCCCAATCACCCATTTAGCCGGACCCAGAGCTCTTCACCAGTCAGTTACAACCCACACTAGTACTACCTCATCACCCAACCCCACCCCATCCCCAGGGATCTCTACACTAAGAAAGCGCAACAAAAGTCTGTTAAAATGAATGAAACAGTATTGGCAGGTAAAACTGATTTGGGTACAAAAGACAGAGGACTGACTATGAAAAAAGCCTTAAAATCTCTCATAAGATCAGATGGTGATTTAGCATCTGAGATCTACCGACGTATCATTCGCATAATGACCTACAACGTAGGGGTCAACTGGAATTAAATAGCCGTGCGCATAGGATACTGCATTCCACGTGATGCGTGTTGGTAAGTAGGCCAATTACACTGCAGGCAAAGTGGCGTTGTGAAGTTCGAGTAGCTCACCCACATCGACTTGGGTAAGCCCCGTGCCGTTCGATAAGCTCCGACGTCATTCTCTGGGCTCACCCGGGTCAGCCACCACAGACCCTGCTCATGGAGCAGAGTCACTGGTGGAAATACATCACACGCATGTTTTGGTCATTCCAAGAAAACAGCAAATATGGCGGCCGGACAGCAGCAATATCACGTGGATCCAAAACTCAACTTTATTTGAAGTCTAAAGGTAATTATTTATTGAGTTCATTGCGCCTTCAGAAGCTATAATTCCCGCCAACTTTTTTAAGTTTTGCAATTGACTAGAAAGAAGTAAATCTCAAACTAAGACCCAGTCCGAAACGAGCGTTTTGTCAGTGGCCAGGTGTGTGGCTAATGGCGTCACATGATGATCGTGATGGCCCGTGGTTGAGTTCATTGGCCCGGCTGTCATGACTAACCCGTCTGCCTTTCCAGATGAGCTTCTCGAATGCACCCAATATTTAAGAATCAATGTAGGCACCTTACCTAACTCTAACCTTAACCCTAACCCTTACCCTAACCCTAACCCAAAACCTAACCCAAACCCAAACCCTAACCTTAACCCTACCTTGTCAGAGCACCAAGTTGTGTTTGTAGTTTCTCCTCCGTCTCCAAAGTGGAGCATTTGAGTTCTTCCAGGTGGCCCCTGATGTTACCAGTGTGTTCCATCTCGCTGTCTAGAAGACTCCTCAAAGACCTGTAGAATTCAAACATTGCAGGAAACAATAAGATTGGTTATCTCAACATACGCCCCTTGCCAGCCTTGCCGCTGAAGTACTTGTGTTCGTGTAATCTGCGTCGGGTAATGTAAATTCAATATGGGTTTTGCCTTTCACCGATGTATTTCACAAACACTGTATCACAAGTACCCCCTCACCGGCAAAGAAAGTACAGTTGGGGGTGACCAACCAACGCCATCTTGCCTGACTGCAATTTTGCAGCGACGCGCGGCCGAACCACTGCGTGTACATAGTACAAATCCCCTGGTGTACGTGCGTCACACACAAGGAACAGTGCGCGTCAACCAGCTAAATGTTACGCCCATGGGACGTCGTTGCTAGGTAAAAGGGCGCCCTCATTCGTTGGTGCACGGAGCCCATACTCAGTGTTGCCCCACAGTGATTGTGAGAAAAAAATCACTTGGGTGGGACTCGAACCCATGACCTCCTGCTTACTAGTGCAGACAACTTACCACAAGACCATCCAATCTTAAGTCAAGTCTCAAGCTATTCAAATGAACTGAGACAAAAGCATTCCTTTGTCACTGTTCATCCCCTAATACTAGTGACCTGACATGTTAATTGACAAACTTTATTCAGGTATTTCTTGACGTCCACCACAAAATATTGATGACAAACATTGAGACTGTTTAACTAATGGTTGCAAATGATGGAAAAAATGAACTGTATTTAAATGAAAAACAATGGACTCCAGTAACAGCTTGCAATGGAAATATCTCTTACCTATTTTGTTCTTGCAAGTCGTCATTCCGATTCATCATGGCAAGAACAGCTTGTTTTAACTCATCTGTAAAAAAAACCAAATTGAAAATCATTCTTCATGTTAATATTAACAATAATCTCCGAAAAGCTAATGCCTATTTTTGGATAGACACAAAACTCTGCAGCCCAACTAATACTACTTTATGTGGGCCTTTGTTTTGCAATGTTAGGGCCCATTTTAATTCAAATCTGGAAGGAGTTCCGGACAAGTTTCGGACGTTGTATCGGGTATAAGTTGCAGGATTCTGGACAACTTCCCCGCAATCTTTCCTGCAATGAAGTTATCAGTATTGGTGAGTCAAGCACTTGCTAATGAAAATTTCCCCGGAAAATGTCCGGGACAAATGCAGAGCTTCTTCCGGACAAAGTGGATGATTCTACCTGCAACTTGTCCGGAAATTGTTCCGGACATGAATTAAGATGGGCCCTAGGTCCAAAGCAAATGCCTATTATTTGCTGAGTCTTGGATAGCGGTTGAAGTAGGATTTATCCTAACAAAAAATGGCCATTTAGGGGTTAAGATATATATATCAGTTAAAGTAATATGTATTTTTGAGAAAAACATTCCACGCGGCACTTTTGAGACAACTGAATTCATTTTTAACATTTGTTTGTAGCCTTACCATTAGACATTGTCTGGTATGTGGACAGTGTGTCTTCTGGTGTGCTTGGATCTAACGTGTTTTGCAAGCTGAAAATAAAGACAAAAAATACAGGCCACTATCACAATCCTAGAAAATTCATGAGATTGCAATGAATATGTCTTTATCCCATAAAACCCCTTAAAACCAAATATAAAAGAAGTAGTTTAAATGTTAATTCCAATTTCTATGACAATTGTTGGCAATAAATTGGCTTTTAAACAATGTCATAAAATAACAATTTTAGGCTTTATAATTGCCGTAACAAATCTTCCAGTGTTTTTGTTTGTTTGGTGCTAGTCGTCAAATAAAGTGCGATTTTTATTTGTAATTCATATGAAATTTGGTCTTCAGGACAAGGAATGCTGTTTTCATTAACTTCAGAGATAATACTAACCTTTCTTTGAAGCTTTTTTGAGCCAGTAGTAAGCCGATGGCAGCGTTTTCGGTCTCAGCACCGAAACCCAGCATGCTGGAGTCTGTAGACTGTGTATCTGCACTCGGACAAAAACAAAGAGAACTTGTTCATTTTAGCATTTCCTCAGAAACAGAAACTTCAGACAAGGACTATGAGTTCACTGAAGTTTGACTATTAACTCCAATTGAACGCAGGGTGGTTGCACTAATCTAGTTGACTATTTGAAACCGGAGACTGGAGCCCGGTTCAATCACTGGTTACCAATAGCCGCACGCATCATACGGAACAGCAGGGAGCCAGGATCAAGAACTTTGTGATGACGTTTTGACCATCGTTTGACTAGAGGCGTTCGCACATTGCTAATAGTTTGCAGGCGTAATTTATGTCACAAATCAAACATGGTCCTCGCCCGAACTTGGTCCACATTGACCTGAAAATTCAAGTCATTTCTGGAACTTTACATCAGACAAAAGAATTTATAAACAAGGACAGTGACATCTATTGTGGGTGTGATGATTGTATATTGCTAATTCTTGAAACCTTTTCACAACAAAAAGTGTGCTTTCAAAAACTGCATTACCCAATTACTCATTAAAAAAAACTCTGTATTGGAGAACTTCTAATAAAATCCAAGACTTTTAAAAAGGATATAAATACGATAAAATCAAGACCTTTACTTGCAAAGTACAGTTTCAAAGGTTTTTACAAAAAATGGTTAATTTTTAACAAACTGGTTTACCATCCCCCAAGTTCATTTGAAAATTCAAGGAATGCAGGAACCAGCCTGAATTGACAGCAAACAACGGTTCCTATTCACTATACCCACCTGTAGTTGGGTCATTCCACTGGGTTGGGAAGCAGTGCATGTTACATCCATATATTTAGTTATACTATTAAAAGTATCAATGCATTCTAAAGAATTGCTCAACATAATATTTGTCTTAAGGTGTTTTAATACTTGAGAAAGTTTGAAACCATTTGAAAGTACTTTGACAAAAATATGAGCAAAAATGTATTAATTCGGATGTAACATTGACACCGTGTCAATGTTACATCCAAATATTCTTTTTTTGCCATTATTTACACGTATTTAAAATATTACCCAAACTGACATTTCATATTTACAACTGGACACCTAAGCACCAAGAAAAGCTTTTGTTTTGGTATAGTCAGGGTTCAAATACAGCAGAAACAATACCTCAAGTGTGGATGTAACGGTGTAAAAATCACTCAATGGAAGTGTGACATTGGGTTTTACAGTGTAAAACCCAATGTCACACTTCCATTGAGTGATTTTTATACACTGTGTCAATGTTACATCCACACAACCAAGCTATCATTTCTGCTCCATTTGATACCTGACTACCGTAACAAAATCTTTTCTTATTGTGTTGCATGTATAGTAAGAAGTACGCAAAGTGAATTTGGGTGATGTTTCGCATAAATTTTAAAAAAAGGTACAAATGTCACATTTGGACGTAACACTGAGACAGTGTCAATGTTACATCCAAAATGACATTGTTTGCTCATATTTTTGGCAAAATACATTGAAATCATTTCAAACTTTCTGCAGTCGTGAAACACCCAACAACAAATATTATGTAGAGCAACTGCTAGCAAGGCATTCATGCTTTTCTTAATATGGTCATATGTCACACATTGTTCCCCAACCCGGTGGAATGACCCAGTTACGAGGGCTGATTGATAAGTTCGTGGCCTAAGGTAGAAGGAGATGAGCTATACAGTTTTGACTGATATTGTGTGCAGTTCAACTTGTTAAAAGATTACACAGAAATTTGGAGTAATTATCCTTTCTTGTTTTTCTGTTACAGATAGTTAAACCTTGACAGTCCCCGGTTCCTCAGAATCAAACCTTGAAAACGGCAAAAATTGAAAAATTTGAACAAACAAATCAAGTCCAAGGAGCTTGGGGCCCAACGAGCTGATACCTTGGACATTTGGACAAGATGGCTTAAACCTTGAAAATGGAAAAAATCGAGAAAAAAAATCAGCCATTTGTGTCCAAATGTTCAAGGTGTCAGCTTGTTGGACCCCAAGCTCCTTGGTCTTGATTCGTTTGATCGAATTTTTCCATTTTTTCCATTTCTAGGTTTAATTCTCAGGACAGTCGAGGTTTAATTATCTGTAACAGAAGAGCAAGAAAAAATTATAACTTCAAACCTTCTGTGTAATCATTCAACAAGTTGAACTACACACAACATCAGTCAAAACTGTATAGCTCATCTCCTTCTACCTTAGGCCACGAACTTATCAATCAGCCCTCGTAACTACATGGTCCAGTCACTTTTCCCGCCTGAAAGGGTTCTTGTGCACACAGTCAATTCTGCTTAATTTTAAAAACCTTAGCAAAAATACTTAAATCGCTACCTTGCTGTGAGGCAGAATCCTCATTAACAGGGTACATAGCTGCTTCTGAATCGTCATCACCACTGCCGATGATATGGAAGCTCTGTCGAGATCTCAGCTGAGAACCATCTTGAACTTCCGAGCCTTTAGGCGGCGTGCCTTCAATAACGTCCGCATCAAAACTGCTGGACTCCGATCCAGTCTTTGGGGAGACTTCCTGCTGCCGTAGCCTGTCGGCGACGCTCTCTGCATCCAGCGTGGCTCTCATGTGATCATACTGCTGGACAAACGATGCACTGTTTGGCGTTGGGGGCGGCGTTTTGGCCGGGAAGGACGTCGCAAGTTGCTGGACCGTATGGTTGACAAGGTTCCTATTGTCCAAGCCGTAATTGTAAGCTGGTCGATCGGGAATGTTGGTCGCTGCACTTGTGACAGGAATCGGATTCTGAGTTGTAAGGTTCTGCATTGGACCAGTCTGAACCGGTATGGGCTGGCTTTGTTGTGCGAGTCCGCTTCCGTTCCGACTGGTCTCATCTGGATATGCCTGCTGCTGACTTGCAATAGTTGGTTCCCTATCACCGTCTTCCCTTGGAATGGATGATGTCGTACCGGGAAGATTTGGCAGTGATTCATTCAAAACAATCAGATCTCCGTCAGGTAGTGACTTAGTCCGGCTAAAAAGCGATTCTGTGTTATAAGTACTGTTGCTTAAAGGCAATCCTGCACTAGTCTGTGCGCCAGGCTTGGATTGACTGGGTGGTACATCAAAGCCGATCGTTTGCCTGTCTGCACCACCTTGTGTGGTGGTGGTTTTTGGCGGGCTGTCTTTGTTCCCCGTGGAGTCCTTGCGGGGTCGTTGATGGTGGTGTAGGCGCGAGGGTGGGGACCCGCAAGACACAACGGTACTGCCCGAGTCATCATCGTTGAAGGAAACAATTGAGACGACACCTTTCTTCTTCTTTTTCTTCTTCTCTTTTTTTTCCTTGGCTCCTCCTGGAGGAATGAAATTTTCAAAAAACGAAAAACTTACTAAAAAAAAGAACTTTTTATTTGGTAAAGAAAGCTCTGAAGAGAGATTTAAATTTAAGTGACCAGGTCAAAATATCTTGGCTCTGCTGATTCTGCGCATTGTCATACTGTGCTTACAGTGCAAGCATATATTTTGTACACTAACTCCCTTAAGCAAAATCATATGATGTATGAAAGCGCATATAAGCCAAAATTGATGAAAAATCATTGATATAAAAATAATATTATATCCGAATATTAATCTTAGTGTGACATTCCCATAGACTTCTGCACATTTCCCCCCCCCCCCCCCCCGACTTTCCTGACCCCTAACCAATATTATTCCCTTATCTTACCCTATCTTAGTCTTGCGCATATTTTGAATAAATACCAAAAACATAAAATTTGGAGCAGGGGTTGCTACGCAGCGAAAAATTTCCATGAAAACTGAATTTTCCCATATATGTAGTGTACACAAAACAGAATTACAATTCGCATATACATGGATAATCAATTAGCCGTAATTCTAAAACCCTTTGACCTACAGTCGAAAAATTTCCTGGGTATGTTCATGATAAGTTGTTCTGTGCATGTGCCGAGTTTTATAATTTATCACTCGATGGCCGAGATCTTGGAGGGGGCGGAATCCCCCCCCCCCTCCCTCCACGACTGAGAGATGGTCAAAATAACCCGGCTCTTTTAGGGTTAAAATGTCGGCCTAATGTCCGGTGTTTTATTTATCTTTCTTCAACATCATCTGACAGCAAGAAATGCCAATAACAGATGGATAAAATCAGCGAAAGTGAAACATTAAGAATTGCACAGAATGCATCAAACTGAAAGAACAAGTCATTACTAAGCCACAAGAATGCATCTATATATATAAGAGAGAGTTTAACTCGGCCTCCGAGACGATGTTTGCTCATGAAAGGATCCGAGACCCCGGGCTCCCGCGGCGCCAAAATCGCTCCACGTCCGTGGAAAAATACGGAGGGTGTCTTCCGCCGGGTCGGACACTTCGGGTCGTCCTGATTTTCCCGTACGGACCGGCGATCCTTTTCGTCTATTTTTCGTGACAGCATTTTGCACAGGAATTTTCCGTCGTGTGCGCTTTCACGTTGACTGCCTGGCCGCCCCCTGTGCTGGCTTTTCTGCGAGTCTAGACTGTGCGAGGTCAGCGAGGTCAACGTAGGGGTTTCGTTTACGTGTTCTACTCAGCCGTACTGCCAAAGCGTTCACCAAATTGTGATATGGGGTGACCTTGGTAAAATATTTTTTCTCCATGGTGCGTGGCCACCGAGTGCCCCTATTCTTTCATATGCTTCGCTTGCCGCCCCTGCGCCGAGTGCAACAAATACTCAGAAGGACTACACATTAGGTATGCCTTGCGCGGTCTGACCAATCGAAAGTCTACACTGCGTAGTATATCCGGGCTATGCAAAACTGTCGATGGCAACGCGTACTGCAGCCTGCTCCACACCCTGGAAACGAGGTTGGGTCTACGGTGCTCGCTATTTGCATGATTTGAAGCACAAGCATGTGAGTGACGTGTATAGTGCTCTGTTGCTTCCATCGTGTGTTAATACAGCTCCATGCTTCCACCAAGGCTGAGCGTTGTGAGTTCGCTGCCCGCCACAGTGTTGCGTTATAATTTCGGGGGGCTGTCTGGGATCAACGAAGGATCGATGCATTGCTTCAAGCATCGCGATCTTAAACGCAGTCACACAAAAAATCAACGAAAATGTGTCCGATCCGGCGGAAGACACCCTCCACATTTTTCCACGGACGTGGAGCGATTTTGGCGTCGCGAAAGACCGCGGTCTCAGATCGTTTCAGGAGCAAACATTTCTCGGAGGCCGAGTAAAATTTGCTCTTATATAGATGGTTGACCCAAGTTGAATAACAGTTGACTCGACAAGTTCCTCGCAGACAGTCTCGCAAATTGTAAGACGTTCAAGTTTACGTTTGTTGAAGAGTCCAATATTCTGAAACTTAATTATGACCTTCTTAATCAGCCTTCGCCTGTGTACTACGGCAAGCCTTTCAAGTACGTTTTCTCACAAATGCCACTGCCTCACAAAATGCCAATTTAACAGACCAAAGGGAACATTTACAGACTGTTGCCATGGTACATAATTATCATGGGCGTCAATCGGTGGGGGACGGGGAGCCCCTCCACCCCCCCCCCCCCCCATTTTAAAGCGGTGGAGACTTTTTTGGTTCCCCCCCCCCCACTTTTCTTCCCCGAATAAAAATTGTAGCTACTACATGTATAATGATTCCATTACTCAGAATAGCTGATTCAATGACACCAAACTCGAAAATGATGTTTAAAAGATGATCTTCGTTTTCCAAATGCGACTGCCTCACAAAAAGCCAATTTAACAGACCAACGGCAACATTTACAGACAGTTGCCATGGTACATAATTATCATGTGCGTAAATCGACGGGGGACAGGGGAACCCCCCCCCCACACACACACACACACCCACCCACACACACACCCCCACATTTTGAGGGGGAACATTGTTTGGTCTCCCCCCCCCCCCCCCCACACACACTTTTTCTTCCCCGAATAAAAATATTGTAGCCTACAATAATGATTCTAATGCTCAGAATACATGTAGCTGATTCAATTACTCAAAACTCAAAACTTTCACAGATGATCTTTTGCTCAAATTGGTTTTAGTGATAAGAAATTGCCTCAGATCACACAACAGAAATTGATATTCTTTAACTGCATGTCTCACCAACTATATCCCCCATTTACATTTAACTCCCCACATTTCCATCCCCAACACTACGCCCTACCCGATCTATGATCGGGTAAACCAGCTTGTAAAAAATACATGTCATGTATAACCCATCACAGATATGTACCTTTGATAACAGATACCTAGCACAAACATATGTCACCAGCATAAAGTTGTGTTTGTCAAACAAACTTGTTGGATTGATTGTTTGTTTGTTGGGGCGTTTGTTTGTTTGTTTGGTTGATTGGGTTAGTTTATTGGTTTTCTTTTTCTCACCAGTACTTGTGCCTGTGACGTACACAGGCTCTGGATCTTTTTGTGCCATGCTGTAGGAGTGAACTACCTCCGGTGTTTGGATCAAAGAAGTCAGGGTAGGTGCCTGGCAGTAGGAAACAAAAATTCAGAGAAAAAAAATTGTAAGAGTTAAAAAAATAAGTAAAGAAGATACATAACACAATGACCAAGCTATTAGTATTTAAAGGTAGAGTATATCATTTGCAGCTATCCAAAAAGAAACTGACAAAATTATTGTTGAAAAGCATACTTGGTTTAAAGATAGTAATTCTATTTTCCTTTTCTGTGAAATGAATGGTAAAGGACCATCCTTTTATCACATCTCTGAAATAAGTACCACTTCTTTTAATCATATCTCTTTTATTTGCTGACTTAAATGCCAAATCAAGATTATAATGCTGTACGGTATGTGCTTGTGATACTGTATTGATATACGGAGCAAAGATCATGGCATTCGTACTGTGTTAATAAATTCATTTATTTTTCTAAATATGGCCCTCTTGTACTTTGCATTGAATTTTATAGAACGGTGCATGTGATCAAGACAAGTACAAATCTATTCAAAACAACCTGTTTTCTAAAAAAAAAGGGAATAATCCACTTTAATTGAAATATTGAAATGAAACTTGTTTCTCAGAGAAAAATGGAACCTCATTTCACTCTTGCGGCCCAAAATTTTACATTTGATTTCTTTGAAAAGTAAAAAGGAAACTGGCTTGTTTAAACATTCTGAAAATCACAAAAATGCTTTCAAATCAGCCTAATCAGCATGTTTTCCTTTCAAAAATAACTCTAACTGTCATGAATCATCCTATTCAGATTGCTTACTACATAGCCTATATAGGATGAGTTAAAAAAAAAAAAAAGGAAACCAAAATGACACCCCTGATTTTTTTAAGGAAGTTTATGTGGTCCTTTTAGTAAAAGAATCATTAAATCACTCCTGTACTTTCCCACTTATGGAATTTTCAACACAAACACAGTTTTAAAATGATGTCCACGGAGCCTGTTATAAGGTACGTGATATTTCTGTAAAATGAAACCATGTTGTTTCATGAAAACGATATAAGAATAATCCCATAAATCTCTGGAGTAGCCAAGTAGAAGGCCGGGCAAGAGTAGACTATAAAGTCTTGACATTATAAAACTAGCATGTTGTTTTAACATTGGACACAGAAGGTGTTTAAATAGAGGTTATGATAAGTGCCAGTTATCATGGTTATGAGAGTGTTCTGATGTGGTTTTTTTATGTGTGAATTGTCTTCGTTTTGCTTAAATATCAGTTACCTTCATTGTGATCCGTGGACAAAATTATAAAACTGTGTTGTGTTTCCAAATCCATAACTGGAAAAGTACATGAGCGATTTCAATGATTCTTTTACTAAAAGAGAGCTTATTACTTGGGCTTTTACCATCCTACATGTAGATTTTGAACGTGCAACATGCAGAACTTTTTCAAAAAAGTAAGGGGCGCCATTTGGGTTTTGTTGTTTTTTTTACTCAACCTGTATGGACCTAGTGTACAGTTAAACTCTCAGTTATACGCATGGTAAAAAAAAAAGCACAACATTGCTGTTTTTTTTAGGAACAATTCATTGACATTTTTGTTGTTGTTGTGCAACTAATGGTTTTCACACATTCAGTTTTGTATAGAAATATTCACCTTTGATTTGTGGTTGACACGGTATGAAAATCACAATGATACAATCTTTGAAAAATAGTCCAATTTGTCTAAAGATTATCCGCTGCCGTGTTGCCATATCAGTGATAATGCAGGGGAAAATGATGGATTAAGATAAACAACAACAAGTCAGGTGTGTTTACAAACACAAATGCCCCGCAACCGTGACTGTTTCCATGACATAACACCACTCTAACATCAACTTACATGTACCTTGGTCAAATGGAACGTTCATTGACAGCATTAGTGTCTTCTGTAGGTTTTATATGAATTAATCCCTAATCCCTATGATCTCAGAATAAATACAAGATTTCTATTGTTTTAGCCACTGTGACCTTGACCCTTGACCTTTTGACCCCCAATGCGATAGGCTTCTTAGGATTGCCAAGGACAATCCACAAACCAAATTTGAAATTCATATGTAAAGTATTTCTCAAGTTATCGCGCTGACAAAATTTCTATTGTTTCAGCCACTGTGACCTTGACCCTTGACCTTTTGGCCCCAAATGCAAAAGGCTTCTTAGAATTGCCAAGGACAATCCACAAACCAAATTTGAAGTTCATATGTAAAGTATTTCTCAAGTTATCGCGCTGACAAAATTTCTATTGTTTCAGCCACTGTGACCTTGACCCTTGACCTTTCGGCCCCAAATGCAAAAGGCTTCTTAGGATTACCAAGGACAATCCACAAACCAAATTTGAAGTTCATATGTAAAGTATTTCTCAAGTTATCGCGCTGACAAAATTTCTATTGTTTCAGCCACTGTGACCTTGACCCTTGACCTTTTGGCCCCAAATGCAAAAGGCTTCTTAGAATTGCCAAGGACAATCCACAAACCAAATTTGAAGTTCATATGTAAAGTATTTCTCAAGTTATCGCGCTGACAAGATTTGTCCGGACACACACACCCACACACCCACCCACCCACACACACACCCACACACCCACCCACCCACGGAAGGACAAGGCGGAAACAGTATGCCCCTTCGGCTTCGCCGCGGGGCATAAAAATCAGTATGCACATGACCAGTGCACACAATTCATAGGCCGTGCACTCACACAATAGTTCTCCCTTAGTTCTCATGAGAAGGCCACGCAGCGTCATTTACAGTTCCCAAAAGTCCATAAAAGTATTTACCAGTTTTGGTCTGTTGTTTGTTCTTGTGATTTTGCTTCACCACACATCGCATCATGAATATTGTCCAAATTGTGTTTGCAAAGTCCTAGATGGTACCATTTTGCAAAGTGGTGTCATAAAAGGATTGGAATATGAAATCAAGTGGTTGTGGGGTCCACTTAAACTTCACAGAGCTGAAAGTATTGAATTGAACAACTTCTAGTTCTGTACATTGGATTACATTGTGTACAAAGCATGTAATACAATAAGCACCGTCGATATATCGATATTACTCGATTATACGATATTATTTTGATATCGATATCGCCGATAGCAATCTTTTAATCACACCGAAATATCGAAATTGAGGAATGATATCAAAATTGCATCAGATTATCGTCAAAATAAATCTCCCGTTTTTACTTTGTGTTTAACGTTTGCTGTATAATGAAATAAAACTCGGCGGCAACTTGTGCTTGTGACTCAAAATAAAAACATTGTGAAATGCCAAGCACCGTCGCTTTGTGCTCTGCGTTCGCTGAAATTCGCGGTTTAACTCTCCCCCAATGTAAAACCTCAGAAGAAACCGCCCGTTCTGGACAAAGTGTCAGTGCTAAGATTTGTTTTAAAAGTTTGAGCAATATGCTCCAGAGAAAGCCATGGAAAATTGTAACTTAAGAACAAAGTGTCATCTTTATGGTCTTTAATTTTCACATGGGATAATCGATATATCGAATATTCTCAATATTGGATTTCCGATATATCAATTATTGAAAATTCTGATATCGATGGTGTTTATAATATTTACAAGACAGTAATTTCAATGGTTTTATTATCCGTGACAATGAAAAATGTAAATGAAAGCACAAAGTAGCATTAAAAAAAAAGGTTTGCTGCAAAGGTTCCTTGCATTTGGAATTTACGACTGCTTTAGGTAAATTTATCTGTACTTAAAAGTGAAACTTAGCAGGAAAAGGTCCAATATCGCCGACAATCTAAATCCGTACAATTAGCTTTCCTTTTGCAACGATTGCACAAAACGCTTGGAAAACAAAAAATATCCGCTTTCAGTGTCCTTGTGAAATATGTGTATCATCACATAAAACCGAAACTGAGACCAAAGATTAATCTTTTTTTGAAAAAAAACCCAACTTTTTTTCTATGAATTCCTTAAAATGTACGTCAAAGCTTGACGTCATATGTGATTAAATTACAGTGTTTATCTTACAAAGTTTTACCGAATATTGACACCAAATTCTGCAATTTGAACCGAAAGCAGGACAAAAATGACAAGTAACTTCCTTTCAAAAACTGCTCCCTTTCGAAGAAATACTTTCAGTTGCATGACTAATCGATAGGTTGTCTTCTAGGTTCTTAACCCTAACCTTCCCAAATCCTCTAAAATCTTCTTTGCAAAGTGGAGGATTTTGCAGGATTGAGGCTATATATGGCAAAAATGTGTGGCTGATTTTGGAGAATGCACTGTGTCAAGGTCTTAGGCCGGACCTTGTGTTGTTTATGCTCAGCCGTGCATAAATTTAGGCCTAGATTATACATGTACTAGAAATCCTCCGCACTGCTCCAGGATGTCACTGGCTCTGCCTCAACATATTGACAGTGATTGCTGGAGGATTTTGCAGGATTAAGGCAGTGGTCACCCCTCCAAGGACCACATTCAAGAAATAATGGATGATTTTGGAGGATTGAGGCTGTATGCAATTTTTACATGGAGGCAGTTGGAGGATTTTGCAGGATTGAGGTTGCATCCTAGCAAAAACGCCTCTGGGAGTTAGGGTTAAAAACATGTCTGCTACACTATTTGCCCATGATAGGTCAAACTCATAGGGGGGGGGGGGGCTGGAGAAGCAGATTCACCACCTATCGTCGCAGTTGAGCGACTCGTTTTGATAAATTTTCTTGCAATAAGAAAAAATAATAATACAAAAAAATACATTACAAATACATGTACTGCATCTAAAAAAATGTTAAACAAATTAAAAAAAACACACACACAAACGGAAAAGGGAGCTTAAAACAGAAAACCAGAAAACTACTTGCACAAGTGGACATAGGAAAACATTTTACAGGCACAAATTTGGAAAACAGCATTTTTTATAACAAAATCAAAAAGATAGGGAAACACTAGACTGAGAAAAGAAAGGAAAAGAAGAGTAGGGAAGGCAGAATAGGAAGAGACAATCATCTGGAAGGGTAGGGTTGAAAATGAGGGGCGGAGTTAGGGGGGAGAGACTATTAAATATGACCTGTTCTGTCAAAAGCAGAGATTGAAATGGAGATAGGGCCAAAAAATGCTGTAGGGGTGATTTTTTTCGATTTTCTAATTTTTGCATATTTGTAATATACTATAAAATTTTGAAACCCTAATTTGAACTCTAAATATAGTATTTTTGATGATTTGTTAAGGTATATCAGTTAAAGAAATGTCACTTGAAACAGGTCTTAAAATAGGCCCCAAACTCATTGTAACTGCCATTTTCTCCGTTTTCTAGTTTTCGACACGATGAACTTCATAATAGCATAACTTTGCCCAGGAATGACTGGTTTCAAAAATTAAACCACCTATTAAAAGGAAAATGTACATATTTTAACAATATGCAAAAATCTCATTTTTGACCTGATGCCCAGAAAAGTCTGATGTTGACAGAACAGGTCACAAATGTGAACTCACTACCTTATTGAACCACAGATAAACTATTTACCACAAATAATTAAAGGAGCCACACATCACATGTATTAGAATAACAGTTTTAGCGTGGTGCCTTCTCACCTGTTTGGTTCCATTGAGTTCCTCCTTGTCAATGTTAATGGCAAACAGTATGGAGCCCAGACCCCTTGCCATCGTAGGAATCATACTGGATCGCTCTTCGTCAAGCAGAAATGACCAAGGTTCATAGTATTGCCTACAATAGGGACAGTCATCCAAACCGGGTTTACAGTCAAATTGCAATGAATAATTTTATATTGCAAATTACTGAACATTTATAACACAACTTTTTGTCCAATTAGTCAAGACTCCTAATCAAAAACCCAAATATTCACACCCTCTGTTTGTTTTCCGAATGATTTTAGGAGATAAGTTGAACTTAGATAAGGACTGGATTACAAAATGTTCAAGAGTATAATGTAACCAGTAATAGACCATTATCATGTTGCAGCCATTTGATTTTTCCCATTCAAATCAATGTTACCAAAGCGAGGCTGGAGGGAAAATAGTCTGGTTCCTTTTTTGAACAAAAACATTATCATTCAGTACTCTTATTGGATACAGGGAACATGACTAAAATGGTGGAAGCACAATATAGGTCTATAGGGACCGCTAGAAATGATGTAAATGAGAACGAGTTCATCATTATGAAGCTTGAAAAAAAGTTTTTCTGTGAGTTTATTAATACAGTGAAGTCTTGATAAGTCAAACCTCAAGGGAACAGGTTCAAAATTTGACTTAAGCAGAGTTTTGAGTTTAGCAGATTTGTATATCATTGTTATACTACTGAGGGGAATGGATTCTTTGTTTGACTTAACAGTTGGTTTGAGTTATCAGAGTTTGACTTATCGAAATTTCACTGTATTTGTGTAATGTTCATCTTACATACACCAAAATGGTAAGATGATTATTGGGTGGGCATTGTCAAAGGACCACAAAAAAATTGTGAAATATTCCGAGCAACATCCATCTCCAGTTCTCATTAGTATTAACTGAACTGTGACAAAAGGCATTCCTTTGTTAATAGTGGTCATCTCCCAAAACTTGTGACTGGACTTGAGAAGGACTTGTGATTTACTTCTTGTGACCGGACTTGTGAATGGACTTGAGAAGGACTTGTGATGGATTGGACTACATCCCTGCTACTTACTTGAGCATATCTGGAGTAGCCAGAAATGAATGGAGGTATCTCTCCAGTGAATGCTCATTGAGTGTGCTTCTTAGCCACGCCCTGGCCCTCCCTGCATCCGATGTGATGTACTTGAGGGACATGTAACGCTGCAACTCATGCTTGGTCAGGTTCTCACGGACGACAGGCCAAAACGCTACGGGAAAAAATTTAAAAAGTCTCAAGTCAACAAAACTGAGTGGGAAACAGGTACTTGTTGTCTTTGAAGTACCTTTGATAACGGCAAGGTAAAACAGCTCAGGTGCTGAAATGCTTACTTTCGGATAAATTGATCTGTCCGTGAAGGAGAAAAATGAGAAAGACCTAGGTTATCCTTATTCTGGTGTTTTTTTGCCCCAAATTTAAAGAAATCAAGATTTGAGTGGGTCCAACAGAAGGAATTTTCAAAACAGTTCACCACTGAGTGTTTGCCTATAAGATACCACTTTCTGTATATTGACTTTCCGTAACATATTGTCACTCTTGTATTGCTTATGTGCAGTGCCACACAAAAAACCCAAATAAATTAATAAATATTTAATAAATTCCCAAATTTCATGACCAAAGTGATCAAAAAACATATTTTTAAAGAAAATTGGCAAACGTAAACATTAATGTATAATTATCCCATATCCTACCATAAAATAAAAAAATGCAAACATAATGACAAAACATACTAGCCCATGTAACATGAAAAGTTAACACATACCCTGATCTCCATCTGGCTTTATCAAAGGGATTCCAGTTATTTGCCTGAATTGGAAAAAAAAACATGAATGAAAATTAAACTATCCACCAGCAAAAAATGTTTCAATTTGTTCTTAAATCTTTGTTGGTAAGACAATAAAATGTGAAAGACTACTTTAAAATGGCTAACAATTGAGATTTGATTTGAGCTTAATTATAGATCCCTATATTATTTTACAAGTCAACACTCAACAGAATGCAACTTGAAACTTCTTTAAAATTGCCAAATTTCTTCCTTTTAAACTCTGTCCACCTCTGTCTGGTTTTGACATACACATCACAATGGAAGGATTCCATTTTAATGCCAGATTATAAAGTTTTCTGATAAAGTTTTCTAAAGGATTGAGCGCTTACTTCAGAGCACTGAGCGGGTTGGTGCCTCCTCGTTTTAGTCCGTGCATCAAGACAGCCTCAAACTGAGCGCACAGACACGAGACCCGACTGTCATTGTCGGTGGCCAGCTCAGTGCGTCCACCAAAGCGTACTTGGCACTGCTTGACCGCATCCAGTAGACGGTCTAGCAGGTGCTGGCGCTCCTGAGGAAGATGCTCCATGGCCGCTCGGTTCTGGCAAACAGAAAAAGGGAGAAAACAGAAGAAAGGGAAAAAATGTAAACAACAGAATTTAACAGGGTCTAAAAATCATGAAATAGCTAACAACAGCTTTCTCTAGTATTACACTCTAGTGGCTCTTTCCTTGCCTTCAACCTCCTTGGCCCGGGTACGATTCCTTCCCTTCTCCACATGTGGATTGGATTTTCAGTCCCTACATGATTCTTCCATAACTATCTTCCATTCAGTTTTTATCTGATCAACATGATAAAGTCAGTGCTCAAATACTTCATGTAAATGCTAGGGAAAAAACTGAGAACAGATTTTAATAACATAAAATAAATGTCTATAGCAGAAATAATACTGATATTAAAAAAATTACACATTACAATGTATATATATTATAAATTTAAATTAATACAATTGATAAACACTCTTGTACCAGAAATTATCACCACAAGTTGTCATGACACAGACAGTTTTTTTTTAATTCTTGCACATGCTGCAATATTATTATAATAATAACAAGCATGAAGCAATGAAAGTAATTTGTCATTTTTGTTCCTTGTGTCCTGTGTAGAGTGTTGACTTCCTTTGTCTAAAAAAAAACCCGAACACGGATCTTAAAAACATGCATACATCCTGGATCACCGTGATGAGAATTCACAACACTCACAGTTCAAACTTTTCGCCGCGCCCATGGCATTAATTTAGAACGTAAACATCAATGACATAAAGAGTTCAAATGAGGTTGCATCATTTTTAGACAATTTTTTTAAAATAATATTTCCTTCCAATCTGTGAATGAAACTTACAAGAATGTCCGATCAGAACACAGTCACGTCCGTCGCTGATACTTAGAGCAACACATTGGCAGAGTCTCGGGGTAAAAATGGCTATAAAAACGGGTGATTCATCGATCAATGTTGAGGGGGAGTTTCCCTCAAAACAACATGATCCATATGCATCGTAGTTTCGTTCATCGGATGTTGATAAGTCTGGTTCCATGCATGTGTCACGTATTATTCCATTAACAGCACAGGGAGCCAGACATGACAGATGATGAATGGTTTAACCTTTCTCCCAGGGCCAGAGGTTAAAGTTTTCTGTAGGCGGCTTTTGCATTTGAATATTGACGGCAGAAAAAAGTGGGGTCGCTCAACACGTACACGTGTACGATGTCTACCAGTACTTTGCTGCAGCTAGCTAGCTGAACCGAGAGCAGAGAGTTTGAGACGACGATCAAGGAATGATGGCGGAAGGCGGAGTTACCAAGATAAAAAGCATCCAAGACTTGGTGCAAGATGCGAGCAGAGTCTTCGAGGAGAAGTTTGGGAGCAAGCCGGGTGTTGCTGCATGTGCCCCGGGGAGAATTAACCTGATCGGAGAGCACACGGACTACAACGACGGATGGGTTTTTCCAATGGTTCGTGGCATTTACTTAGTGCAGTCACTGTACAGTGGTCGATCGAAGGCGTATTATTTAAAGCCAGGCCTAGGCGTACAGTTATGTAACTTTATCGTAGAGCTTGAGCTAGCTTGTCTTGGCCTTGAGGAAGGGGTGGGAGGATGAAGTTCAATATGAAGAGATTATTCTCAGTCAAAATATTGATGAAATGTGGATTTTATTCACGCTGCGTTCACAAAACAATATTCTCTTCCCCCTTTTTTCTTTGTTAGTTTTTCTAATTAGATACGCCCCCTTTGGCTTTAACTTTTTAAGTTTTCTAGTGGATATGCATGAATGTGTTTGTTTGTTTTTGAGACAGTTGGACTTTTTTCGCAACATTTAAGGTCCTTGATTAGTGCTTTTATTTATGTATTTTTATTCCGCCATGTTTATACTATAATTCAGCTTTAAATGTAGGTTTTGCTTGAAAGATGGCATACGAATAATATACTGGAAATGTTATAATAAGGCACTGATTGTTTTTTAGGGAAATAATTTTTTTGTTTATTTAATAATAATATACACATTTTTGTTTTTTTACTACACTAAAGCACTAGATTCTTTTTTTCAGTTGTTGCAGGTACCAGCATGTTTTTACAGACGACAAAGTCTGGCCTTTACATATAATTTTATTTTCACTTCCTATAGGCTTTACCACACGTTACAGTGCTGGTGGGCAACAAGACCAGCACTGGCGTGTGCCGTGTGGTGACCACGGCCCAGAACGCAGATGAGCCAAAGACCGTTGAATTCAACCTGCCCACTGCCGATAAACCCTTGGAGCCGGGCCAGCCAGCGTGGGCTAACTATGTCAAGGGAGTGGTGCAGTGTTATAAGGGTGAGGTAGTGGTCTCTGTTTCACGTTAAGGCTGGTCATTAGGCCAGGTAAAAAAATAAACCAGTTTCTTGTCTCCACCTGCTTCCTTTTTCCGATCCGCATTTTTTTTTTGGGGGGGGGAGAAGAATTCCATAAACGGCCTCCACTCATATTCCTTGACCTGAAAATTACCATAAGTTGTAAATCTGATGAAGAAACACTATTTTAGGAGTGCACAAATTCTTTGATAATACTTTTTCTGTCATGGCCCATAGACTTTGTGCAGGAGGTCTGAGACGGACCAAGGCCGTGTATGGAATTCTTTCCTTTTTTGTAATCATGCATTTGCAGTATATTTTGCGAATATGTTGTCAATATATTATTTTTTTCATTTGTTTGCAATAAAATTGCAGCAATGGCGGCTCCTTTGGATACAATCTTTGTATCAGCAAAAAAAAATGCAAAAATGGAAGAAACCACCGTCTTATAAAAAAAAAAGACGCTTCTATCATTTAAAAAAAAATCCCAGATGAGAAACTTTTTCTCTGCCTTCTTTAGACTTAGAGATGAGAGAGTCACTGTGCACTCATGGAGGTACACAATAATGACAGAAGACCTATATCTTGAAATAATTATATTGCCTGTCCCATATTTTCATTTTTCTCCCAGGTACACTGTCATCCTTTGATGCCGTCATTGCTTCCGCGGTCCCCCTCGGGGGAGGAGTCTCAAGCTCCGCCTCCCTGGAGGTCGCGACCTATACCTTCCTAGAGGCCATGGACCCCAACGGACCCACCAAGGACCTCAAGGAGAAGGCGTTGGCTTGTCAGAAGGCCGAGCACGAGTTTCCCAAGATGCCGTGTGGCATCATGGACCAGTTCATCTCAGTCATGGCGGAGGAAGGACATGCGCTACTCATTGACTGTCGGTACGTAGCCATGCAAAATGTCACTCCCTGGCATACAAAAACGGCACAAACCACATAACAGCAGAAAATTGTATATTTTTAACCCCATAAGTTATGGTCGTGTTACACCCTTCCCAAATCTGAGATACCCCTGTTCACTAAACACCTCACAGCCAAAAAATCACAATTACAGAGGAGAAATACAGAGGAAATCAATTTGAAAAACTGAAGAAAAAAAAAACATTCATGAAAACTTCAATGTTAATATCAGACTCAGGAATGAAATGGTTGGAAAGTAGTGTGATTCTCCTTTCAGAATTTGAATCAGCTTTTGAAGAACCATTCATAGTATGTATAGTATAGAAATTTTTTAAAAATCGTTACAATTGAATGACTTTTGTAATTTTTTGTTAATTTCAAGCACATTGTACAAATTGTCATGAGTTTATTATTTTGGAGCAAAATGCAAAATTATTTGACTTTTTTTTTTTTCAGCCGTTATCTCTGAATGTCAACTGTGACCAATTGTGAAACAAATTTTAAATCCTGACAAATAAAGAATGAATAAAGAAGTTTCAACCTTGTTGCAGTTCTATGGAATCCAAGCTGGTCCCCTTGGCTGATCCAAAGGTGGTTGTGCTGCTGACCAACTCCAACGTCCGACACGAGCTGACCGGTAGCGAGTACCCGACCCGGCGTAGACAATGCGAAGAAGGAGCTGCCGGACTTGGGAAAAAGAGTCTACGAGATGCCACGATGGAGGAACTGAGAGGTGGGTGATTTGCAATAATCTTTTGCAGAGAATGTGACGGAACCAAATTGTTGTATCTTGGTAAATTTGATATATTAACCCATTATAGCCCTCACTTTAATCATGTGTTCTTTTTCCTCCATGCTTTAATAAAGGTAATATACAACATTTGCTTTTGCTGTAATGTTCAGAAATGGACGGTTTTGGGGTTTGTATTTTATAGCAAATATTGTTTCACTGACCTGTTTAAAGTTTTTTGTTCATGGATGCTGGGGAAAAAAACAAGACAAAAATGCTGTTCTTCTAGTCTGGTTCCCTGTCCCGATTCTTTAGCCAAAAGACAACAATTTATAGACGTCAGGGAATTATCAGCTCAGGGAACCAGACTAGCTGGCTTGTATCCATTCACAGACTGATTACAAGCAAAATATGGACTGACTAAATGTTTTCAATTAGGGGCAGTATTTGAAAAAAAAACCTGTTTTTGTTCCAACGATGGTTCAGCTGAGCCATCGTTGAAAAAATGATACAAAATTCCACTTTTCTTGAAAAGGACAGCACACCAGGTGCAGTGATTTCATAGGATGCTTGAAACTGTTATTCACTTAAGGTATTTCATAATAGTTCGGTAGTTTCATTTTTTTAATGTTTTCAAATGTTGCACCTTTAAATACATATGGTCCAGAACTATTCTGCTTGCATATCAATATTTTCATTTCATTTCATTTCATTTATTCATTTCACAGGTAAACATTCAAGTACAGACAATAAGAACAGTAAAGAAAACAAAAACATGCACATACAGTTAGGAGAGAGAACAAGAAAAAAAAAAAGTAGCACCCCTGATGGATTTTTAAAAAGTAAACTAAATTACTATCGAGTTAATCTCCTGATGCCACAATTTAAGAAGAGACAATACAAAAGGACATTACAAATGGACATTATTAAAACATGGCTTACAGTATAAGAATATAGAACTATACAAGCAGTTAAAACTTTAAAAGCACAAATGGGCATTAAAAAATCAAATTCGGTAAAAGAGAGGTTCGAGTGAATTATAATGCAAAAGGCACTATAAAATTGAGAAAAAAAAAACAAGCAGCAAGGTATTTGAATGGGCAAGGCAACTAGAAAGTTAAACTGTTTTGGTCAAGGGGACCTCCTGGCCAGGGACTAATTTCTGTTGCGTATCTGTCATCTGCAGCTGCTGAAGCCAGCTTTGATAAGGACGTCTTCCGTCGAGCCAAGCACGTTATCAGCGAGATAAAACGCACCGTCGACGGTGTGGAGGCACTGGAGAAGATGGACTACGTTACCTTCGGAAAGCTGATGGTTGAGAGCCATAACTCCTTACGGTAAGCAGACGCTGCGAGAGCTGGGCTAAGTAGTTCCGGGGGAAACCATGGCAGTCCTTCTGAAAGTTGCTCCTGTTGACATCAAGCCTATCCTTCCAGGCGCCAATTTCACGGCGCTGCTAAGCACAATAATTTGCTTAGCACAAAAATAGTGTAGCTTATCAGGTTACCAGCCAAAACGCCATGAGATTTTCATGCGAAGTAAACAACTGAATACCAATCACAAGCAATATACATCACATGGAAATATGGCTGGTAACCTGCTTTTATAAGCCAGACTTTTTTGTGCTAGGCAAATAGTTGTGCTTAGCAGCGCCTTGAAATCGGCCCCAGATCCTTCAACTTCCGTCACAGTTATTTTGAGGATTTTGCAGGATTAAGAATTTAAGATGCTATTATTTCTTTATATGGGGCCAGTTGCAATACGAAGGTGAAATTCAGCTCATGAACTTAAAAGGACTATGGAGGAGTAATTAGGATCTGCTTGCAAAATATAGCCAAGGAAATCAACACATTTAAGTCTTGTATCCTGAAACTCAATGCCACAATGCCTACTTTGAAGTACTGATAAACACTTTCAGACAAAATATCAGTTCAGCACGGTGTGGTTGACTTATGCTCAATTGATAACTACACCTCTTCTGATATTAATCTCTGATCATGATTAGTTCAATCTCTGTTTACGACTAGTTCAAAAATCTCTGTTGCATGCTAATTCCTTCAACTGCAGAAAAGAAAGCCTGATTGGTGCAGTGATAAAGCTCAACAAACGTTTACATTTAAGCATACTCACAGGTGAAAATGTTTCAAATTTAAATTTTCTAGCTTTGAGTCTATTAAATACATTGCTGTGAAACAAAATTTGCAAGGTATTTCACCAGTTCAAAACAGGTGTGGATTGGGTAAAATAAATCAAGAACATAAATAATCCATATCGCAGCTACATGTATTTATGAATTATTTTGTAAGCAACGACAGAAACCACTTGCTTAAGCTGCTCACGGCTTCCATTTTTTCGACATGTCACGCAAATATTTTATCAGCACACAAATCTTTGCACCTTGACCAAAGGAAGTTGAAAGTAAATGCTCTTCAATAGTGTAGATCTTTACTTTTTGAAACTTTGTTTTATAGTGATGACTACGAAGTCAGTTGCCCAGAGCTGGACCAGCTTGTAGAAGCAGCCGTAGCGGTGGATGGGGTGTACGGATCCCGTATGATGGGGGGAGGATTTGGGGGTTGCACCGTGACCTTACTGAGGAAAGACGTGGTGGAGAAAACAGTGGCATACATGAAGGTAAGAGTAAAACTCTGGACATCGTCAGACTAGAAATTGGTAGCAAGCTAAGGCTGTTTTCCAAACCCCGGTTTTGGCTCCGTATCCGGGTCCAGCCCAATTACCAACCTGCATGAATGGAGCCAGAGACAGAGCTGAAGCCGGGGTTTGGAAAACGACCTAGGTCAAGGACAACTACGGCTGACCAGGGTTAACTAGCGGTTAAGATGTCTACGTAATAAAGCAGGAGGTCGTGGGTTCAAATCCCACCTGAGCAGGATTGTGATTTTTCTGTTGCAAGCTTTCGGTCAGCACTGTGTATACAGTGCATTGAAAATAATTACATTGGTCAAGGCAGATACTGCATCATTAGAACATGAACAATACATCAACAAAATTTGACAACTTGGCAATCTTGAGGCCACAAATTATTCTTTAGCCTTGTTTTTTTTTTCCATTCCTTTCCTTCAGGAGAAGTACACCGGTACAGCGACATTCTATGTGACTGCAGCGTCCAAGGGTGCACAGATACTGACCCTCCAGTAAAAGACTCATTGCATGTACTAATTATGTCATAAAGATCTAATTCTACTTTTTGTTTTTAGTTAATGATTTCCTTCTAAAGGAATTATCTGGCTTTGTAATCCAAAAACAGCAATATTTATATCTTTTTAACAAGTCTGTCAAAATACCTTTTCCTTTGAGGATGACCTGTAACCAATTAGCATTCATAAATACCGAAGACAGTTTACCCATTCCCATTGGTCGAGAGCCCGTCACATGGCCGGTCTTAAACGGATGATAAAGACATCGCTGGCAATAAACACTTTTTTTTCACATGAAATTTTGACTCCTATGAAATCCAATGTCTTTCTTGGTTGAACGTTCACAATCCTCAAGTAGACATGCGCAGTTCTACCAGTATTACATAGTCCTAACTTCACAACGCACTTGCCACAGCTGCATCTGCGCGGCATTGAACAGTGTGCACGATGCCAATCTCCATAAAAGTTGTACGTCTTACTCATAAGCTGGACACTCCATTATATAGCTAGAGGGGTGTTTCGAAAAACATTAAGTAAAATTGTTGAACAAAATTGTTGGAAATTTCGTATTTTTTTACTCTTGGACCGAAAGGTATTTATGAATGGGAATAAAAATGTGCTTGGTCGGTATTAAAAAAGCATACATTTATTCCCTTATTCAAACTTTGTTTAAAGTTTGATTAAAAGTATGTATATATTAAAAATGACCTTTCCAAAGAGATGCGCTGCCTTGAATTACAGAAAAACAAATTATGACAAATATGAGTAGTTGGTTTTACACGTGGTACAAGGGAAAAATCCATTAGTAACTGATTGGCTTTCTGAAATTGAAAAAAATCACATCTATTTGCAATGAACATTAACACTTTTTCTTCTAATATTGGAAAATTCTCGGGGAATTTTGTTTATATTGAAGTTCTGGGAACCCTGCTTATGACAGCTAAAGTCACATTTAAGCATTAAAGGGAATATACAACATTTGCAAACATCGAAAAACAAAACTACCAAGTTTTTGCGAAATACCTTAATAGGATGTTGGTAAATGACAGTCTAAAGCATCCTGTAAAATTATGGCACCTGGTATACTGTCATTTTCAAGAGAAGTGGTATTTTTGTATCAATTTCCAACGCTGATCGGCCGATCAGCGTTGGAAACAACTGGCTTTTTTTCAAATACCGGCCCCAATTGACCATTGCACTTGTTTGCAATCGATTACAAACCTATGAACGGGTACGAGCCAGCTAGACTGGTTCCCTGACCTTACAATTCCCCAATGTATGTAAACTGCTCTGTTTCTTCTTATATGGAGTCAGGGAACCAGACTACAGGAAAATGATCGTTTTTCTTGGTTTTTATAGCATTTTCAAACCCAAAACCTTCAAAAAGTCAGTGCATCTATATTTGCTTTATATTTCCAACCCCCCAATTCCATCCATTTCTGAAAATTACAGCAAAAGCAAATGATGTATATTCCCTTTAAGTAAACTCAAGATGTACCGTATCTAGCAATTTTGACATTTTTGACATTTTGACTACTAACATCAAAACTACTCAGAGAAACGTAGCAGGGTACAGTTACTACATGTTTAATCGGGTAAACTGATGAAGTCACTCAGAATAAAAACAATGCCTTCCATGCAAAAAAGTACTTCCATTTGTTGACTAGTTTATTGAGTTTCCACAATTGTACAGTTGTTTTAATATCTTTTATACTGACAGGAAAAAAAAGATTAAAAGAATTAAAAATGACAGAAATAACATCAAATAAGAATTCACTTGTTTTCAATTGCCCAACGCAGACAAACAAATCAATCTGTCATAAAACTTGGAACTTGTTGCCTTTTTTTTAATATATAAGTTTATATTTAAATAGCTTTTACAAATAAAATTGATGTACAGCATTAGCTGGGAAATAAAGGAATCAAGTTTGGGAAATTTAAATATTTTTTTCCCAAAAGGAAATGTGATCACTTTTCTCCACCATAAAAAAAGAAGTGTGAAAACAATAGTTGAGGTGCTTTATGTCTCAGTATAATTTTAAAAAGATATCAGTTACAGAGAAGATACATATAGACGAATTCAGGCACGTAATCTCGTTACACTCATGAGGCCCCCTTTAATGGAGAACCCTGTGCGCATGCTATTGTACAAAACTACTCAATGACCGATTATCTGAACAATAGCTAGCACAGTGCTTTCGCCATTGAAGGGGGCCTTCGTGATAGAATTGACAGCATGCCCGAATTGGTCTATAGCGTGCAATAAATTGTAAAAGAGATAAAATCATTACTTGTTTTCTTCCAGAGATTTCTTGTAAGACTTAGCTTGCATAGCTTCTCAAATTACTAAGAAACAGTCAAGACACATTCAAGACGTGAAACAGTTGGTTTCAAATATTCCTACCCATATCGGAAAGGCTTTTAACTTTAAAAGAAAATTATGAGTAACTTCTCCACTGACTTTTTAAGAATAAAAACGTGGCTACGTTTTGCATCTGTTCACATCACGATTACAAGGGGAAAAAAAATTATCCTTTCTGAGTTTGAAAAAGGTGGTGATAACCAAATTTTCAAATGAATAAAAAAACAGACACTTCACTGGTTGTACACATGTAGATCTGTCTTCTTTTGGAGGTGATATCGTCTTACCCCCATACTTTCAATAATTTTGTTATTGATATTTCCTCTGATGTAATAGTAAGTGTTGGTGGGTTGGATGGACACGCTGCAAAAGACTTGCACAGTGGAAGCAGCTTGAAATGTTGCATTAAGTTCTCTTGCCAAGATAACCCTCATGAACACGCATTCTGGAATTTGTGTCTTTGTGAAATCATTTCTTTCTTTTCCTTTTTTAACCAGAATTAATTTCCTGGGCTGAAATTCGGGCTTATCCCTTAGGCCCCCCAAAAAAGTCTCCGGTTTCTGGTATGCGCGCGCGTCGCCGTAGCCATGCGCGTCTGCAAAATGAAAAAGTTTTTTTTTCAACTAAAGATGAAGTCCCAAAACCGCCAAACTCACTGGTTTGACTGGAATCCTGCTGCTGCACAATTTTAACGTGTTTTTAGATTGGGTTATGGTCAAGAATAAGTTTTATGTGGCCTCTCTGGACTGCCATATATTTGCACTTAGTTTAGTCGGGCACCATTTGCAGTCATCGGCCGACATTTGAAGCAAAAACATCAGGTTAAAAAAAAAAAAAGCCGTGTTGCCGCACCACTTTTTGGGCAAGCTCCATACCAGAAACCGGAGACTTTTTTGGGGGGCCTTACATAAAATACTTCAATTTGCGACAGATCAACACACCTTGGAAATCTATTTCATAATAATCTTGTGGAGACGTACTTACCTTTATTTCAAATGCATTGCCCACGACGCCTGATGCTCGCGTAAAGATACTTCAGCTCTGTGAACATTCAGCATTAAATAAGTTGTGCGTAAAACTATTAAATAAGTATGTGAACCATTACATGCATGCGATGTGTCCCATAATGGTAGAGAAGCGCCCTCTGTAGTTTGCGCATGGAGCCGAAATTATGGCAGCCATCAATAGTAGCTTCAGACAACATTTGATTCAGTTGTGTATGCGTACTCTTTGAATATAAATATTTTTGAAAGAGAGGTCTTCTGAACGATTGAACTTGGGGAGAGTTTCAAGTAGGTGGTCTGAAAAGGACACAGGTTATTAATAATCCTAATATAATATGAGGTTTTTGAGAAATTGTGCTTTTTGGATACAGAGGAAAATCCTGATGACACAATATCTTTTAAATCCCCCCACATTTTTTTCCTACTTCTTCCCGCCACCCCACCAGCCTTTTAAGAAACCCGTTATCCCACTGGCCGCCGGTTTCTGTTCCAGCTTGTCCTCCAGCGACGGCAGCTCGATCTGATTCAGGGCAATGTCGAAGAACAAAGGTTTGCAGGGCACCGGTTGGAAGTCCGGTGGGAAGGGTACCAGGTTGGGTTTGCCCGCGGCCAGCTCGGGACCGTCCTGGTATTTGTGCAGGCGCTCGCTGACCGCTCGCTTGTCCGCGGTGATGTCCAGTTGGGCTACGCCTTCCGTGATTTCCTCCGAATCTGAGTGGACATGATTGGAAAGCAATAAAGCATATCCAGTCAACTGTTTTATTTATATCATGGTATAAATGAACCTCTCAATGGAATTCTGAAATTCCATCACTGGCAGTACTTGTTTCAAATTTGAACTGACCAGCCGACTCCAGAAAGCTTGGTGGCTGAGTGGTAAGAAATCTTTTTTCTCATGAGCAGGACGTTCTGTGTGCAAATTCCACTAATTATTTTTTCCCCACAAAAAACATCAATATCTCATGAGAAAAAAGTGCCAAAGACCCTAAAAGATAAAACAGAATAGATAAGAATTCAAAGTTACAAACAACCTCAACTTCAACCTATACTCCACGACCACGAAAAGGGTCTTTTCTTTTGTTCTTTAAATAGGAATTTCAGCAATATACTCACCTAGGATCGACAATGCATGGGCTGAATACTTCAAACCATTGACTTTCTGAGTTAGATCCTTCAGCACCGACAATTCATTCTGTAATCAAATACAAAAAGTATGATTTTTAGATTCTGGAATTACTGATTTTCTTCTTTAAAAGTTACATAGTTATATCAAATTAGGTTTTGCCCTTCGCCGACGATTTTTTTTTTTTTTTTTTTTTTTAAACACTGTATACTCAGTGTGTTAGGGTTAGGGTTAAGGTTAAAAAAACGTTGGTGAAGGGCAAAACCTAATTTGATTTATATCACCCTGACGCACAATTCCATCTTACATAGTTATAATTACATTATATAAGCAACAAATCAATAGGAATCAGTACATTTAGTTCCATAGAAATCACACAAGCATGAAAAGCAGATAGCCGAACATACAATGTGCAAATGCCTCTTTTCAAATAATGTTCAAAATGTCATCACAAAACTCTGGGCACTGGCTCCCTGTTGTGCTTTATGATGCCCGAGGCTACTGGTAACCGATGAAACCGAGCCTCTATGTCCGTTTCCAAATAGTCGACTACAGTAGCCCAACCATCCCTCATTCGAGCGAAGTTAGCTGAATTATGAGTGAATACAGTTCGCGCCCAACTTTTTATTTTTTATTTTAATTTTATTTCAGCCACATAAAACAGCGCAAGCGCCAATAACAGGATGGATAAATGGAGAGAAGACAATGGGAAGAAGTTACAGTTTTAGAGGTGGGAGGAAAAGCCCAGAAGAATATTCTGGGGAAAACCCACGGAATCAGGTAAGGACTGAAAACCCCATCCACATATTGGCCCGGGCGGGATTCGAACCCGGGTCACAGCGGTGGAAGGCGAGGAAAGTACCGCTACGCCAACCTGACTCCCCTTGCTCATGGTTGTAATCCAGTCAATCACAAGTTAATCCAGTGTCAGATCACCAGTCAATCCAACGTCAGATCGCAATTCAATCACAAGTCAATCGCAAGCCAATCACAAACCAATCCAATATCAAATTACATGTAAGGTCACAAGTAACAAGGACTAAACACGACAAACAGGGGTGTGAGTGACCACTGATAAAAAGAGCTGAAACAGCTGAAAAGGTGTAAAAAAAAAACTGAACTTTGGAAATCTCCTATACTTTCGTACACAGCAAGTGAGGAAAAAAGCTGAAAAAAAGCTGAAATCCAAAACTAAAAATAGCTGAAATCAGCTTTAAAGCTGAGATTTCACACCCCTGGACAAAGGAATGCCTTCGTCACAATTCATCTGAATAGCTCGTGATATTGACTTGAAACTGGAGGACTCGCGATTGACTTGTGAAATGGCTTCTGATTGAGCTGTGTTGGCTTATGATGACTTGATTATGGAAAATTAACATTCCAACAGTGGAATAACCTACCTTTGTTTTGCCTTTGACTTTCTTGAACTCCTTGGTGGCAGTCTCAATGTGTTTTAAGACCCGTTCGTAGAGGGCCGAGGCCTCGCGCCACTTCTTGGAGGCAGTGTAGGACTGGGCCAGATAGAAACACCTGTCAGAAGAATACATCCACAATTTAACAACTCTTTCCAAAAAGATTACAAAACGGTGGTCAAGAGGTTGCAGGTTCCACTCAAATTCTTTGTTGGAGAGGAATTTGAAGAGAAATGAATTTTTTGGGGGGGGAACCCTAATTCTGTGCTAAGCATACAATGAAAGATACTTCAGATAATTTTTCTTTACTCAAAAACACTTCTCCTTCCAGAAACGACATGGCACAAACACTTGACTCATGCACGAACACAAATTCATTGGCCTGCAGCTTCCGAGATCTGATCGAGCTTTTTTACTCATGATCAAGTAGGATATTTCTTGATATTTTGACAGTTTCATTTTTTTGAACGTTTGCAAATGGCGTCAATAAGCTTTAAAGGGAAAATACAACATTTGCAAACATCAAAAAATAAAACTACCAAATCATTTTGAAATACCTTGCTGGACTGTTAGTGAATGACAGTCTAAAGCATCCTGTAAAATCATGGCACCTGGTATACTGTCATTTTCAAGAAAAGTGGTATTTTTGTATCAATTTCCAACGCTGATCAGCCGATCAGCGTTGGAAAACACTGGTTTTTTTTTCAAATACTGGCCCCAGTTGACCATCGCACTTGTTTGCAATCGATTACACACCTATGAACGGGTACAAGCCAGCTAGACTGGTTCCCTGACCTTACAATTCCCCAATATATGTAAACTGCTCTGTTTCTTCTTAAATGGAGTCAGGGAACCAGACTACAGGAAAATGATTGTTTTTCTTGTTTTTTTTTTTAGCATTTTCGAACCCAAAACCTCAAAAAAGTCAGTGTAACTATATTTGCTATATATTTCCAACCCCCCAATTCCATCCATTTCTGAAAATTACAGCAAAAGCAAATGATGTATATTCCCTTTAAAACCTAGAAATTAACAACAGACCTGAATGCCTTAAACTTGGATGATTTAGCCTTGATCTCCTGCTGTAGGCTGTCGTCGTCCTCCAAGCCAGCAAGCTGTGGAATTTCTGCAAGGTTCTGAACAAGACAACAAAGAAAGTTGCATAGAGTTCAATTCTAAGACTAAAAGTCACACAATAATAATAATAATAATAATAACGAAGTTTTATAAAGCGCACATATCCACCAAGGTGCTCAGGGCGCTATTACAATGAAAACGAAACAAAACAAAATCAGTTTAATTACGAAGAAACGGATCTTTCGACATGAGGTGTGTTTTGAGAGATGTTTTGAATGAGTGAATAGAAGTGGAGGTTTTGATATGAAGAGGTAGTTGATTCCAGAGATGTGGTGCTGCAACAGAGAAAGATCTGTCCCCCCAGGTACGATGAGATTTGACTTCTTGAAGAAGATATTTATTTCCAGATCGAAGGTTGCGAGATGGTTTGTATATATTGAGCATGTCCAGGATGTACGCAGGTGCTTGCCCATTAAGTGCTTTGAAGACAATGAGCATCAGTTTGTAGATGATTCTAGACGATATTGGGAGTACGGGCAGTACGGGCAGAATGTGAAATTGAACAGGCAGTAACATGAGGTTCACCTCAAGGTTTTAAGAGGGTTTACAGGGCTTAAAGGGGTACTTTGCATTACTGTTTGTTTAAGTTAGCATTCTTTCTTAAGAAGCCGCCCAAAATGGCTCTGTATACCCCAAGCACAGGATCTTTCCTATGGATGCAAGTTAACTCTGGCAAGCTTGGTGGTCGACCGGTAAGACTGCTGGAGTAAGCGGAATGTCATGGGTTTTGAGTCCCACCCGAGTAAGCTTGTAAAAAACTTTCTCCCAAGCCCCCAGACAACACTGAGTTTATGATGTCTAATAAAATATGTCAGTTAAGGGCAAAACCCAATATTGAATATAAGATCTTGGCCTTAAAATTTATGTGCAGGGTTATGTGGCTTGCAAACGTTGACACTGTATTAATGACAAACTAAAAACAGTTGGGACAAAGGAATGAACATTCTTCACATGCATTGTGCGCAAATTGCCTGATACGTATCTTACCGCTACATAATTCCATCAACCACTACATAATTAATTGACAGTGTAGAACTATGCTCTCAGCAACAAACAACAGAGAGATGATATAAGGATTGTTTAACCCTTTCCTTACCATGGGCGACTTTTGTCGACAAGAAGTACCCCCTGCTGGTTCCCATGGGCGACTTTAGTCGACCAGGAAACGACACACAGAACACCCTCAACACAGATATATTCACTACTTTTCAGAAAGGCGGCATGTTGATATGTTTAGCCGCCCATACATCAACTATATACCAGCTGAAAGAGTGTTTTCGGATCTTTCTATTGGTGTGGTATATTTGTTGTATTACCATTACAAAAAAATGAGAAAAGTGCTTCAGAAGTATCCACGCACAATTTGAGGTATGGAGTGCCATTTGGTCATGTGGTGAAATGGCCCGCAGTTTGATAAATGGGACCAGATGAACAAACAGGCGTAACTTTCTTATTTTCGCACTTATGGCCTTAATTTTTACATCACATAAAAGAGTAAGGTTCAAGGAACAAACTTTACACACAACACCTATGATTTTAATCACTCCTAGGCTGTGAAAATCTGGGTTGAAAAAAGTGAGTTTTTGACTCGTGCTCATTTTTTTCACGCTCCAGTGATTTCCGCATGACTGAGCAAACAATTTGGTCCTGGGGAGAGCCAAGTCAATAAACAATGTGGGCATGAAAGGGTTAACAGGCACACTGAGCAGGGGTAATAATAACGTACAACACTTTGAATTATCTTAGCCTCTTTACAACTGAACTTGTAGAAACTGGTCCATACCTGTAATATAGTGTCGTATATTCTAATAAGATCCTGCGGCTTGGTGACTTTCTTGTTGTTGGTGCTGCCTTGCGTCGTCTGCGGTACCGCCACCGTTATCCCTGCTTCCGGCAGGTTTTCCTTGAGCGTTTCAATCATAATCACGTTGCGTTCTATCGTCTTGGTCAGGCGGATGTACATGAGGTACGTGTAGAGATACTGGGAGCTGGGGAGGGGTCCGTCTGATGCCTGGGAACGCTGCTTCACAGACTGTGGCCGACAGAAACAAAAAAAACATTAAAAAGCTGGAATATCTCGGGAGCAGATACATCTCAGTGAAAGTTACACCAGATTATTATTATTATTATTATTATTTATTCGACCATCACAAAAACAAAACAAAACAAAATTGAGTAAAACGAGCATAAAACAACAAACAACAAGTACAGTAAGACGGTAGCGGGGACCTGGGACGAAAATCCGAATACATGACAAGACAAATGACAGTTATGTGGGTCAGGGACCGCAAAAGTAAAATGAATTACTATTACCCGTGGGTATGCAGCCCCGCACATAACGTTGAAAAGACAGATTACAAGCACAGAAAACAACGGCCCCCGCAGGGGTGATCAAAATGACAGCCAAAAAAAGAGAGCTATGGGTCGTATGTATAAAAACTAGCATTTGCTTTTACTACCCATTTAGATGCAACCCTTAAGTTGGTATATGAGCAAAATATACGATTTTGGTACACAATTTGTAATTTGGTACCACACACACTGCACTGTTTTGTTTTAGTGTGATTTATTAACCCTAACCTTCCCAAATCCTCCAACATCCTCTTGGCAAATGGAGGATTTTGCAGGATTGAGGCTACATGGCAAAAATGTGTTGTTGATTTCGGAGGATGCACTGTGTCATGGTCTTGGGCCGGACCTTGTGTTGTTTATGCTCAGCCGTGCATAAATTTAGGCATACATTATACTTGAAATCCTTCACACCAGGATGTTTTTGGCTCTGCCTCAACATATTGACAGTGATTGCTGGAGGATTTTGCAGGATTGAGGCAGTGGTCACCCCTCTAAGGACCACATTCCAGAAATAACAGAGGATTTTACAGGATTGAGGCTGTATGCTATTTTTACATGGAGGCAGTTGGAGGATTTTGCAGGATTGAGGTTATAATGCCTAGGGAGTTAGGGTTAATGCTTTAAGTATGTGTTCAATGCAAGACTGAAACTGAATCTAAAAAATAAACAGTGATCCAGAAGAGATTAACTTTCATCCATAAATGCATTCTTTATGTTGTGATTAACAATGACCAACATCATAATTTGATATGGGAACCCTGCGTTGGATTGTCAATGAATAGGATTCTGAACTAAAAAAGAAAATAGATATTAGACAATATATTTTGAACTTTTTTAAAAACTATATATTGACATCATTTTGGCGTGGTTTTCCTCCTTCTTGGTTTGAATTGTGAAAGAATATTAATACCTTTTCTTCAATTAAAATAATCTCCACTTTCAAACAGATTTTCTCAGAATCTTGCATCAATGACTTTCTAATCTTTAGTTGAAAAAAGAAACAAGTCTCGACATTAAAATCTTTTTAACAAAAATAAAATACATAACAGATTTTTTGATGTGACTTTTTTTTTTTTTAGATGGCTCGACATGCATGTTCAGAAAATAACAAGAAAAACACTTTAGAAACTGGCAAAGCCACTGGGGGCACATGGGTCAAAGGTTAGCTTGACGGGCCAAAGGTTAGCTTGAGGGGTCAAACTTTTACTCACAGGGTCAGCCTTCATCTCATCCCTGAGTATCTGCAGAGCGTCCTTGCATTCCATGAGTAGACTCTCGTAGATGGACATCTGACTCTCAGGATCGTTAGAACTCTTCAGTTGCTTCTCGTTCTCCTCACAGCTGAGCAGAAACACTCGCACCTGCTCGTCAAGAGATTCCGGAGGAAAAAAAATCGAATAGATCAGTGAGAAATCAATGTCTGTAAAGTTCATAACATGAAATATAAAGGGAAATATGTTCTTTAGTTCTTGTTTTTTTTCATGAGGTACTGCACTTTAGGCAGTCCTACTGATCTGAGGCATTCGATCGCAACCCCACACCATCGCACGCCTAAAAGCTTCCTGAGAAGTGCGAATAATCGCACGCCTGAATCCCTCTGTACCACACACTTCGGCATACATTTACAGCATAATTATACTTCTGTGAGTTCTTGAAATGGCTTTTCTGTAATCCAAGATAATTAGTATAAAAAAAATCAGATTGTTCAGTCCCAGTTTGGACAACACACGCCTACCAAAATCACACATCAAGAAAAATCACACGCCCAGAAAAATCCAGGTGTACCTTTTTCCACATGCCTGTGATTTTCAAATCAAAAGGACTGTTTAGGTGAATCAATGAGATCCATGAATGCACTAAACTTGTAGCCCTACAGTCATGCAGATTTCCTTGACTGCAGTACCTACAGGTGTGGGTCATTCTATAGAATGGAAGACGTTCTGTCAAAAGTTTTCGTAGAGAGAAAACCACATCTTACCTATTATAAGATGGAATTCTGCATCGGGATGATATAAATCAAATTAGGTTTTGCCCTTCACCGACGTTTAAACACCGTATACTCAGTGTGTTACCTCCCGAGTGAAAGCTGGAAAAAATCACTCGGGTGGGACTCGAACCCACGACCTCCTGCTTTCTAGTGCAGATGTCTTACCACTCGACCACCGAGCTAACGGGATCGGTTGGCTGGTTCGAATCTGATGTACATAGCAGCGGGTACCGCATAAACTATTTAAGATGGAATTTTGCGTCGGGTGATATAAATCAAATTAGATTCGAACCAGCCAACCAATCCCGCTAGCTCGGTGGTCGAGTGGTAAGACATCTGCACTAGAAAGCAGGAGGTCGTGGGTTCGAGTCCCACCCGGGTGATTTTTTCCAACTTTCACACGGGAGGTAACACACTGAGTATACAGTGTTTAAACGTCGGTGAAGGGCAAAACCTAATTTGATTCACATCTTACCTGTTCATTCTTGACTGGTACAAGTCGCCCTCTCCAAGTCACTTCACTCAGCGTCAGTGCTTGCTTCTCTCGTGTCTGTGCTAAAAGGCTCTGAACATAAAAGAAGAAAATCAAAACTTCAATTAAATATCGCTAATGTTTTTGAGAAAAAAAAAGGCTGATGTGGTTTGGTATTGGAATCATTTGCCCTTGAGCATTAAAATGATGTCTTGCCATAATGACTGATAGCCAGGCAAATGATTCCAATCCCAACTGCAGCCCTTTTTACGACATGCAGGATTTTACACAGCTTACATAACACAGCACTGAAATGATGAAGGCGTGGAACTTGGTCACAGTGTCCAAAAATGTTGATGTGCTCAATTGATAACTGTGTAGTGATGCATGACTGAAATTAAATGAAACTCATAGGGGTTGAGGCCAAGGCTCTACACAACCAAAAAGTTTCAAAATTGACCTCATGGTTTTGTAGTCAATTCAAAAATTCAAAAAAGTCAGACGGACACATTTTTTGGGACGTACTATAGAGGGCGCTGTTCAAAGCAGATGATCACTGGTGCTCTTCATCCCGGCACAGATATTTGCCGATGGATTTTGCCAAAAGCAAAACCGACAGGACGATTTTGCAGATAATGATTAAGGGGCTGTCACAAAACCACACCCCCCGTCTAGCGATGCCCGTGCTTTCCGTTCCCGATCTTGCCTTTATAAACCCATTTTCGCCATCCTGATTTTGCTTCTTTCAGAGGATGAGACTTATTACAGTCGAATCTCGTTAGTACAAACTCTGTTAATACAAAATTTTGCCGATAACGATTAAGGGGCTGTCACAAAACCACACCCCCCGTCTAGCAATGCCCGTGTATTCCGTTACCGATCTTGCATTTATAAACCCATTTTCGCCATCCTGATTTTGCTTCTTTCAGAGGATGAGACTTATTACAGTCGAATCTCGTTAGTACAAACTCTATTAATACAAAATTCTGGTTATAACAAACATAAAGTCTTAGTCCCGACTGTGCATTTATGTGCACAATGAATGGGACTGATGTTCCTCTTAATACAAAATTCTGATATAACAAACAATTTGGCTAGGTCCGAACGAGTTTGTATTAACGAGACTCGACTGTATATCAAATTTCGTCGTGACTTTCCCGTACTTACATCAATATTGGAAGACATCATGCCGCCGGACTTCAGCCTCATCTCCACCAGGTCCTTGATGGCGCTCTCGTCGCCGATGTTGTATGCGCAGTAGCGGATGTTGGGAGTGATCTCCTCGACGCGCTGGATGTACAGCAGCTGTTGCTCCTCGTTGAGGGCGCTAGCCAGCTTCTCGTAAATGTTTCTGGAGGGTGAAGTTGGGCAAAGTTTGGCAAATAGAAGTATCTGCTTTGTACGTGTAGAGATCCACAATAACATGGTGCACCAGAAATCCACAATAACATGGTGCACCAACAATAACATGGTACGCCAACAATAACATGGTGCACCACGAAGAAGGGATCATCTAAGGGCAGGGTAGTCCTAGGCAACTATTAAGGGGTTACGGTTTCAAATTAAATACAAAAAGTGAAAAAATATGGGGGAAAAAAGACTTGAATTGAATGAAATGAAATATGGGGCAGTGAATTCCTTGTTGAGAGATACTCACTTGGCAGTGCTGAAAGTCTTAATGCAATCCTCCCACTGTTCCTTCTCAAAATGTAACGTCCCTTTCATCCATGCACAATAGGCCTGAGGAGAAAGAAATAAACACCAAACTAATCACTGTTTTGCAGAAGTGTCCAATCTTGGTTTTTAGTGGTTTTGATTTTGTTTTGCTTTGTGGAAAATCAACCCAGTTGCTTGTAATTCAGATCTGATATTGATACACTGGTGGGTATTCTGCTCCGGTTTTTGCTGTACAAGCTTCTAAATGCAGCCTTTTTACATGTACACTGGCCAAAATCTCAGTGTCAGACCCGAGTTGAACCTTCAGACTTCAGAAATCCCTGTCACACTACAAGAATCCAACATGGCTTCTACAAAGGTCCACAGTTTTCTGAGGGTATAACTCTATGGTTTGAACACGGGTCGGCTGTAGATTTTTTTTTTAAATTGCCATCGGAGAGCCTCTTAAACCTGGTCCCTATGCCATACCTGAGCTTCTAGCTTGGACCTGGCATCACATTTATCACTCTGCGACAGGGTCTCCAGCTCCTCGGCGTACCGCACGGCCTTCAGCATCCTGGACATGAGGTGGAAACGCTTCCGCAACTCCGTGTTGGATTCCTGCTTCAGTTGCATCATGAAGGCCCAGCAACGCTCGGCACAGATGAGGGGCAGGTATAAAAACCTAGACAGAAAATGTTTACAGAAATTCTCTCGAGTATTCCTTGTCGTGCCGGGTGTTCGCTGGACCAAAAGATCCGACCTATTGCCTCTGAATTACTGAGTCACTAACTGACAGACTGACTGTGTTACTGAGTATAAATAATATCCAAGATCGAGACTCAACCAGGCAAAAAATTCTACATCTACCGAGCTATTAATACAAACAACTTTGCTTTAATAAATATCCTGTGTCAGATTTTGAGCACTTTTGTTCTTGGAATTTTTGTTCGTGGAGTGCCGTGGCCTAGTGGTCTGCGAGTAATGCTGCAGGCTGCGGGTTCGAGTCCTGCCCAGGGTTATGGTGCGTGTGCCCTTGAGCAAGGCGCTTTGTCACTCATTGCTTCTCTCCACCCAGGTGATTGGTACCTGTGAGGGCAGTGTTGGTGACTATGAGAGGTTGATTACAGCCAAGAGCGCCGAAAAGGCTGCTTACCGGCCGTGTATGCTCCCCAGAGAGTTGAGAAGGTTTCAGGTTTTGCCCGTTGAACCGGGGTAATAATAATTGTAAAGGGCTTTGATACCTGGTTTAAAAGCGCTATATAAATGCCTGTTGTTATTATTATGATGATTAATTGGTAAATTCATATCCTGTATATCAGTACCCACCTAACATCTGTAATGGTCTCCTCTTTGATTTTCCGCGGGACGTACTTATTCCTGTTGCCGTAGCTAAACTTGAGAGACTTTCGTATTCTACGCAGCCTCCGGGAACAGTAACTTCTGCAGATGCCAAGCAAAGTACAAACATGCAAAAATATTCTGCTGCACTTATAAAAAGTCAAACAATGTGGGGGGGGGAGGATTGTTGTCACTGTATGAGAGACGTTAACCCTAACTCCCTAGCGACTTTTACTAGGAACTGGGCCAAGTCCATCAAAATCCATCAATCACTGTGCATCCAATACAAAACTGTACATAACATAATGGAATCCATCACTGATGCACTGGTTGACATTCATGGACTTGCTACACATGGCTTTTATCCCAATACAATAGCAGTACAGGAAGCTAGGCAAAATCAATCGGATACCCCTAGCACTGCTTCAGGCCATTAAGCCCAAGTCCATCATACTCCATCAATATTTAGTCACGCCAGGCATTCTGGACCAAGTCCCCCAAAATGGGGGGATGGATTTTGATGGCGATTGGGTTGGTTAGGGTTAAGTGACTTTTCACCATTGCTCTTTTGGTGTAATTTGGAGAAGTTTAGATAGACATGGTAATACTTTCCTGATGAAGTGCATCGGAGGATGCTTTGACTCACCAGCCTGGTGAATTACGGATTACACAAAAATGCCGTCAGGGGGCTTATCTGTCAGTCAGCAATATCCTGATTTGGCGGGATTAGGATGATCAAGGCAGCTCACTACCGACTTGTTTACTTCAGTCTGTTTATTTCCATTAACCCTAATCCCCTAGGCCCTTGTTGCTTACAACCATCCTCAATCCTCCTCAATCCTCCAAAATTTTGCAACTCCGCCTAAATTTTTCAAAATTGTCAGACAGTCCTGCCTCAAAATGCATTCATCCTCAATCCTCCAAAATCCTCCTCGTCCCAAAATTTTGCACTCGTGTTTAAATGAAGGATAACCCAACGCCAAATCCTTCAAAATCATCAGACAGTCCTGCCTCAAAATGCATTCATCCTCAATCCTCCAAAATCCTCTTGTGCTTCAATCACCATTCATCCTCAATCCTCCAAAATCCTCATGTGCTTCAATCACCATTCATCCTCAATCCTCCAGAATCCTCATTTGATTCAATCACCATTCATCCTCAATCCTCTAGAATCCTCCAAAACCGCCAGGAGGATTTTGGAGGAGTGAGGTGGGTTAGGGTTAAGTTCTGAACATTAGACTTGGTACCAGTGGTGCTTGGTACAGTGCCAGATAATAGAGGGCAGTGCCAAACAAAATATAGAGATCACTTTGGCAAACATTGAAGCGAATTGGAGGGTGTAATGGAGCAAATATTTTAAGGAATTAAGCCAAGGGAAAAACAGACATCTGTCCCTCGTCCACATTGTTTTCTTTGAGCCAATTCAATTTAGTTAAGAAAGGGAAGAAAAACATCAGACCCTAACCCTGCGAAATGCAACAGAAAGCAACAATGGTAAAAAGTTGTTGCATACTGTTGCATTTAGCAGGGTAACTGCTCATAGTGCAATGGCTGAAACAACAGAATCCACTGTTGCAATGTTGTTGCAGTTAGCAGGGTAACTGCTCATAGTGCAGTGCCAAGGCTGATACAACAAATTCCACTGTCGCACCTTGTTGCATTTAGCAGGGTAAAATGCTCATGGTGCCAAGGCTGGTTGCATCTTGTTGCATTTAGCATATAGTAACTGCTCATAGTGCCAAGTCTGATACAACAAAATCCACTGTCGCATCTTGTTGCATTTAGCAGGGTAAACTTCTCATAGTGCCAAGGCTTATACAACAGAATCCAGTAGCATCTTGTTGCATTTAGCAGGGTAAACTTCTCATAGTGCCAAGGCTGGTTGCATCTTGTTGCATTTAGCATAGTAACTGCTCATAGTGCGGTGCAAAGGCTGATACAACAAAATCCACTGTCGCATCTTGTTGCATTTAGCAGGGTAACTGCTTGTAGTGCCAAGGTTGACACAGCAGAACCCACTGTTGCAATTTGTTGCATTTTAGGGTTCTCATTTTAACTGCATTTGATTTTGTTGTATTTAGCATGGTACCTAAAAAAAAAATCTGATTGGGGTTAGCGTAAACTTTTAACAGTTGAGTATAAGTTAGCTTACTTAAACAATCAAAGTACAAGTTAAGTTAACTATGGCTAAGCACTGTTCTTATGTAAACTTGCTCCATACTTCTTTCAAGATAACGTTCATCATGTACTGGTACTGTCAAGTTGAAATGTCTGTGTGTTTTTTAAGCGTTGTAAATATCATTCTATTACTCGCCGCACTAATAACACACAGGTATTGCTGTATGCCCAGTTGACGCTGAGCCACCCAGTGGGGATAGCAGGGGCTCAGTAACACATAGGGCAAAAGGAGATACATCATGACATAACAAATTTAAATAAGGGGAAGAGAGTTGATGGGTGGAAACACTGAAAGATAAAACTCACTAATAATTTGACAACCACGATTGTCATATTTGTGATGCGATCAAGCTACATGAGTCGTTTATCGACCCTGGTCAATTTTTTTTTATTACAGATTTGAAAAGGGCACAATCTCAGCATAACTTCTGTGAAAACTGCATGCTGATACCATCTTTAGTTCAAAAATTATGAAGTTGGAGAACAAGAGATATGATGAAGTGATGTGATGAAGTGGCACTAGTTTGGCCTGTATCTCCAAATAAAAATTCCCGACAAACAACTCATTTAGCTTTATCGCCTCACATTTCCTAAAAAACCTTTGCACATTGACATGTACAGAAATCGTACATTATACTGGCTCTAAAGTACTGGACCCCAATGTTGCAGACTCCAATTTTTAACCATAACCCCCTAGAGTGATTTACCAGGCACCTTCCTCACTCCTGCAAATTCCAACACCATATGGTAAACTCAACACCCAAACTGTTGGACTCTGATTATGGTGGTATGCCTGACACCATGTAAAGCATGATCAGTTTACTAGTGCAGTACTCACTCTGACAGATTCCAACAAACCCTGGTGTTGGAGTTTGACTGGATGGGGATTGTTAGGGTTAACCCTAACGTACCTGAATCCATCAAAATCCACACCCCTGTTTTGGAGAATTTCGGCGGATTCAGGATACCTCCATATTGAAAAAGTTGGGGGATTTTGATGGATTCAGGACAGAAAGCCTAGCGGTACTGCAGAATTTTGATGGATTCAGGATACCTCCATATTGAGCAGTTGGGGGACTTTGATGGATTCAGGATCTCAACAGTTTAACTCCTTGGCTATATGTCTGGTGTGTACGAGGTATATGTACTACACTGGTGGATTCTGATGGACTCACTGGTGGATTCTGATGGACTCAGGACACCAACATTTTTTTGGCATGACAAAATTGGTGGATTTTGGCGGATTCAGGATACTTTCTAATAAAAGTGCTCTGAAAGGGGTTAGGGTTAATGAAGACTTGGAGACATGGAAACCTGAGGACAGGTTTTTTTCTGGACTTGTAAAGTTACTTTCATAACAATGTACGTAAATCCTTGATCGTCAAGTAAAAACCATTGCCTTGTAATAGCATTTATATTGGGGAACAAGTTGGCCGCAGGAAATTTGTGACCCTCAATATTGTGTTGTTAAAACCTTTAATTAATAGACCATGATCATGTTGGGACCATCTTGATTTTTTTCCCATTCAAATCAACGTAACCCAAGCGAGGTTGGAAGGAGAAATAGTCTGCTTCCTTTTTGCACAAAATATCATTCAGTACTGTTATTGGAGACAGGGAACATGACTGAAATGGTGGCAGCATGATAAAGGTCTATTGCATTGGTTTGGGCATCTACATGTAGCCCAGCTTCTCCTACTAAATGATCTACTACTGGACCGATCCTTTTACCTGTATCTTTGGTAGTCACCGTGCCGCAAACCATGCTGCTGCTGCGATTCTTTGATTATATGCAAAACTGTTCATTGTCAGAATCAAGGAAATTACTATGTTTCACAAACGAGGTAACTGGACAAATTTTAAAATTAATCTATCAGGTTATGAATGATAATTTAAATTACATGTTTATACGTTTCTTTTGTTGTGCGTTTCAACCACTTTTGTGTAATTATTGTTTGGTTTTGTATCACTGTTTGTAATTCTTTGTTGAGGTCGAATAGATAATAATAATAATAATAATAATAATAATAATTAAAAAACAAATGCACAAAGAGAAACAACAACATGGAATTGAAAATGATACATGGGCAATTCCATGGTAGCTCATATGGAATTGCTCATTGTGAACAACCAGAATTTGGGCAATTCGGGCCATTCACAATGCAGTGCGCCACCAAGAGTTTGCCACGGAGAGTTAATTTTTCCCAGTGCATTGTGGGAGATGGACGACAAATTCGCAGCGCGGGACATTTGAAATTGTTAGTTATTTCCGGTCAGTAGTTTCGTAAGCATATGATTCGAGTATCTGTTTGCTCTTTTCTTTTCTTCTGATCGATATGGTGTTTTCTGTAAGGCGGCAGAACGCTGTGCTCCAATCTATAACATATTAGCTCAAGTTGTCTACTGACACTCATTCAAATGGGCCATGTTTTGTCAACCGTAAACTTGAAAAATGGACTCTCCATGGCAAACTCTTGGTGGCGCACTGCAGTGTGAATCACCCGAACTGTGTAGTCACGTGCCCTGTTCCTATAACTTAGAGAACCAAAAATCTACCTTCAGGTTATTGGACTAATTCTTTCTGTCTGTGTTCCACACGTCTCGTCTCGTCGACGAGGAAAGAATGTTGCATCCTGACAATGCCTGACGCCACTTTTTTCATCATGATACATTGTCTCGACAATGCTCAATGAACTTTAAACATGTTAAACAGACACGAATCTGGGACAGAGAAACATTTCCAATTTGTTAGAAAATACTTTCAAAATGCACTCGACGCGGAACTTGCAACCTGACATATGACACCACTTTTTTCTTTTATTGCAGAATACCTCGCCACTCACCTATCCCACCTCGTCACTTGGATACTCAACCAAAACCACACGCGTGCACGTCCGCTTAAGTCCACCCCGAATTCCCGTATCCGCGTATCCACTTCCCGGCACCTACTTTGGACTTACATTTTTCCCCTGCTCCCCATTCAACTCACGTTGTCTCTGCCTTCATTATTTTCCAACATGGATATGGATGCTTCGTTCTCAAAAATATTTTCCTCCGCTAAAAAGAAAGTCCACCCCGTATCCCCGTATCCGTTTCCTGGCACCTTCTTTGGACTTAGATTTATTTAACCCCTGCTCCCCATTCAAATATCCCTGCTAGCCGCATTTCTTATTACAGGGAAATAGCGCCCTCTTTAGACCCTCCAGCGCTCAACTCCACCCCGTATATTGTATCCGCTTATCCACTTCCTGACATCTACATGTACTTTGGACATTTCTGCAACATTTTCCGACTGCGTAGCCATTTATTTTTAGGGGGTAATTTTCGCGTGGCGGGGTATTCTGCAATTAGGCCTACTCCTAAAGAAAAAGGTCAATGTTGAAATGTTGACATGAACTTGATGAAGCATGTGAAGTGGCATCTGGATATTACATTCTTTCCCTCGACTCTCCATAGACGGAAAAAATTCCATACTCGGACGTCACTTTTTTCAATTAATTTTCTAGCGCCAAAAGTTACATCTTTTATGGTTATTCCTCCACTTTCCCTCCTCTACTCTCACCCTCTCCTTTCCTTAATTTCTATTTATTAATCAGTCAGTTACTTCATCGGGATTCGAACCTCTGACGCTTGCTTGATACACGAGACTCTTAACCGCTAGGCCGCGCACGATCGCTGTTGCAATCATCAATCTTTGGACGTATTTGAAGTATCCATTGAAATAAACTAAATATTCATGAGAAAATAAATATTCATAATGACGTATTGCACTATCATTGGCAGGCTCATGCGACGTCATGGTTGTTGATGTCACGTGTTTAACGTACCGCTGTCTTTTCAGCCTCTACAATCAATTTTGACCGGCTGCTTCAAGCATGGAGGAAGGAATTAGTTCTGCACGACGTATGCATCCAAAATGTGCTCTAAAAACACATTTTGAGTAAATTTTTTCACCTTTACACAGCTTCCTGGGTTTCTTTTGGTTCAAATGACAAGGTGAGGTGACAATAAAGATGTTTGGCAGCAGATAAATTGACATCCGAGTATGGAACTTTTCCCAAACCATGGAGCTCCATGTTGAAACCAAACCCAATGGCTGCCAATGTCAATGATGTCCACATTGTGCACACCATATGGAACTTTCATTCTACTCACAATCGGCCACATTTGGCTATCAATTTACAGGGGTTTCTAGGACTCATACATCGATAAAAATAACTATTACAACAACCCCGAATTACTATATTTACAAAGGATACCCTCTAAGGTGTAAGAACCGTTGCTTTCTGTCGTTTCAGGCTTCGTTTCTTCTTGATCCATGACGGTGGTTTTCTGCTCGGAATCCATTTTGGTGGCTACACGTGGATTACCAATTGTCACCAAGAGAGGGCGCTATACACGGCTAACGGAGAGGCCAGAAAATGCGGGTAGTGCCGTGATTATGGCACCAATGAACAAAACACCTATCATTTGCATTCATCCCAAATGCATGAAATGTGACCTCCCGAATCATTGTCCAAAAAAAAAGCTTGGATTAAAGATCGTCATACTATAGACGGTGAAGTTGTTCCGTCCGTCTCAGTGGCGTACCCCCTTGGAAGAGGGGCCTCGGGGACTTGAGGCCCCCCCCCCCCCACAGGCAAGGGCGTCAATCGCTTCTAAAAAGTGGGTTCCGGGGCCCGCTTAATATTTTTTGGGAGACGCTCTTTGGTGCTATCTGAGGCAATTTCTGACCATTTAAACCATTTTTTGTGTGAGCAAAAGATCATCGTTTAAACTTTATTTTCGAGTTACTGAATAAGCTTCATTCTGAGCTATAAAATCATTATGTCGGCTACAATGTTTATTCGGGGACGAAAATGCATGTCGTGTGGGTGGGTGTGTGTGTGTGTGGGGGGGGGGGGAGATGATTCATAGCCCATCCCCTAGTCAAGTGGGGGGATATATATATAACCCCCCCCCGGATTAACGCCCCTGGCTTTCAGAGATCGACATGGATAACTTGAATTGCTAAAGTATAATCTTAAATCAGGAAAACACAAAAATGGGTGAGATTTGTGTATTGTAACTAAAACACAAAACATTATTTTATTCATAAAACAAATTAGTCAAATTAAAACAAAGCAATTCTACGGTAAAATTTTCATTATAGTTCCAACTTGTCCAATAAATTGAGACAATCGAATTAGCTTCGAAAACAAATCATTTTTTTTAAGCAAAGGGGGCAGTGACAAAATAATGATGTTGAGATGATTAAAATATTTGTAGCGGTAATGACCGAGAAAACATTCGGTTTATTGAAAGATTATCATTTTTCCAATATGACATTTGTACTGAGTATGAGATTTTTTTTAAATCGGTGATGGTGCGATCAAAAATAAACTGAAATTTTCCTTTCTGTTAAACAAAATCTAGAAGATAGAAATCCATATATCAAGTATGCGGGTCTTTAAACGTGAATGCAATATTCAACAAACGCGATTCAAAATTTACGATAAAAGCGAGTTATATTATTATTACACTGATTTTCAAAACAATAAAAAAATTGTTTAAAATTACATCGATGTTAAGGCACGTTTCGTTACTAGATTGACTTGTTTAAAGCATTTCAAGCATGCGCTACAACATGGGCATTGCAGATGTAAAAGGCACTGATGCCGCTAAATAGCTTCAATACTTATTTTCACTTACCACGAAATAATGTTAATAATAATAAATATTTCACAATTTCTATTGAAAGAAGGTTGGATCGTAAAATGTGCTTTCAGACACTTTCAAATAATTAAATGTTCAATAAACAGAGGTCATTATGACCGGCTGTTGGCTCAGTTTTGGATTTTTTGTTAAAACTGTTTGTCTTAAATAAGGAAAATTGTGTAACACTACACCGTTCTGACAACTAAGTATTTTGATATTAGACTGAATCTATCATTTAAATTTTTAACACATACAACTAAAACAAGCTCTTTTCATGCGAATTTACAAGCAGACGCGGAAATATATACAAGTACAATTCATTCACAGTCACATCTACAAAATTAACAAAATTTAAAGTAAAGTTAAGCGCGCGAAGAAATGGTATTGATATTGAAATGGTATTCGGTATTGAATGACGGACACATAAACTTAGAATATAAAATACCACAATCCAGACGTAGTATTCCCTGTCCGCATTTCGTGCCAATTCCGCCATGCAATTCATTTCCTCGATGGAGCAAGGAGCGGCCATCTTGCCTCCCATGTCTTGGCAAGCTGACTTGGCGTCATCCCAAGCATGCAACTAAAACATGGGCATTGCAAATGTACACTGCCGCTAAAACTAATATACAGTTAGCTTCGATACTTATTTTAACCTACCACAAAATGTTTTCAATCATAGTTTTTATACACAACAAAATTGTAACAAACTTACAACCAAAATTAGGTGGGCATGCACTTTCAACTAATTAAATATTTGGACAAACTTCGGTCATCACGCGACCGGCGGTCGGTTCAGTTTGAAATGTTTTTGTAAAGATATGTTCCTGTCATAATCAAAAAAGTATTCCACAGTCCTCCGAAATGTTTTGAAATGCACTTCATGTAACACTACACCGATCTGACAACGAAGTATTATTTTCGATATTTTTGTTATCCATCATTTTAATGTTAACACATACAGCCACTACAAGCTCTTAAGTAATTTCACGCGAATTTACAAACAGACGCGGAAATACAAGTTCATGTGCAATTCATTCACAGTCACATCTACGAAAGTGATTTACTTACATTTATGAAATTAAGAAAATGTCAAGTGATTTATGCGCGGTTACAATATCTTACAAAATGGTATATTGATATTCAGTATTGAATGACATCGAAACTTAAAAGACCGCATTTCTATTCAGTTGAGAAAAAGTCACACTTAAGTCATTGAGATTATTGCATTCCCGTTTAAATTCAAATCTCATCTCATTGGTAATTAAAACGGTTTTGGCTTACCTTGCCTACTTGAACATAATGTCGGTTGCTTCTTTTTTCTTAATTGCCAGAAAAGTGAATTAACTGTCACAAATTTCCCGGAAACACAATAGTCCTGTACCTGCACGTCAATGTTAGTATTAAAAGCAAGTTTGTAGACTACTTCTCTGAGATTGTTCCATGATTCCTGACTAGCCGATGCGCTCTTCAGAGTAGCGACAGAAATAACCAGTGTTCCAATTTTCATGACAAGCCGATGCGCTCCTCAGAGAAGCGACAGAAATAACCAGTGTTTTGAAATGTGTCCTTGTCTTGAAAGTCTGTCCAGTTGTTCTGCTGATTATCCTACTCCCTTCTTGAGTTTTCTCGATGTTGAAGGAACGACATCCGGGCTTCTTGACGCAAGCAGAGCCAAGGTGGCCACGCCCTCGTTGATAAACTCCCGGATGGTGTGGTCGAGGAGACAGGTTGAGTTAAGAAATGCTGGCGTGAGTGTCGGTAGAGAGGCATTATTGACGGAGTTGGATTAGGCCGTGAGTGCAAGTAGCTTGGCGAACACAGAAAGCCACCAATGAGCGATGACAAAATTCATCGTCCATTCTGTCCCCAGAGTGTGCGGTCATTGAGACACAGTCTTGGTCGCCATTCCAATTGTTTGGTTCTCCATCATTCCATACCAAGAAGGGCTCGCTTCCCTCCTGACCGTCACACTCCCAAGTTCCTTCAACTTCTTTGTCATTGCAAGCAATCCAGGTCTGATAGGTACTTTGCTCCTTTTGTGCCAATTCCGCCATGAAGGTCATTTCCTCGAGCGAGCGAGGAGCGGCCATCTTGCTTTCCATGTCTTGGCAAGCTGTCTTGGCGTCATCCCAAGTATGCGGTGAAGGAGTGATGCGATAACACTCGTTCCCCCACAATTGCCACTCTGGCGGGCAAGAGCATTGGGCAGTGAGTCGAGAGTGGCAGGAACCTGACCTAAATTGAGCATTGATCGCTGAAGTGATTGCTACAATGCTAAAAACTTTGAACAAGTACATGATGGCTTGTTGGCACTTCGGTAGCAGAGTTTGAAGAGGAATTGAGCATTTACTGCTGCAGTGATTGCTATATGAGGAGGATCAGATGTTTTCCCAGTACATGTACATCCTTCTACTGTCTCAGCATTGAAGTCGAATGCAATAAAAACCGTATTTTGCGGCCGAATAAACGCGAGTTTTTCTCTGACGCAAATGGTTGTTATTACAAAACGGCAGACAATGGATCTCGTTGCCATGGTCACATTATTTCTTCAGCGTCCTTTGAAAATACAAATATGGTAGCGGAAACTTATTGCTATGGGAACCTCTATCGAGTCTTATCTAAGAAAATGTTTTAATAAAGTCGGGGACTTTATTACAGGGAGTTCGATATAGCCCGTTGTTCGACTGAGCAACACAAATAGGTTTTTGGCCTCGACCGTTGGAAATTATTGTTGTACCGTGCATTGTTGGCGAAATCTACTGCCTGTACATGTACCAGGTAGTGAGTTAATTAAACCTTCACGTTTCATTTCATAATAAAATACTGAGTTATAAAACGAAGGTTTATTGACTTATAAACAGGCACATGCAGTTAATTTGGATTTCGGTTTGATTGTGTTCCTTCCCCTCCCCGGGAGAAAGATAAACACTGACAGAATTCCTTCCTCCATGGTGTAAGTCACAATAGGAAACGTTTTTGTTTAAGTTTCGTGATATTTTGCATCCATCATCAGTGAGGAATAGTTTTTAAATTGAAAAGTTTTAACTATCTTTGACGTGCCGCTGTACGGCGCCCTTTCGGGTGATAACGTCATCATGTCAATGTTTGTGTTAGACATTCCTCATTGATCATTTGCACAATTTATATTACTGTGGTAAAATGCTTTCGTTTTCAAATTCAATTCCTATATTCAATTATTATTGCAGTCCGGTAACACCGGAAGTTAAGGTCGAATGGCTTTGTTCTTGGTAATCAAAATATTGCCCGGGTCAATGTCAGCAACATTATGAGAACGCCGTTTGCGAGTTAATAGCCACGCCCCTTAGACAACCCTATGGAATTTTTGTACTCCAACTTTGGTTTGTCTCAAATGTTGCGCGTTCCGCGTACATTTGTATATCATGTTATTGAACAATATTTCACCAGCTGCGTTGACGCGATTCTAACGCGATTCTACCGGCGATAGGTGATTGACATTTTCCAAATTTTGACCTTCAGTGGCTATAGTCATTTTTAAAACTAAAATCACTTGTTATTTGATTTCCTTCCATACCCCGGGAGAAAGATAAACACTGACAGTCAGTGTAAGTCACAATAGGAAAGGTTTTTGTTCAAGTATCGTGATATTTTGCATCCATCAGTGAGGAATGGTTTTTACATTCAAAAGTTTTAACTATCTTTGTCGTGCCGC